TACATAACTATATTCGGCACTAGCTAAACATTAGAATTCCTTTGAACTCTTAATTAGTAACGTGCATATTCTCATTTATTCAGGAGCTCATCTAATTGGCATTTCTTGTTGAAGAAAGATTAAGACCTTCTTGTAAACATAATCTATGTTGTCTATGTTGTGTGGATGCTGGTTAACTTTTTGTCCCTTTCATATAGTTTCCAAAGTATAAGTGGTCTGAAGTATCATATACAGACTGGTTTGGACCAATTAGAAGCATCTAGGAAGCTGTTACTTGATCGACTCTTAGAAATTGATCAGACGATGGAGAAGCCAAAGGAGGAGGATATTCAAAGCGTGAGATACTGTCGAAATTGCAAGGCTTATGATGATGGTCCCCTGTGTGTTCTCTGTGAAGTAGATGAGTTGTTTCAGGTTTGTTACTTGTCTTTGCATGTCCTTGTTGATTTCTAGTATGATTTAAATATGTTGGACAGTCTTTACGATTTCCGATTTCTTTACCAGGGTTATGAAGCAAGGCTCTTTCGTAGTGAAAAAATATGCGGGGGGATGGCTACATCAGCTGAAGAGGCTGTGGATTTGCAGAAGAAGAACTCTGCACTTAATCGTTTTTATCAGAATCTGTCACAGCCAAATAAAGATTTAACGTCACCCAGTTATAAAGAATCGAAGAAGAGAGATGTTGGAAAAGTTGTGGTCAGTTATTTTATCTCGCTCTACTACTTTTGTTCATTCTTAAAGGGTGCTAAAATGCATCCCTTTTTTGTTTATAGTTGAAATGATACTGGTTGGACTGAAATTTCTTCCTTTGGTTTTACTTCAGCCTCTATTTTGACTAGCTCAAAAAGTATTATTTGTGGGCTTTACTCATAATACAGTGCAACTCTTAAATTCCCTTATCATCTAAAAAATTTTAAAGGCATATTTGTTCCTACCTCTTCTGCTTGTGATCTATAAAATAATGTCCTAATTTAATTTTTCACATAATGAAGATGCCTAGTTAACTTGAATTCGTCATATCCGATACATGTAAGATTAACTTAAGTTATGACATTATTTTTTAATCACTATCCAGGACCACTGACAATTTTGTTTTCTACTATTTGCTCCAAAGTGCAAAAAACCTTCAGTATCTTTGTTTTGGTTTGATTGATATACTTTGGGAATATGCTTGTTTTTTCTTAAGCATCAGATGATTTGTATATACTTTGTTTTGGTTTGATAGGTTTCAAAATCTCCATCTGAATTAGAGGTCGTTCTTGGAGTTATAAAAAGCCATTGCAAGGCCCAAATAGGGAGGGAAGGTATATCCGAAGCCACCAAGCACCTACAGATTCTTGAGGTATGTCCTGATTTATAGTATTCTTTCAGCTCACAACTATTTAACTGCCAGTTCACAACTATTTGACTGCAAGTCTGTAACTAAGCACTCCCGTAGTTGATAGAAGGAAGAGAACCTACTCATACTAGATTATATTTTCTTCTTCGGAATGCTAATTATCCCTTCAGATCTTTTTAAGAGCCTTCAGCTAATAGTATTGCAAGCAAGCTTTGATAAAACTGGTCCTTTTTTTTTATTACCTGGTTAAGGGCATGCGCAAGGAGTATGGCCATGCGAGATCGTTGGCAATAGCCCAAGCCCAAATTCTACAAGCTTATGATGAAATTAATATGGCAACCTCAAGATTGCGCCTGGCAGAAAATGAGAATGATAAATCTCTTGATGCTTTAAGTGAACATGAATTACCTTCAGCTAACGTCCTATACACTAGCGAAAAGTTCACATCCTTGCAGCAGTTGTCTTGCATAAAAGGGAAACTTCGCTATTTAAAGGTACAAACACAAATCCATTTTTAACCATTCATGAATTACCTCTGTAGGTACTAACTCTATTTTATTGTTCCTAGGGTCTGGTACAAGCTAAACAGAAGACGCCATTGGAAAGTCCAAATCATTCCTCAGTAGCTGAAGAGGCGGCCACCAGGTCAACTTCTACAGAACAGAAAAATGAATGCATACTTACTGGTGATAAAGAAGCATGCCCAGTTTGTCAAGAAACATTAACCATTCGAAAGATGGTTTTTCCATGTGGGCATGTTACATGCTGTAAATGTGAGTGTTCACCATACCCTCTCCACAATATGATTTTTGTTTCTACTTTGATCAATCATCTCCACAATATGATCATGCCTCAATAAATAGGACAATATACCTGAATCACTTCAAAAAGACTCTTCACATGCAAATATGAAGTATGGCCTAAAAAGGCCAAGAATGCAAGTCTGTATATCTGAAAATGTCACACCAGTGTCTGGTTGAACAAAAATGTCATTCAGTAGAGTGAATGTATTTTTCCCTGAACCCTTATGTGATTCATAAGTGCCAATCATCACGTATCTATGTCTACATCCTGCTAATTGCGTTTTGTCCTTTTATTATTATTTATTGGAGTGTCTCTTGACTATTAATGCTTTATGTTCTCTAAAACAATTTTAAAAATCATCAAAATTCAAGTTCACATCTTCTCCTGTAAGGTTTATTCGCAATTACGGAGTGGAGATTACTTAATGATAAGAAGGTTCAAGATAAGTGGGTAAAATGCCCAACGTGTCGACAACATACTGATGTTGGAAATATTGCTTATGCTGATGATGGACAAAGTGAATCTTCTTGTTCTTCTATGCTTCATGCAACCCAAAGTCGTGAAAAGGGTGAAGCATCTATTACAGTTAAAGGTTCATATGGTACCAAGGTACTCCTCCTACTACAGCACTGCCTTGTATAGTATAAATAATTTTCATGGCATGAAATTTGAGGCAATTTTATTATTCATGTGCTTCATCAATTTGTCAACGATGAAAACCGATGAAAGCTGCCTGTGTAATTCTATAATGGATATTTCAGTTTCAGCCTCTTTTCATTCAAGCACCATGATTTACTGATTGTATTGCATGGGGATTCAAATTTCAATCACTAGAGTGGTTACCAGTTACCAGTTACCGCATCATGTGATAATGTGCAGCAGACTTTAAATTAATACTTTAATAGTTCATCCTGCTCATTTGAATTTGGAATTTGATGCTATTAATGTGTCCTTAATTTTTCAGTCTAGCATAGTTGCGTGATCCAAAAAAAAATATATATATATATATATATATATGTCTAGCATTTTCTTCCCTGGAGAAAAGAATTTCCCTTGCCATTTTATTACTATAATTTGGTTCAGCAAGTTTGGATTAATGTTCATTTGTGGGGACATTGTGAAGATTGAAGCAGTCACAAGAAGAATCCTCTGGATAAAGACTACAGATCCAGAGGCTAAAGTCCTTGTTTTCTCAAGCTGGCATGATGTCCTTAATGTATTGGAGCATGCCTTCACTGCTAATGGCATTACCCATATTCGGATGAAAGGAGGAAGGTAAGAGGATCTGTCGAACAGCTTGTTGGGGACTTGAATCATGAATGAACTTGGACTTTCTTGTCTTCATTTTTCTTGATAATCTGGCTCTGTAAGTGCAGGAAATCACAAGTTTCCATTAGCGAATTCAAAGGAGAAAAGAGAAGCACGAAAGGAAATCACAAGATGCACAGCCAGGAACCAGACGTAAGACCTGTTCAAGTATTACTGCTCTTAATTCAACATGGAGCTAACGGCCTCAATCTTCTAGAAGCGAAGCATGTTATTCTTGTTGAGCCACTTCTCAATCCAGCAGTAGAAGCACAAGCAATCAGCCGGGTACACCGAATCGGACAGAAAAATAGGACCATAGCTCATCGTTTCATAGTATGTGTCTCTCTTTCTGATTCTTTAAATAAGGGAACTTTGCATGCAACAAAACACGTATGTAATCTCTCCTGTTATTTTTGTGGTGTTAGGTTAAAGGCACAGTTGAAGAGAGTATATATAAACTCAATCAGAGCAAGAACACCACTGCCTTCATTAACGGGAACACAAAGAATCAAGATGAACCTTTTTTGACATTAAAAGACATTGAATCCTTATTTGCAACAGCGCCACCCGCTGTACCAGAAGCTGATGAAAAGCCAACTGAGAGTTCCGATGAAAAGGAAACTGAGAGTCTAAGGCATTTGCCTCCTTCTGTGGCTGCTGCTATAGCAGCTGAAAAGAGACAGAAGGAGCAGCATGCATGTTCATGAGGGCCCTCACCAATTTATTCCATTCATCAAAAGCAGGAAGATAAAAAAGGCATTTTGTTAGGCGTTCTAACCATCTTTCTGTTTAGAATTTTATATTCAAAACTTTATGTTCATGTATATATGGGATTTTTTCATTAATGTTGCTGTAAATTTGTTAGATGTGTGATGTTAATATTACTGTAAATTTGTTAAGATGTCTCTCTGTCTCTGTCTCTCTCTATATATATATGTGTGTGTGTAAAAAGCACCTCTGTTTCGTGGGTTTCAGGTTATTCAGCTAAAGTAGAATCCTTTTCGGTTACAAATTGATTTGTCAACTCAAGACCCGAAATGTTTATCCACAACATCTTCATATTCTTCAAGGAACTGTGACACATTTGAAAATACAAAACTTTGAATTGTTTGTACTTTGAATGTTTTGTTCCTCTTCACACGTTGAACAAGATTTGCAATCAAACAAACCCATTCTGTATGAGTGTGAAGCTCTCGAACGTACCGCATTAGAATTTGGGGATGGGAGAACAAGTGGCAGCCACAAAGCCGTGGCCTTCTTTGACAAGCAAAAGGACTCAGAACTTCTGACGTGGGCCATGACCCTTTGAAAAGCGTGCCTCTTGTTGAAAAGAAGGCACCACCGAACTCTCTGTAAGCATCATCTCTAATTCCAAACGATCCTATGTCCACCGTGTCACACGTGCCCCCCCCCCCTCCTTGTCACGTGTCCACTACGGACACGTGGAGCAACATAAACTACATCAACCTCTCACCCTCTGACCTCTATATATCCAAGTCCAAACACCCCAATCTCATAAACCATACATCCAAACTAGACTAGGGTAACGATGGAGCTCTCTCTGTGTCACACAAAAACTCACAACTTTTGCTCTTCTTCTATCCCCATACACAAAACCAGAGACCCTTCAACTCTCAACCCTTCTTGGGGATTGAGACTTAGGCCATGGCAGAATCATGGGTTAAGCTTAATGCAGCAAAGAGTGGATCACAAGAAATCAACATCAGCAGTGGTGGTTCGATGTGCAGACACCGGTTGTTCGTCGGGGCCGGTGAGCGAGATAGAAGGAGAGCTGGAGGCGGAGATTCGACCAGAAGACGGAGCAGAGGAGTGGCTGAGAGTAGGGAGGCTGAGAGAGAAGTGTGGAGACAGAGGAATGGTGGAGCTGTTGGAATGTTTGGAACGTGAAGCCATCATGGGAGAAGATGAAGGCAAGGAACCCAATGACTACAACAGAAGGGCTCAGATCTTTTATAAGAGTTCCAGAGTTTTCCAGGCTCTCAAGGAACGTAACCAGTCTTGATATTCATGTCCAATCTTCATTACAATGCAACGATTGTATTGATAAATTGTTATTTAAGGAATAAAAATGTTCTCTTCTTGCAGCATATTTCAATTTCAAGCAATATTGTTCACACAAAGTTGTAAAAATAGGCACATTCATTGTTTAAAACTTACCAATTTTCTAAGCTTGAGGTGATTTCTGTGCAAGTTTCTTGGAGCTCCAAAGAAATAACACACATTAACACAGCAATATGAATTTTCACCAAAAGAAGGAATTACCAATAGACTGAAATAAACGCGTCAATTCAATTAATAAAAAGCAGTGCTCCAAACAAATTAGGCCTAACAACTCTAAAAGAAGAAAACAATATTAAAAAAATTCTACGTACTACAATACTCAAATGGGAATGATCCCATATGGTCTGACTGGCCTAGAGCGAGCACAACCACCGTAAAACTGCTTCACTAAAATGTGGCCACAATTCCTACAAGACTCACTAACAGAACTTCCAACGGTTGTTGCAGTTTACACATGTTACATATGTTGTCATAGGTTCATCGGCACTCCTGGTCTGCATTTGGTAATAGGTGGTCTTCCTGTGCCCGCATCGACCGCATTTGAATTGATCGGTTGTAGCTTTTGGCGCACCTCCACGCTCACACTCAAACAAGGCTTTTTGTTCAAGCTTTTTGTTCTCCTCCTGCCTCTGATCGCTTGCCATTTCCGCCGTTGACATGTCCACCAGCCTCTCTGCCTCGATGTCTCCGAGCAGAACCTTTCTACGGAAATCTGGGTTCTTTTGGTCCTTGAGGTTGAAGATTAAAGATCGATACTTTGCCTTCTGGGCACCAGTGGAACCACCCCAGTGCTCAAAGAGCACAGATTCCACAGTCACAGCAACTCTAATAGGATCAGATGCATTCACATAATCTGCAAATCTTTCGTCAGCCTCCTGAGAAACCTTGGACAAAGCCTCATGCAGCATTACCCTTACTCTGTCCCGTGCTGTATCATTAGACTTGATCATAGATGTTAACTTTGGGGGAGCAGAGGAGTTCAGTGCCGGTTTCTTCACTTCTTTGGCTATCTTTTCAACCTTAACACTCTCTGCTGAAGCGGCTTTCTCTGTCTTGACAGCATTAGCATTTTGAACCTTTCTCTCTGTCTTGACAGTTTCAGAACTATAAGCTTTGTCAGAGCTTGGTTTAACACCTCGATCAACCTTCTTAATCTCAACAGGTTCCGCCTTTGAAACCTTCTCTACCTTCACAGCAGATGTCTTCTGAACCTTCTCAGCCCTGGGACTCTCCGCACTTGGAGACGCACGTTTTAGAGAGTCTATTCTTTCCAAGTTGCCGTTTTTCGCATCTTTGTTTGCTTCCTTGATAACAATCCCTTTCCATGTATCAATCAGGGCAGAAGAAAATGTCTGGATTTTCTTTCTGGGATGTTTTGTGAGATGTCGAAGACGCTTTCCAACCTGGAAAATTGCAATCAAAGTTCAGACCAAACCTCAAATCTTATTTAGCAGGTAAGCAAATCATACGAATTGCAGTACAGTGAATTCAACATGAATCTTTAAACCAAGCAACAACTCAAAAGCATTAGGCATTGCAGCAGTATCAACCACTAAACATACAACCCCTATGCGGATGTGTGTATACGAATACCCATAGATTTTGGGCCCTAATTGGATCAAAGACCTAAAAACCAAACAGAAAATTGTCTGGGGCAGGCAATAGCCGTGACATCTTGATAGAGAACTTCAATTTATGCTGCTAATATCTAGTCTCTAAGAGTTAAATTTGCATATTATAGTCACGAAAGAAGTTGAACCAAGGAATTAGAAGCAAATGTGATGTTTTAAATCAGGAAATTGCAGCTTGGTTTCTTATGGGAGTTAAAATTCTGAATGATACAGTTCAAATTGTTTCAGTCCACCAAGTTTCTTCTATAAAAAAATTTAAAAAATTATATAAATTATAATATATAAAAAAATCTTTCAGATCCAAATTTGATTCCGATAATTAAAAGCCTTTTGATGAACCAAAGAGAGCACAATTATTTAGAAATTGAAACATGCTGCAAACCTATAAACGCCAAAACAAGGATAACAGAGGAAGAAATTAATCAATTAATTAAAAAGAAAAAGAAAAAAAAACATACTTGGGTTGAGATGAGGAGTTGATAAGTGACGGGAAAATTCTTGAGCTGCTCCAAGGCATCAAGGCATTGGCTTTCCTCGGCTCCTCCGTCACAAGACGTGGCGGCGTCCGCCGATTTCTTCACCGCTTCGAACAACTCCAACAGCTCCTTCTCCATCTTCCCCAATTCCCCCTTTTTTTCTCTCTTCAATCCCGTAAAAATTGAGCTCAAAGATCAATACTTTGATCACTTATTCAACCAAAAACAAAAACCCAACAGCAATTAAATCGAATTGAAAGGAAGAATTGGAAAACCTAGATAGAGAGAGAGAGAGAGAGAGAGAGAGATCGTTGTGATGAAAAAACGAGAGAGAGAGAGACTCTGTGACAGTCCGTCCTCTCTTTTATTTTGCTGCCGATAAAATTTCCTGTTCTGTTCAGGAGAGACGCGAAAAAGACGTTAACACTATTTAAATCTCTCGGAGAGCGAAGATCGGACGGCTGATGTGAGGACACTTGTGATTGATGATAGATAGCATCACAGAGGACCTTTTTACTGGTCACAAAGTCTCAGTTTCTTAGATTTAGGGTTCGGTTTGGTTGTTTGGTTCTGTTTTTGGTACCCTTTTTTTTACTTTTCATAATCGAGTTTGGCGCGTCAACTTACGCGCCTCCTCTTTTATTTATTCTACCTACCTACCTACCTAGCTAATATTGGAAAAGAATTTAGAATTGTTACCAAAAAAAAAGAATTTAGAATAATAGAATCCATTTGAATTCGGTGTGTACTGTGTACTTTGCGGCTTTTTCCCTTTTCCTTTTTATTTTATCCTTATTTCTTTTATTTTTAATAACTTTTTTATTTAAATAAATTAGAAAAGAGCTTTCTCGGTTGGTGGGCTTCCAATTTGGGAGCGAGGACAAATGGCGTTTCTTATGATGCATACATATGGGCTTGGTCTCCAAGCTATGGCAATGACCCAAACACAAAAACATTGGTATTTTGGGCATTAAAGTTATCTCTGCACCCGAGGTCTTGTGTCCAAAATCCCTCTTCCCCAATATCGTCTGTATGTATGTAGCGGGAAAGAAACCAAAGCAAATCAACAAAGTTTTCCTGTTACGGAGAAGGGCTCATAGCTAATATTGTGGGCTTGTTCGTCTTATAGAATTCCATATGTTTAAACAGAAAGCAGAGAGTAAAATTGCAGGAATGGCATAAACAAGAACCAGGAATTAGTGCAAAGAAAGGGTTTGCCTGTAATTAACAATTAAATTAAGTAGGAAACTACACGATTATTATTCGCATAAACTCTATCCATTGTAGTCTCATCAAAAAAACATTTCCCATCTGGTCATCAGTCTCATCAAACAGAGTTTTACCAGAATGTTCAATTCCATTTTCACTTGTCTTCAGGCTCCGGCTTCTCCAAAAAGGTCTTCCTCAGCCAATCAAATGGCTGCAAAAATTCATAGAATAACAAAATATTAGACAAATACGATTTAACTAATGATTTAAGAAGGTAGAGTTGCAGTGATGTTCATGTACACATGGATTCTGTGAAAGTGCAAAACATCAATGGAGCTTATAAACACTCCATCATGACTTACTCCTGTAATCTCTAAGTCAGTCAGAGGAGTTTTTAATATCAAAAACCTCAAACATTATCCACATAAATCCCTCCAAAGATCTCCGGCAATGAAGCACGAGTGCATGTGCGTGCGAGCGTGAAGCTATCGATTGGTGGAAAAATTAAAGAAAATTGGCAAGGAGAACAATCGAAATGGATGCTTGCACATCAAAATTTAAGATGGATTTCATCTAAAGAAAGCTGACATATCAAAAGTCTAATTTTGATAGCCCAAGCACAGCTGCTGAGCAAGTTGCATTTCATCTACAACAAGAACAGCGACCCCCCGGACCCGGATCCATTTGACATGACTAAAATTATGTGCTGATGGTTTTAATTATTTTCGTTTCTTCCTAAAATTATAGGTTGCCCTTTCATACATAGCAAATGAAAACAAGTGTCTAACTGTGCTACCAGATATGTCTGAAGAGGAAAACAATTTCTCATCTGTCCAAAATTATCAGAAAATCCACAGAAGGTTTCAGCAAAAAGAAAACTACTCAATCAGAAAACACAAGCATCAGAGCTTGATCCCATTGAATCGAGATTTCCTACACCAATAAACCAAAAATTCTAGCAAAAATAATTTGCAATCACATAAACACCGTCAAATCAATACTTGAATTAATTCGTCTTCATGCAAATCCTCTGAAAAAGGAAAGCCTTTTTGACATGCTTTGATTATATTTTACACACAAAGAATGATGATTTATATTCAAAAAAAGAAGAACATAAAAGGCGCGATCTAATAGAGGCCATGGACAATCGAAGGAGAAGAAGAAATGAAAGAGAGGGATTGATTGACCTGGACGAGCCAAAGAGCACCGGTGACGGCAGCGATACCCCACCCGGCAGCGGCTTGGAGATCAGTGGTATGGGGACGATGCCTTGACTTCATGAACCTGAAAGCAGTCAATTCACCCGCCATTACTCTCCTCTGATTTTTGAGTCGTCCTCACTTCTCACTCCTCAATCCTCAATTCTCAGCCCTAACCCTAAAATCACCCAATTAATGCTCGAATCTTTGCTCCTCAGTTCGCACAATCTGTCAAATCAATGGTGGGTTTCGTGTGTAAATAATAAATTCTGCGTTCGCTGTAACAGTCATTCATCTGCTGCCGTCGACTATTCTCATCGTTGATTATCTGCCGTTGGATTATTCTCATTTCGTGGGACCCTGCTAATCGCTAGCCTAGTAAGTAGTATAACATTTTCTTTATTTTCCTTTATCAGGTAAAATTATTTATTTTCTTTTTGTTCTTTTTTTTCCCAATTTTTAGGAATTAATTTGACCTTGTAAAATTCTGTTTGAAGGCGTTAAGCAATCTAAAAAACAGAGGCTAAATGTGGAGAATTGCATTGCAACACTTCAAATGCAGGCTAAGCCTGAGCCGAAACAAAACACAAAGTATTCTCAAGGCCTGACTTATATCATTCAACATTTCCATAAATTGTATCCCTAGTCGAAAACAGTCGAGAAGATATAGAACTAGAACTCATATTTTCAAAACATTCTTTTTGTCCTAAGTCCCTATTTAAATTGAATTTGAGAGTTGAGTACTGCTCTGCTTGACACTATCCGGTTTACGACCCTTGTCTGGGCCGCCGATTACCCCCCATGTCTCAAATTGCTTTTGTCGAGCTCTTGCCCTCTCCTTCTCTTCATCAGATTTTGACGAGTAACAGTACGGACAAGAAACTCCATATTCCCACAGAGGCGACTCCATATCAGCATCACTGACTGGTTGCTTACAACCATAGCATAACTTGTGAGTTCCCTGTGCCAACCCATGCTCAACTGATACCCTCTTGTCAAAGACAAAGCACTCTCCCTCCCACAGGCTCTCTGTCTCTGGAACTTCCTCAAGATACTTCAGAATTCCACCTTCTAGATGATAAACCTGAGAAAGATGGATATAAAATCAAATAATCAGCAACACAGTTTTTAACCTTCACAAACCAGTTCGTGCCAAGAAATAATCTTGACACTCTAGATTGAGACCAAAATTTGTAGCACAAAATTCACCTCTTCGAAACCTTTGCTAAGGAGAAAACTTGAAGCTTTCTCGCATCTAATGCCCCCAGTACAGTACATGGCAACTCGCTGAGGTGTTTTTGGTTTTGAGATCTCTAGCTGGTTTTCGGTGCTTCCATTTGCACCATAGACTTCCACTTCTGAATGCCCATTCTCAGGTTCAGAAGGTTGAAACTCATCCTCTACCCAAGAGGGGAACTCCCGGAATGCTCTAGTACGAGGATCAACTGCTCCCTTGAACTTCCCTATTCTAGTTTCATAATTATTGCGCACATCAATAACTACCTGGATAAGTGCGTGTGTCAGAATTGAGGCGGTGCAGGTCAACCCATATCTCAGTGCATTCATTTATTTCTACACAGTACATACTACATGATAATATCATCAGCGGCAATTCATTCATGCAAAGTGAATATAATAATAAAACAAACACTACATGTGAAAATGTAGACAATTCTGCCATGTAAAAATTTGTACATTTGAAGTGTTACATTTTGATATTGATGCTAATTTTTTTTTAAAAACTATGATGATATTCCAGCATTTATCAAAACTTTATAAAAATACTGTAAATTCTTGGGGTTCAATGTCCAGGTGTTAAAAATCATGATTTTGTTAGAATCAAAACCAAGTCATCAAGGTCAACTTTTCCAATGTACTTGGTAAAGCTGAACAATATACTGCTAAGTCTATACAGACTATACTCAAAATACTGAACTCAAAAGCAATAAGACCATTATACATTCTGCATATCAAAGAAATTTGATTACAGCTCACCCGCAAACGAAGAAACCAATATAATGAAGAAAGTACTCACTGTATCTGGATCACTAATCAATGCATTCCAATCCCTTGGACTGACATACTTTCCAACCTTCTCAATTGGCGATACAGCCGGCATTCCAAGACTAACAATCTGCTTAAACATGTGCAAGAAGAAAATTAATAGTTAGAACCACCTCACAAATGAGAACAACAAAATGTACCCCACAAGTTCAAAATAAAGTTTGTAATATTCCATAACCCATACCTCCTTCTTCAACTTGACCCTCACATGATCCCATCTGAAGGGTGCATCTTCCCCTGCTGCCAGAGGAGAACTGCTAGTGAGTCCATGATGGATTGCTTCCTCCTCGGGGCTCACAGGTGATTCCACTCTTCGCAGTCCCTTGAGGCGGTCATCGCTTTGAATGAACGCAAGAACTTTCTCCACTGATTCTCGGGTCCCACATATGCTGCCGTTGATGCCTTCTGGTGCAAGTATGATACCACCTGAAACACGCTGGACATGATCAGCTTGGTGAGGTACGGACTAGACAGTACATAAGCTCTGGAAGAAAGAGTAAACAGAATCGAATAATAAGACATGGTGATGAAAGGTCCTGGATATTCTAAGCCATAAAAAAATGAAAATGCAATTATGACGCGGGCTTTTGAGAATTGCTAAGCGCCAAATTAAGATTTCCAACGACAAATTGATAACAGAATGTCACAAACCGGACTTTAACATATGCTAATTAGCCAAAATAAATTAAGTTCGAAATTTGCTAAGCTCACTCAAACTAACCCAACAATGCCTACATACTTAAAATTACTTCCACTAAAGAAAAGCACCACATAAATTTAAAAATTCATGGAATTCAACCAATAACAAACTAAACAAGTAAAGAAATAAAGAACTGTAGATTAAGAATGTGTACCAGTTCCTCGCAGAGCAGCTTCAGGGGTTGCCGCAAACGAGCATGGTCAGGAAAATCAGCAAACTTGTAGAAGGACACCACCACGAGAATTTGAGAATCCGAGTTATTCGATTCCGGTGAACTCGAAATGGGGACGGGACTGGTTTGGCCAGAGAAGCACCTTGAGAGCGTCATGCTTTGAGGGACGCCGTGAGAATCACAGAGTGAAATCCTGACGGGGTTAAAGAACAGTTGAGGATGGTGATTAGACGGTTCGGAAATTGACGAGGTGGGGTGCAATCTAGGGTTAGGGGTTATGGAGCGCAGTGAAGGTGACGATATCATCCTCAGTGAGAGTGATGGAGGTGCTGTACACCTCAGCATAGAATAATTTTTTTATTTTTGTTTTTTGGTTCTGAACCTTAGCGTGGAGTATACTGCTGGAGACTTCTGTATTTGGACTCGATGGCTGAATTTACAATTATGTCCGCGAATAATATGAGCGGGACAACGTGGCCTGTGGAGATTGCGTTGGCTGCGTGGCTTTATCCAATCATGGCGTCGTATATTTATAGCGGGAAAGGACAAAATAGTCTGATGTCAATTCGCGAATCTGGAAAATAGGTAACGTCGATTCTGCCCTGATTTGCTCCTACATCCAACGATCTCAAAGCCATCTGCCACATCCAACGATCCAAATCGCGTCTGCAGAGCCACCATTAACTGGTTAAATACACTCTCTGTGGCTGCGTTGCGTATGTTAAAACTTGGTATTACGCTTAATCAAACTTGCGGTGCGTATGATCAGCAAAATGAAGACGTTAGTAATAATGTGTGCAAATTCTCTTTGCTAATTTTTTCCCTCATATTAATTAACATGATGTGTACGTATTTCTTGAATGACTCAAATAGCTCATGTCGTTAATGAAAATTTTAATGAGTCAAGATACATTTAGTGTTACTATCAACCAAATGTGAAAATAGGACTCGTTTTTGAAATTCAACGACAATCTTGAGGACAAAAATATCGATAATTAAAATGTGTCACATCAACACCTTGATTTATTCAAGAAGGAATGGCTTTTATTTCTCAACGATAAAAACAAATTCCTTCAAATTAAGGATTACAACACTGAATCATGTAGGCAGTCTCTTTATCTATTTATAAATTATGACTCTTAAGATTCTAAGTTAACTTCTTTTATAATACTTACCCTTACGAGAACTCTAACGACTCCTATAATGCTTTCTATATATATATTTTTTTTTGAAAGTAAGTTAGTTTGTAATTAAACAATAATGGTTGTGCAATGATAAATAGGAAAAACAAGCCAATTAGACCTAGGGATGAAGGGCTGATGGGAGTTAGAATTTATAATATACTTTTCAAAAGGGTGAAGGGCTACACGTTAAAAGCGATGACCCTAAGAATACGATTTGGTTGCATTATTTCTATAGGGAAATTTGGCCACATCCATGTTAGAAACTAGGGTTCCATGGCAACCATATGTAATTGTGTAACATTTAATTTGCTTTAATATTCAGATGAAAAAGTCCACACACATTGCCCAATCAAAAGATCCCAACTAAGACCTTTTAGAAAGCAATGTTTAGGATGAGTTGCAACTTGCATGTGACACTACATAAATTCCAGTGCAACTTGTTGTAGTTAATGCTTCTAGACTGTGTGTGTTTTTTTTTCTCTTTCCAATATATGTAATTTCAAAATTATCTTCCCACATTAATTATATATATTTTTTAAAATAAGGAATAGTCTAAACTACAAGAGAGAAGAGAGTTTTTCTCATACACATTACTAAGGTGTCATGGAGGTTCGAATTTGAGACCATTAATCTACAACTTAAGGCTATTTTTCATTGGGCAAGATCTTGTTGACATACTATGTACTTTTTTTTAGTACAAGTGATAATCTAAACCACAAGGGAGGGGGATCTCTCTCTCTCTCTCTCTCACACACACACACACACACATACACACAACTATGATGCCGTGAGAATTCGAATTTGAGACATCCTGCAAGTCAATACTCTTTTCCACTATGCTAGATCTCATTGACCGCATACTATGTACTTAAAAAAGCATAAGCATGGCTCTTTAGCTTTAAAAATTATGGTTAGAAATTTTCAAATGCTATGATTAGGGTTATGAAAGTTGATTAGTGAACAAAAGTCATATTAAAGAGTAAGATAACTTATTATAAGAAAAGTATAGCTAGTCAGAATCTGATTAGTGGATATACATTGAATAATTAATCACACTTTATTGTACCAAACAAAATTTTTGAAAGATAGTAAAATAGTAGCAAGCACACCCTGCCAGGTGGCTTGAAAATGAAAGCTCAATGCTGTCAGCTTTACATCACTACCATGACGTCAGCTCAGCCAATGTAAGCATTTCATTCGAATTTTCTCTTTTACTTTTAAATTATATGGCTTTCAGCTCCTTCCTTACATCTTCCACTGAATTGCTTCTCTCTTTCCTTCTCTCATATCATAAAAGCCATATCCCCTCCTCCTCTCATATCCCATCCAGACACACCCATTTCAGATTTTCATTTTTCACACAAAAACACAGACAGCCAAAAAAAAAAAAAAAAAAAAAAAAAAAAAAAAAAAAAAAAAACCAAATTAAAAAACCAAATGGGAAGCAACCATAAGAGACTGATCAAGGAGCTAGTTGAAGGGAAGAAGACGGCGACTGAGCTTCAGATGCTGCTTCACAAGCCCCTTGGAGATCATGGGTCGGCCTCAGCTGAGGAGCTTGTGGTGAAGATCATGACAAGTTTTACAGAGAGTCTCTCTGTTTTGGCTGCTGAGAAGAAGAACCCAGGTGATGGCCATGAAGATCACCAGTCTGGTGCTTTTGGCGAGGTTTATCAGATCAAACCGGAGCCTTCCCATTCACATTGTGACGACCGGAGCTCTGGAGATTCCGGCGAGAGTAGGAAAGTGCAGGGTTCCAAGGATCGGAGAGGTTGCTACAAGAGAAGGTACTGATTTGAATGATCTCTCATATCTGAATAATTGTTTGCCAGTTTCTGTTTTCTTCTTCTTCTTCTTGTGGTTTTGTTTTTTGGGTTATTTTGTCATTTTACTAAAAGATTTGGAAATCTCTTGCCTTTTGGGTTAAGGAAGATATGTGATATGACAAGGAGTTGGATATTTAGGCCTAGTTTTCCAGCATATTTGTTGAGCCTTTATCTTTGGGACTTTCTTTATAGCAAATCTCAAGTTTCTTAACACAGTTAATTAGGTGTTTCACTGTTTTTGCTTCTGTGGTTTGACATGGCTGTTTCATCTTCTTGGTTGCAGAAAGACTTCCCAATCATGGACAACAATCTCTTCTGCAATTGAAGATGGCCGGGCTTGGAGAAAATATGGCCAAAAGGAAATCCTCAATGCTCCATATCCAAGGTTAGGTTTTACTTTTTTTTACTCTAAAAAATGAATAAATCCCCTTTTGGCCCATGCATCATCTCACTGTCAAAAATATAAGTTAGCCCACCCCTTACACCCAAATTCAAATTCCCTTTCCAGTATACAAAGATTGGAACAGCTTAGGGCCGGGTATGAAAATACCATCCCATCTCCGGCCCCATCCCCATCCTAATTCCCGTCTCCGTTCCATCCCATCGAGGGACTCGTCTAAATCTACGGATTAGATTAAGTTAGAGTATATTATCACTCGTATAAAAGAATAAGGGAATCCGAAACTGCAAACGAAAGGAAGGAATTGTAACAACCAAAGTTGCGTTCCCATTTCAGTCCAAAGAAAAAAAGTTGGGTTCACATTACACGTCTGATGGGATGACATACACATAAAGTTTATCTTCTATTTTCCAAATACCTTAAGCCACATAAAGTTAAAATAGCAGGCCCCAGCAATTATTGCAGCAGTGCTTATTGAAAGCCATTAAAGAAACAAAGGAACCAAACATGCATAGACTTTTATCAATAAAGAACTTTACAAAATTCCATACCTAACAGAAAACAAAAACTGAATTCTATTTATGCTTATTGATTCTGTGTTGGGATTTTTTCCCTGTTCTTTTTCTCTTGGTAATTACCACAAAAAGCCTAACATATTTATCTCATGGACTTTGGTTGACAGAGCTTACTTCAGATGCACACGCAAGTATGATCAGGGCTGCAGAGCAACCAAACAAGTCCAGCAAGTCCAAGACAACCCTCGCCTGTACCAAACCACATACATTGGCCAGCACACATGCAAAAGCATGGTCCCTCCACAGATGATCATAGGCTCCTCTGATCATTGGGAATCTCAGACTGTGAGCTCAGAATCCGAGACCCCAAACAAGCAAAACCATGATTTCCTTGGCTCATCAGCAATTCCCTTTGTAAAACAGGAAGAATACAAGGAAGGGACACCAACACCAAGTGACCTAACAGACAACCTTTCCTCGTTGGAGACTAATCATCTGTGGTCTGATTTCAAGGATGATTTTGCTTTGTGTGACCCTGCAGCAATGTGTGTGTCTACCAAGTTGGGGTCTGATAATGAGGATGTGGTTTCAAACATGTACTTGGACATGGATTTTGTGGTCAAGTCTATCGATTTCGATCGTGATTTTAATTTTGATGAAGTTGAATTTCCTAAGAACTCCTTGTAATAATAGGGTTGTTGATGCTAAGCTAAGCTAGCCCTTGTAATTTGCTAGATTGATGTCACTTGAGACATGTTCTCACATCATTTGTAATTCCCAGTAGCATTCAATAATGATGTTTATAATCAGTTTTGAGTTAGGAAACTTATGTTTCTCCACATTACACATAACATGAATGGCCACAGGATACAAAATCAAAAGTTTGTAATTGTCTAATTGAGAAGTTCTCAAGTAAAGAATAGACCATCAGATTGATTTCCTCCATATACCTGCTACACTATGACTATGAGATACAAATTTAAATCCACATAAAATCGCCAGTAAAGACATGAATGCATTACGTGGTGAATTTGAACACACCTTGTTACAAACACCTGTGAAACGTTAATTAATGAACTTTCCTAGAAGTTTAGGTTGACTGACTCTGATGAATTGGTTGATTAATCAGCTCCTGTGGTCCCATTGACTAAAGAACATTACGAGGAAAATTTGGCCAGCTGCTGGCCGAAAGTACTAGCATATCCTGCTACTGGCCTCAGTTTTTCTTGTCCTCTGACTCCCATTTATTTTCAGCAGAATGGAAAATAAAATCCATACTATTGCTGCTGCTGCTGCCTGAATTGAACATTGCATCAGCCAAATCCACTACAGGAAAGTCAACTTCTTTACCGTAGCGCGTGGTGGTGGATGTGCCTACACCATCACCACCGCCACGGTTGCCACCTAGCATCGTACTGCTGCTGCCGCCGCCTCCTCTAATTGGGTTAAAGTCCATGGAAAGCCATAGAGATGCTGTAGGAGGGTCAGCTGTTGTGGTAGTCGCTAGGGTTTGGGCCATACTCTCTTGTGTAGCATTATGATGTTCCGCTGATGGTGGTGGAATTGAAGGTGCAGTGGCTGACATGTGACATGTATGTTCACCTCTGTACATTACTTCAAATGTTAAGGGATCATTGTTAAGCCTCTGGACTTGCTTCTTGGCTGGGCAATCGTAGAGCTTTTGGTGGGTGCACCTATAGTAACTCCTGAAAGAGATGTGTGGTTAATTATTTAATTAATTCATGGTAGGTAATTATGACCCGACATTTAATATAGACAATATATATATATATGGCTAGTTGAATGGAACATTCTCAAGTCAATGCTCCACTCTGGACAGAGGTCTGCGCATTTACTAAGGAGCTGATTGATCAGTGGAATTCAAGACCATTTGCCAAGTTCCAGTCAAAACTATTTGAATGCTGACCAAGTCAATTTTGGTCAACCCCATGAATATTTCATTCCGCTAATCATAAACAAAGGTAAAAGCTAGCTAGCATAAAAAATAAAATAAATAAAAATTGACACTAATTAATTGTACCAACTTGAATCAAAGAGCTCCAATCTCTGATAATCACTCACTCAAGCTGGCATATATATAATATAAGCTGGTATATTTTTGAGTTGAATGTGTCAAATAAGCTGTAACCTTCAATCCATTTGAATATGATCCTTTTGTTTAGACAAACAATATCGGTGGAGGGGAAATCGAATACAAAACTTCGGGTGAAGTTCCTTATGTCAATATGAAAAGAAAAAAAAATTAATTACCTTGGGAACCTGGAGCCCATGATCTCCTTCTGACCATATTTTCTCCAAGTGAAGCCATCCTCTGGTGGGATTTCTGTATTTCCAATCCGAGGTGCTGGAACTGTAATTTTGCTGATTAACCCCTGATCCTTCCTATTTAATTAATTAAATGAACACAAAGCTGTTAGCCCAACTGTCCAGAAAGACAATATGTGAACTTGCTTAGCAATTATAACAAAGCTTTTCTTGTGCCTGTAAAACATCAAACATTTGCATGCTTCCAAAACAGTTAGAAAAATGTATTTGGTTCACACAGTAAAAGACAGAAATAGCATATATGCTTTTATATAGGGGTCTTTTTCTAAGAAACAGCTTGGTAATGCTCTTCTGCTTTCTGCACATTTTCCTTAATTCTTCTTCGCAACTTACAAAGGTTGTTTCAAATGACAAAAGCAATAATTCAAGACATTGTTTTTAATTGCATGTGCAAACTAAGATCAAATAGAAAATTTACATAATCTAAGACTACACAGTTACCTTCTTCTTGGTCTTTGTGAGGATGATGCAGCAATGTTCGTGTCAGAAGCTGATACTATATCCATTGCCTGAAGGCCCTTAACCTCTGCATCGTCGTCATCGATGCAGCCTCCAATCTTAGCTTCCTTCTGATCAGCTACAAGTTGGGTTGCATAACTAGAACTCAGCCATTCTTGTACATGACTTGTACCAATCTGCTGCTGGTGCGCAAGAGTAAGCATGTTGTGCAGACTTGAAGAAGTACTTGGATCTTGACCAAACACTCTCTCTCTGGCTGTATCAAATTTCTTTGTGATCTCATCCAAGGAGTTTGAGAGCAAGTTGGGCTGGTTGGCCAAGTTGTGTAGGTTTGATTCGAGGTCTCTGGCTAACTCACAAGCCTGAAGGATCAAAGAAATGGTGGTTTCATCCATGGCTTCTAGCTGCTGTTTTGGTTCTTTTTGGCTTGTCTTTGATTTGAACATGTTATGGTGGTGTGGAAATTTAAAAGGGAGCTGAATATAAGCTTTTGTGAGGCTTCTGTGTTGGTGCACCATTAAGAAAGAAAGGCTGAGGAAATGATTCAATGGTATTTGCGTTTCTTTTACACGGTACAAAAATATTTGGGAAAGTATGCATCTATGACTTGGTCTTGGTCAGATGGTCTCCATTTGGGATTTCAAACCATTCTGTTTCTCTTCCTTTTAGTCTAGAAGAAGACCTTGCTTCATTGAAACCAATTTTGTTGGACCTTTTTTTCTTTCCTTCTGAGGTTTGAACTTATTAACTTATTGCTTAGAGTATTGAGGAAATTAATTAAAGGAAAATGTTACTCAACTAGTTGCTATGGTAATTTGTGTTTGAAAACCCTTGCCCCGACGTTGAAGGTACCTCCTCACCAATGGTCATCCATTTGTAGAAACTGGACCGTCTCATGGACCAATCAGCGCAGTCAAGATTCCATGGGTCCCATCCGTCGTTTCCATGAAAAAATGTAAGATGAAGAGGTTGAATTTTTTCTGTAACGGTTGCATTGCATCGTCACATGGTGTTAACGATTCACTTATGTTATAACAAGTGTATGAATATATCTATAAAATTTATATCATTAGGTTTATGACATATCAATTATGTCGCTCACTCATATAATGACACATGAGTTAATAACATTACAGTACAATCAAACCGTGACACGCAAATATTTTGCGACAAAGACAAACTTTACATGTGCTCACACCTAAAAATCTACCTAAAACGCACCCAAGATTGTTAAGAACAAAAAAAAAGGCTTCAACACAAGTCCCCTCGCATATTATAACATAATAGGGTATGAATCTTTAAAGCAATCTCATTTTCTTATCAACTTCACCCTCACCCAATTTTGGTGTGATCAAACCTGACCTCCATGCAATTACCACTCTTTATCACACATCTACCCAGAACCAAACCCTAAAAACCTTCAAGTAGCAAGTCCTGTTGCTGCAAACTCATTCAAAGGTTGACTTCTTTGGGTGCTAAGTAGAATATCGCATATGTCCCTAGCAAGTATGAACAAGGGCATGCCATTGCAACTACCAGTCTTTATCAATTGCAGGTGGCAATAAGCCATGAAAACTAGATACTGAACAAAGAGGGCCCACAAACTATATATATATATATATATATCAATTGAAAATTAGATGACCAGAATTAGTAATAATCAAGAATGTGATCTTTTGTTTTTGGTTTGAAATTGAAACCCAAAGGGGAAATTTTATTAAGCAGAAGAAGACAATGCACACATAGATGTAGAAAGATATTCAAGTGAGATTTTGATTTCTTCTCCTCTCAGACTCTCAGTGAGATTTTCTCCAGAGTTAAGAATTTGGTTATCCAATAGAAGAAAGAGGCAAGAAATGTTTGTAATTTTCATTTTGATAAGTTATAATATCACCGGAAATGCAAGATGTACATATATTTTAGCCGTTCGGCTAAACTATTGCGTTTTATATATGTAGTATAGCCGGGCGGCTATACACGGCCTTTTTTAATTTATTTTTCAAAAATATTATAGCCGAACGGCTGTATTCGGTTTTATTAATCTTACTACACAGGGTATAGCCGCGCGGCTCAACATATTTTGACACGTGGGCGCCTAATCTCTAGGCGGGTCCTCTTTTGTTTTGTACTAAAGAGTTTAGCCGTGCGGCTATACTCTTTTAATTGTTTTTAAGAAATAGTACAGCCGAGCGGCTATATGCGGGCTTTCCTATTTTTTATTTAAAAATAGTATAGCCGACCGGCTATACTCTGTTTTAAAAAATAATATAACCGCACGGCTAGACGTATTTTGACATGTAGACGCCTAATCTCTAGGCGGGTCCTCTTTTGTTTTTTTTTAATAAATAGGATTGCCGCGCGGCTATACTAGATTTTAAAATTGTTTTAAGAAATACTATGCTCTAATATAGAAATAGTAGAGCATGTAAAAACGTGTTTTTTTCTTTCTAAAATTAGTAAGTTTGGAGGGTAAAACTGAAATGGTAACACAGTGTCTGTTTTTACAGGTGAGCCAAATCTTGGAGACTGCTAAAATCCTATGATTCTCATCATTCCGTTGGATTAAACGTTGTCAGAGAAAGTGATACAGAGACAAAGACAAAGATGGGTCACAGAGAAAGCGTCAGGTTTGATCTGTGTTCAAAATGGTATATAATAATTTTGATGCTTATGCACTTGATTATTTTAGCTGCTGCTTCGATCCATGAATACCAAGACGATTCATTTATTCGTCGTTCCAATTCCTTCTTCTTCCATGGAGGAAGTGAAGGTCTCTATGCTTCCAAACTTGACTCTGATGATGGCAAGTCTGCTTCTGAAGATAAGCCCCTCATTGGCAAGTCTTTCATCAGGTAAATCAAAGCTGCCATTTCCCTGTTTTTAGTTTTTGTTTATGAGCCAATGAGCCATGGATGTTCCTGATCTGTTTGTTTTAGGGGAATGAATGATGGGTTCTCTTTATTCTGTTATTGGTAATTGTTTTGATTAGGCAAAAGTGAATTATTTTGAGTTTTTATCTCTTCAAAGCTTGGGTTTATGGATTGAATGTGCAATGCCTCTCATTCAGTGCTTGATTGATTTCTTTCAATAAGGGCTGGCTCTTACCTGCCAGTGCTAGATACCATGAAATTGAAATCTAGGACAAAAAAAGAATCAATTAAACCCTAATGGCTGTGTTTTGGGGTACCCCTTTTTGTTTTCCTTTTTCTGTTGGGCTTTTACAAGAAGACAATGAGAGAATGTCACTGACGGCTGCTCTATGGGAAATTCATTGATTAAACATGTTTTATCAAATGAGGTCTTCTGTAAGTTTCTGTGTATGAACCAAAGAGTCGAAGGGTTTATTCTTCCTTGCCATATGTAAATTCAGGTTTGAATCGATCATCTTCCGAAGAACCAAGGAATCTGCTGAAAAGAAGAATGAGATGCAGCAGAGGACTGGGTTGGTTGAGGCTATTGTACTCGAAGTTAGGGACCGGGAGAAGATTGGAGGTTCTTATTTGAACTCTGAGGCAATATGCTGCACCCCAGAGCTATCCAAGGATGGTTCCTGCAAGGTTGGAGAGGTTATCATCCAACAAAACCCAGACAACCCTGATGGGCCAAAAAGGATGCAGACCTTCTTTGAGGGGAAAAATGAAGAGGCTAACATGGATATCCAAACTATTGAGATCAACAGCACTGGAATGTACTATCTGTATTTTATGTTCTGTGATCCAGAACTTGTGGGCACATTAATCAGTGGAAGAACGGTTTGGAGGAACCCTGATGGTTATTTACCTGGAAAAATGTCCCCACTGATGACATTTTTTGGCCTAATGTCTTTAGCTTACCTTGTCCTGGGTCTTCTCTGGTTTCTCCGCTTTTTACAGTATTGGAAAGATATAATACAATTGCACTACCACATCAGTGCTGTAATTGGTCTTGGAATGTGTGAAATGGCCCTTTGGTATTTTGAATACGCAAATTTCAATTCCACTGGAACCAGACCAATGGGAATCACCATATGGGCAGTAACCTTCAGTGCTGTTAAAAAAACTGTCTCCCGGCTTCTTCTTCTGGTGGTTTCAATGGGCTATGGTGTTGTGCGGCCAACTCTCGGTGGTATAACCTCAAAAGTTCTTCTTCTTGGCGTGACATATTTTGTAGCATCAGAAGCACTTGAGCTTGTTGAACATTTGGGGAATATCAACGACTTTTCTGGAAAAGCAAGGCTTTTTCTGGTGTTACCGGTTGCTCTCTTAGATGCCTGTTTTATTCTTTGGATCTTTTCATCGTTATCTAAAACTTTGGAGAAGCTTCAGGTAACCTTATTTTTCATGTTCATCCTTTCCTACATTGACAAGGCTATGTGTCTCTCCAGTAGTTTACAATTGTTGAAGGGAAGGGAATAAGTTGTCGTGCTCATTACTAAAGTTTAAGAGTTATGCAGGTGATATATAGACATCAGACACATGAAACTCTTTGGGTAAAATATAAGTATTTAAAATTAAGAAAACCTTATCAGTACATGAATTTACATTGTGGCTTGACCTTCATCCGCACAGACAGTCACTAACTAATAGGCATATTTCCTATCTTGGATGTGTGTGTGCATTCTAGAAACCTAGCCAACATTTTTTCAATGCAAGGGGCACAATTGACTCCATTCTCTCTTTTTCTGCATTACTGCCTCCGAAGATCTTAGAAGGTATTCAGTGCTTAGGAACAGGGTACCATCTATATATTTGAGATGTTTACTGTGGAACAATTTTTTTCGTGCCTGTTACATATATGGAATGATTCATTAGCTTGCCTTTAGAATGCAACACTTCGTATTCAGCCTGAGGAAACTAATTCATATGTCTCTTTGTCTAATGTGCGCACAGATTCGAAGAAGCATGGCCAAACTTGAGCTGTACCGGAGGTTTACTAATTCCCTTGCAGTATCAGTGCTGCTCTCTGTTGCTTGGATTGGTTATGAGGTCAGTTTTGTTTTATTTTCTGTTCCCGTGGTCTTATATTTCTTCCAACTGTCATTTTATAGTGATCGATAACTCACAAATAGTTCCTGCCCGACTGTCATTTTGTCAAATAATACCTTTTTCGCTTCGTTTTCTTTTGTGTATGATAGTATGATTTGTGCAATTAAGAATTGAACTTCTGATCTGTCTTTTCAGTTGTATTTCAATGCGACCGACCCATTGAGTGAACTGTGGCGAAGAGCCTGGGTCATCCCAGCTTTCTGGACTCTGCTTGCGTATTTGCTGTTGGTGGTGATATGTGCTCTTTGGGCTCCATCTCATAATCCAACTGGGTATCCTCTAAATTCTTACCTCCTTTTAATTGCATGCTACAAATTTCTGAGTTTGCTTCAGTTGGCTTTTGCTTTTATGGCCGCTTGTATAACTTCAAAACATTATGTGAATTGAATGAATTGAAACATGCATTAAAATGCTTTCCAAGAGAGAAGAAAAGAACTTTTAAATGAAATGAACTTTATGTGACGTTCTGCAGACGAGCACAGGAGCTGCCCAGCATACAAAATCTAATAAACCAAACCTTGATGAGTGTATAATACACTGATGATTAAGTGAAGTTATTTTCTATTGGTGTTGCATGTCTGAACTGTGTTTTCGTATGTTTCCTGAGTTGTTTAATATAATGGACAAGACAACATATCATTCAATTTCGTTAAGATTTTGATTCTGTCCCAAGTTTCAACTCTTGTGTGCACAAACAATGTGGATAGGGTAACTGCAGCTTTCTTAAGGAATGTTTAATAGACCAGCTGAGGAGACTTTGAATTTTGACTAATGTGGGCTTGTTGTCCAGATATGCATACTCGGAAGAGACTGGGGATGACTTTGACGAGGAGGGTATCTCGCTAACCGGAAGTGGAATTAAGGTGGCCGGCGGTGACTTGGCAACCAAGCTAGAAAGAAAGGAAAGGAAGGCATCAAGTGCAGCAGAGCATCACGTGTTTGGGCTTGGGGAAGATCTAGAGGAGGACAAGAGAGAATAATCAATGACCCTCTTTTCTTCCTGTGTTCTTTTGGAGTCTCTCTGGATACCAAATATTCATAGGCAGGAATATGTCTTTACTATACTGTCATACCTCTTGTGTCCCTTGTAGAAAGAAGGGTCTAAAAGAGAAAGAAAAAAAAGGGTGAAAAAGAGAAGAGGAGGGAAGTGGTGGGGTTGCATTAGAGAAAGCTAGTAAACTTGCGGAAGAAATTAGACAAAGTTAGGTACTCACGAGAACTGCTGGTTAAGTAGGCTAAAGTGATATGAGTATTTCCTTCGGCAATTGTTTTTAATTTTTAATTTTAGGGTCATTTTCTTTGGTAATTGTTGTAACTTGTAAGGCACTCATATTTTCCTTTTTCTTTTTTCTTTTTTCTTTTTAACTTTTGGTCCTTGGCAGATTGCCATAGGCCCTTGCTTTTATTCCAAGGATAACAAAAAAGGTGATTTTTTAAAAAAACAAATTACAAGTGGAGTAGCGAAAGAAACCACCACAACCAAGAAATTGTGAGCAATAAAGCACTAGCTAGCCACTGTGTTATGATGTATGCTGATAAGGATTCAACCTCTAATCAACCAACAAACCAACCAACCAACAACCAACCATCAATCCCAGATTAACTTTTGAACACAGAGTGAGAGAAATCAAAACAAAGGGTTTGAAGAAGAAGAGTTCACCAAAGTCTACTGTTTTGATTGGATTGGATTGGAAGGCAACAAGTGTACGGCTGGCTGGCTCTTCAAACACGGCAAAGGGTTAGGCTTTCGGCGCAGAGAAACGAAACCAAATTATTATCCTTCACACACATCACATGGTCCTGTGAGATTTCAGAGACAGATGGGCTGCTTTACACAACGCCACGCCAACTGCCTCACCACCAAAGCTGCAAACTTTAGATATCGATTGAGAGATGCATAAAAAACACGCAGATGCTAAGATGCCCACCTCACCAAACCACCGCAGAGAAGAAGAAGAAATAAACATCAAACCCAAACCACCGCCGCCACCACCACCACCAAACCCTAACCCAAACCAAATGGAGCTTCCTGAAGACATCGTCGCCGACATACTCAAGAGACTGCCTGCAAAATCTCTGGTCCGATTCAGGTGCGTTTGTAAACCGTGGTGCTCTTTGATCACGAGCCCAAGTTTCGTAAGAACCCATCTGAAATTAAACAGATCCCAGTTTCAATCCGACCTCGGAACAAGCACCCGCATCATCTTGTCGCGTTATTGTGATACCCTTTTGTCCATGGTCTCTGAGAACAACAATGTTGTTGAGACAGTGGAGCTGGACTTTGCTCTGGTTCGAAACTTGCCTTATTATGTAAAGGGTCACTCTGATGGGTTGCTCTGCTTGGTTATCAATGATGGGTTTGGAGGCATGGCTGTTATTTACAACCCATCAATCCAAGAGTACAGGAAGCTCCCTTCTCCTTGTAATTTCCGAAGTACGAGGGAGGTGCTTGGTTTGGGTTTTGACTCCTCCATCGATGATTATAAGGTTGTCAGAGTCCCATCCAACTATTGCCGGCTGAAATGTCCTGGATACCAGCCTCAAGTTGAGGTCTTGGAGCTCAAAACCAATTGTTGGAGGAAGATCCCAGATGAGGACACGCCACCTTTTTTCATCGAACACATTTTTCAGGCAACTGAGGTGAATGGTGGGCTGTATTGGCTGGCTGAGGATCATGATGCTTCGAGATGCGTGATTCTGCGTTTTGATTTGGCTGAGGAGAAGTTTAAGGTGGTGCTGCCCCCACCTGATGAGAATTGTAAGAGCATATCATGGATTGGGGCTTTGAAAGACTGGCTTTGTGTGGTGCACACTAGGAGGTTGAGTGATGTTCATGTTTGGGCAACCAAAGATGACAAGAATTGGACAAAGATCATCACCACTTCGAGGTTTCCTAGGATCCCGGGACGAGACCCTTTTCTCGACTCTTTTCGATACATGCCCTTGTGCTATACTGAGAAGGGAGCTGTGCTGATGAGTGTTAGAGGGGAGAGGTTTGTTACCTTTGATACAAGAGATAACACATTTGAACATGTTGACATCCGAGGTGCACAGCATTGGTTGCAGGAGACCGTGTACTGCGAAAGCCTAGTTTCGCCAGGTGGGGGTGGGAATCCGACTGAGTCGGCGGTGGCGTTGGGTTCTGATGTTGGTGTGGCAGAGGGAGAGCAAGATGAAGACCAGACAGCAGTTGGGGACAGCACAAGCAGCAACAGCCTTAGGCAACTGCTTGTTGGTTTGAAGAGGGAAGTGCACAACTTACTGGTTTGTAGCGTTGGCCACAGGAACATCAATGATGATAATTGAGAAGACTTTGCTTGCAGACGAGAACTTCTTAACTCAGAGTTTTATGTTGCCTCTGCTTGTTGCTGGTTGTATTGTACTATTTCAAGTCTTTGTTTTGTTTTTTCTGTTATCCATCCCCACGAGAGAGAGTTTTTCTTTTATAAGAAACACAATGACCCACAGGGTTATTGACTCAAGGAATTATATGGTCAAGTCAACTTTTTTAATATGCTTTGTTGCATTCATATGGGCAAATTGGTGGACAGAAATTTTATGCGTCTAATCTAAAACAACAGGTTCATGGTCAACGTCAAGAATCATGTTACTTCGATAATGGCCAGGATGTTTCCGAGCCATGTTTTTTGAGAATTGTTAAATGCAGAGACCAACTTGTTGCATCCAGAGCTCGTGTGAAAGAGAAACTAAAACTGCCGTGGATGCAGCAAACTCAACTCTGGATTTAACATCTTATTTATTGTTGGTAATCTCGAATTCCATACAAAAGAAAATGCATACCTTCAGCTTCAGTTCCAAAAAAAGAAAAACTGATGCTCATGATTTCTATCTACTCAGGGCAAGTAATTCAGACACAAGTATTAGATCAGATCAACAAGATTCAAGCCCTTTCTTTTAAATTGCTCAATTTGAAAAATTCTGGAGAAGTATAATCAGTAATTCACAAAATTGCTCTCCTGCTCAAATTTAGGTGGGGATGTGAGCACAAAGAGAATGAATCTCACTTTTTGTTGAACTCTGCTGTATCTAAATATCTGCAGAAACATTGTATGCTGAACTCTGAACTCTATGCTGAACACGCTATGCTTAAATTTGCAAAAACCCTCTTTTCTGGAAGTAGACCATAGGTGGTTCAGACTTCTTCAACCTACAATTTAAATTCAAAATCTAATGAATAACAAACACGTATCGGAAGAAACTCAAAATTGAACAACAAACAAAAGCAGGGTTGCAACTCTTTTTCATCTTGTTGTCTAAGAGAAGGACCTGAGGGAGGCTCATCAGTTCAAGAACAGCTTTCTTCGGGGTCAGTTCGTTGTCGATAATTCGAGCTACTGCAGTCAAAACTGGCATCTTTACATTATATTTCTGCGCTAGTGCAATCACTGCTCCAGCTGTTGATACACCCTCTGCCACCTAGAAAACACAGACAGCCGGCCACATCAGTGAGCACAATTTAAACTTTTAACAGCTACATCAAAACATCATTAAGCTTAAGCACCTGATTCATGGAACTTAGTATATCATCAAGTTGCTCCCCTGATCCAAGACGAACCCCAACTGTTCTGTTTCTGGAAAGGTTCACAAAACATGTAAGCATAATGTCTCCAATTCCTGATAGACCAGTAATTGTTGTCGGCTTCGCACCCATCTTCAGGAGATAAATTGGAGGGAAAAACAATGAGAGAACCGCAGCTAAAGCATATGTACTTATAAGTTAACAGTATGGGATTTACAATTTACAAAACAAGTAGACAAATAGGAAAAAGATAGAAACCAAGGCAACAACCAGGGACATAAAACACCAATTATCAAAATAAGGTACCTTAGTAGCCAGCCACCTTATCTCTGAGCATCCTTGTGCAACAAGAGCTGTCTTACAATTATTACCAAGATTCATCCCATCCACAATCCCTGCAGCTATAGCGAGCACATTCTTGAGAGCACCTGCAACTTCTACCCCTATGACATCGCTGGAATTTATCAGAGGTTATGAGCTGGGTCCGTCCACTTAAATCTATAAACATTTATTCTCATTACACATAGGATCCATGCTATTTGAGATTGGAAGACTTAGATATGCAAGCTGACTAGGCATTCCAAAACCAAATTATATACATAGAAAAAAACTTAATTGCACTTAATCTAGCTGTTTACTGAAGTGAAGATCCACAACCTTGAGGTGCTGATTCTTAGATAGTTACAAGCTAGTAGCTGCTGAGCTGCATTTGCCAATTTTTTGTCTTTTGACGCTACAACCATTGCTAGAAAAGCAAAAAGTAAGAGCAAATCATGATTAGTACCTATGAAACATGAATCAGTTGAATGCATCGATGGAACAATGTTATTTCTTATTCCACACACCTGTTGGTAATTTATTCATCAGCTCCAGAGCAAAAGAGGGCCCTGATAGTGCAATGAAAGGTTGCCGAGGATTGTTCAATGCTTGGGGGATGAGTTGAGACATGGTCCTCAACGTATTGAGCTCTAAGCCCTTGCTAACTGATATGAAGGGCAAGCCTGGATAAACATGTTCTGCAATTCCTTCAAGAAAGGATGAGCTGAACTGCAATGTCACAGACAAAGATTCAGGTACGTGCCCCAGACTAAAGTATATTCCAAATATGAGAATTAAACAGTATACCAATCTGTCAAAGACTCATATTCTAATAGGAAAAGGCTTAATCCAAATATAGCATGCACTGGGATTCATATGAAAACAGAGGAATTGGACTGACGAACCTGCACAGGGACTGCATGAAGACAATAGTCAGCACCAAGCAAAGCAGTTTTGGCATCAGTTGTGGCAATTACATTGTCTGGTAGCTTGTGTTCTGGGAAGTACTTACTGTGAAGAAAGAAAAACCAATTACATTTCAGAAGAAAAGTTGGCTTCCGAAAGAGTGTTATGCATAAAAGTGAATGCTGGATGGATGCAGATATGGCCTTACCGATTACAATGGTTGCTGTTAATGGACTGACAAACTTGAACATCACGCACCAGCATGTTAACTTCCATTTGGGCTTTTCTATTTGCAACATGGGCAGCCATTGCCGTAGCAAAAGACCCACCTCCAAGCACCACTACCTAAAAAGTCAAAAACCCAATACTAAAGAAGCTTAATTTGAAGTGAAAAATGAAAGCTTTTGTAATTCTACGAAATCCAAACGCAAAATTGGGGAAAAGGGTAGGCAGACCTTGTTAGTGCGTTCAAGGACATCGGTCTTGGCTTTGGAGCGCCAGGACCTGGACCACCGGACCAGCTTCTCCCAGGCTAACCGGACAGCTCTGCGGCGGTCCCGGGTCCGCACCAAAGCAGTCCCCGGAACCGGGTCGGGTGATTCGGATACGGGTTGTTCGGGAGTGGCAGCGCAACAAGGAGTGGTGGTGGTGGTGGTTGGGGAGTGGAGGCTTCGAAGAAGCGCGGGCTTGTTCGAAGAGTTCGCTGGCCTTCCAAGTTTGAGATTGTACGGAATGGGACGGGTTGAGTTTGAATTGGGAGGAAGAAGCGGAAATGGTGGCGGTGGCTCTAACAGCGCCGCCATTGTTTCCCGGTGAGACTGAGAATGAGCGCTTGGTCCCTCGCTTCTAGTTCAAAACAGTTTTTGGAACTTTTCTATCCGCTGTCTTTTTTTTATTTTTTATTTATTTCTTATATCATATGGTGGATAGATTATATATTTTTTAGGAATGTAGTTGCCAAGACCCTAGATAAAATATCAACTGTACCCTTATATTACAATTTCATCAAATGATTTTATAAATGATTTATAAATCTAAAACTATTATGGGAATATTGCACTTTAACTAACTCAAGGAAATCAACTAATTTGGTTAAATTATAAATAAATAAATAAAAAGAGTGAACGCTAATGATTTTAGAGTGCTAATAACAATTCTCTTGTTACGTAATAAAAAGGTTAAAAAAGCATCTTCAAAACTTTTTTCTATACATGCATATTGTTCAAATTTCAACTTAATCTTTAAGTCGGCCGATTGTTGTGGTTAGAAAGAGATAAACACCCGAAGAGAGTGCCAATTGGTGTGTCAACGTCAATATCAATTACATCTAACAATAGAAATTTCTCTTCTTTTTATAGATTTCACAGTCACTTAATCCAATGGATTGTTCAATTCAAAAGTTTGACAGAGCACATGCTTGGCTTGGCCTGGCATATCTCAGGGTTCCTTGTACTAGAATAAATATTGTAGCACACAGAAAAATTTGACTCAGAGCTCAGCTGTAGCATCCCAATTTCATTGGAAAGAAATGCAAAGAAAAGACAGCACTAATTTTCTATAATTAGTAGCAAAAGATGGAGAGCCAAATACGCATGCAACACACAACGCGCAAACAATAAGCACAAAAAGCCCTTCCTCCCATCTTTGCTTCCTAGTTCAGAAAAACCCTCGTCACTATTATCAAAACGAATATTCGTCTGGCTTACAACAATTAATCACATCCATCAAATATTTAAACTCCATCATTTTTAAGGTTCCATTTCAAGACTTGTTCTTTTTACCCCATTACCTTTCTAAATCTAACGCCAGTGCCACACATCACATGTTGTGATTGAATCTCTCTCTCTCTCTATTCTCTCTTGTCAACCCAAGAGAGAAAACAAGGGCTTCACCCATCACCAACAAGTTTTCAAGGTATGCAAAAAGCGCTGAACTTTGATCTTCCTTTTCTTTTTGATGCAATTGGGTTGTCATGTTTGGATTAATATTCACGAATTCTTGGTCTTTTTTTTCTTTTTTTTTGTTAGGTGATTGTTGCTTAGGTGATGGGCAAGCATCAACGTTGTCCTTGTGACGGCCATGATCATTCTAACAGCAATGGAAGAAAGAAGAAACGCCTGCGCAATCCGAAAAGGGCATGCCATTGCTTTGCAGTGTCCTCAATATTTAGAGGGATAGGGAGATGCATGTTTGTGACTTGTTTCCCTGTCATGCGGTGCTTTGGATTGGATGAGTGCAGACACCGCCACCACCACCATCACCACCACCGCAGACATTTCCACGAGTTTTCATGATATTGGGATTGACTTTGCAATATTTATTTTGCTGGCGGAGAAGTTTGAAGTTTTGCTGCATTTTTCTTTTTATATTTGGTGTCGGATCCTATGAGGAAAAACACGAATTTGGGCGGTAAATATGGGATCAGATGCGCCTCATCAATCAATCACCACTTTGTTTGGTTCTTGTGTAAATATGCATGTCAAGGAAGATCAAGGCTGCAAAAAAACATCCAGTTTACCTTATACGGGTGATTGCACGCACCTGAGATTTACTTTCAAGGTCTTGTATCCAATGAGGAAGTGAATCATGCGCGATGTTTTCCTGGTTATCCTGCAGAAGATCAAGGTTGGGGTCCTTGGGGAGAAGAACATGTTTAGAAATGTAGAAAATTTGGGATTTGGCATATGTCAAGGGCTACAAGAGTCCAAATTCCGTCAATCTAGAATTGCTGCAGTTAGGAATTTTGATTGTACATCCTCATGATTCTATAGCTTTTTCTTTGTAAATTATTGAACAATGATTGAATTTAGACTCCAATTTTCGTATGTCGATTTTTCCTTTGTGTTTGAAGCTGTCGATGATTCTGGTAATAATATTCATTGTATGAAGTTGCGTAACATCGTCAAGGGCCTTTCTCCATTGCGAATTACATTGATGCGGATTCAATACGGATTTCTATTTTGATCCGTTAGATGACTTGTGCGGTGGAGATTTAACACAACAAACAAGACATAAAAAAATACCAATATCTGACTTCGCACCGCCATTTGAGAACCAGAGAAACAACAGACCACTCAACCCATGCTTTCTCTTTCCCATTTCATCTCCTCCATGTTCGATTTTTTCAGCTCTCTTTGAGTCAATATATATGAGGGATTCAATAAACAATGACATAAAAAAAAAGAAAAAAAAACCCATAAATTATTGAAAATACCAGCTCAAAAAACTCATCTCAGAAATCATTGTCTAAGAAGCAAACCTTTGTTTCAGACCAAAAAAAAACAAAAAAATGACCAAACCCAATTGTGTTAGAACAAATAAAAATAAAAACGAGAGAAAAATGAACTCTTTGTTTGTGGAGAAGCTTTTGTTTTCTGTCAGCAATTGCACTTCAATTTAGTCTGTTGTGATATATTTTGGTTCTAAATTTATGTTCTTTGAGCTATTGGTATGGAGTAAAGCTTGGGAAAACTCTTCAGGTGGGAAGAGAACTCAGAAAAGCACGAGGAAGAATAGTGGTCTTTTGTTGATCAGTTTGCACAACCACTGCTCCGAGACCAATTCGAGCTGCATGATTTTGTTCACAAGCGATCCATCTCCACTCCAGTGAATCAAACAAGGAAGCCAGCCCTTCTAATTGCAATCACAATGGATAAGATAGTCCATGCCCCATTTGCCATACCTCCTCCATTGATATATTTTGACTAAAACAGAGAGATGAAAAAAATCCAACATTGAGGAGAAGAAATGAGAAAGAGAAAGATGAGTGGTATCTTGTTTCTCTGTTCTCAAATGGCGTTGCAAAGTCAGATATGGGTTTTTTTTTTTATGTCTTGTTTGTTGTGTTAAATCTCTACCGCCCAAGCCATCTAACGGATCAAAATAGAAATCCGTATTGAATCCGCATCAATGTAATTCGCAATGGAGAAAGGCCCACATGGTCAATACTATGTTAAAACAATGAGCAAAGCAAAGCATTAGAGGAAAAGCAATGGAAAATATTTCTTTCAATTTTCTAAGGCAAATTGATTCTCAAACAAAATGAATGTTACTTCAAAGTATCTCTGTGCCTCATACAATAATGCAAAGGTGGAGATAACAAGTTCTGAGCAAAACAAAACCAGATGTTACAAATTAGCAGTTGAAGGAGAGTTCTAAGTTGTATGTCATGAGGGATATTATAAACTTTTTTTCTTCTCAGGTTCTTTCCAATTTCATCAAATGGCATCTCAATTTCTTTATGTCCGACTGTCTGAGAGGCTTTAGCATGAACATCTGAGCTCCCTCCTCTAAGCACCTGTTGAGCAGAAACAAAAAACCTTAAAGTGACAAAAATAAAGGAAAATAACAAAAGAAAGCACACATCATAAGCTATATTCATTTACTTGTTAATACGATTCGGTAAGTATTCAGATGACATAATCACCACTGGAACCTCCTTCATGAGTGATGATTCCTGTATGCAAAAAGGAAATGCATGCAATGTGCATATATGGTCAAAGGGGTTAAGAAATCATGAACATATCTTTAACCTTATTTGATACTACAAATAAAGAATGTTAATCTGAGGTAATTGTTCAAAGAGTTTGCCACAATACCTTGATTTTCTTGAGTAGTTCATAGCCTGTCATCCCTGGCATACAATAATCTGTAATTACCAGATTTACCTTTGAGATCTGCAAATACTTACAGAACTCTTATTAGTAAAAATCTTTAAAATTAAATAACTACCAACAAACAGCAAGTTTATACAAGGGGATTGATTTTATTATTCTATTGACTGTTTAAGGTACAGATCAAATTTCTCTGAGCATATAGTTTTAGTTACTCACATTGCCCTCCAAGCTACTGTTTTGATGATCTCCCAAGCCCAAAAACTCCAATGCCCTTAGCCCATTTTCTGCAGTAGTCACTGCACCCATTGAAGAACACTGGCATTTGTTAAACTACATAATAACAAGGAAAAATAGGACATGAATTTATATAACTTAACTCGGGTTTTTATATATACATTATGCCCTTTGAAAAATATTTATATTAACTTAGTTCTCCATCAAAAAGTCTTCTTAATCCTTCTATTATCCAAAATCCCTCACAATCATTAACCAGTGTCCAATGAAGATTAGCATGAGAATACAGAGAAAACAGATTGAAAACAGAGGGATTTGCAGTATGCAGAGTGTTTGTTACCTTTGCAAGACAGATTTTTGAGTAGCTTTTCGATTAGTTTGCGATCAATGATACTGTCGTCAACAGCCAAAACATGGGGTTGCTCCACATTTTCCATGAAACCCTTTGAAGATGAAGATGAAGATGAAGATGAAGATGAAGCCGAAGAAGCCTCCATAGGTCTTAAACCCAACAATAACGCCTCACCCACCACTCAATAGGCAGGGCAGAGTCTAAACATTAAAAGCTATGTAACAGCAAAAAGGAAGAAAGAAAAGGCACTAATAAACGCAGTTGCAATAAAAGACACGCAATTAATTACACAAGACCGAAAACGAAACGACTTCTCTGACAATAGCAATTAACCTGCGCTGCGCATACATAAAACAAAACAAACTCATAAGAAATGTATGAACGTATAAGATAATGTGTAATGTGGTGGGTAGGGTTGTATTTATATGAAGTTACAGTAAATGCGTTGTATTAAAGAAAAGGATAGGTTTTGTTGTTGGTGGGCGAGGAATTTTAGAAGATATTGAGAGAGAGAGAGAGAGAGAGAATCAGAATCAGTATCCAGTCACAGATCTTTAGTGATCCTTTTTGGGTTTCTACCTTGATTTGATTCAGTCCCCAGTTTCCCTTCTTCCAAGTCCCACCACATCATCTCTCTCTGTTTGTGTGTGTAGAAATCAGTACGTATCAGAAGTCTGCATGAATACAGCTGCATTATGTCATTTGATTCATTTCTACCAGATTTTCACTGCTGCTGGCTACTGATACCATAATAACCAGGAGCTCATTATACCCTTTTGAATACATACTCTCTCTCTCTCTCTCTCCCCCTCTCCCAACAGTAAACAGACTGGTACGGTGCTAACAGCATAAAATGTTATTTAAAACGGTTGTTGTTCTATGAAACTTCGACTAGTGCTTCTTTTTAAGCATCAATTCAATTTGGGGTTGTTGTATATGGCCTCACGAGATTATTATAAGTAGGTAAATCTTCCACCATAAAAAAATTCAACTAGAAAAAATGAAAAATGAAAGACACCAAAATTGATGGTTACTTGGAGTTAACTGGTCAAAGGAAGGGGGATAAAGTTACTATATGAATTATCTGGTGGATCAAATTTGGCGCCACCAATGTCCAAAAGATCCGATTTTGATCTGACTCTTGGAAATTATACAGAATCTCTTGGCGCAAACTGTGCAGAATGATCCATACATACGTAATGGTAACGAACAAACCATATAACACGACAGCATCTTTGTTCTGTGTTCTGGTCTGTCTGTCTGACTCACTTCGCTATTTACTCTCAATTGCTCAAAACGACAGATAATTGCACCACGGGTCACACAGTGAGACTTTTCAACCTTTTTTTTGGCAAAATAAATTAACCACATCTTTTATAGAGATAAGATTTGCTTCCATAAATAAAATGTGGTTTAAAAACGTAGTGTTTGTGCGGCATATATGAAATGAAACATTACTCGTGTAGGAAACAAGTTTGTTTTAGTTAATGGATAAGATCAAAAGGGTTGATGTGTTCCAGGCCTGCTTGTTTTGTTCTTCTGTCAATGACAAAGCAACAAATTTTTCTGACAAGGTACATTTTCAAGAGCGGATTACAGACAAGACTGGTATATCTCTAGGCCACCACAGCACACTGCAACATCAGCATCATCTGTCTGATTCTGTAGCAGCTTCCAAAACCAGACTTTCCTTCTTTCTTTTTTTTCTTTCCTTTGTAAAAACTTATTCTGATGTTTTAAGAGGTTCACTTGTCCCATAACTCTCATTACCTCACGAGATTATGAGTTAGCTGCTGGCTTTATGGAGAAACGTGAGCAATGACTCAGTTTGCTTAGTACCACTACTCTTATCCACGAAAGTTTTAAATTTTTTTAGTTTGACCGTCACACGGTCACATGGCATTGTGAAAAATTTCAATTGATTGCAACAGCATGTAAAAGCATTTGATAGGAGGGTAAGGCGACATGAACCCTGTTTGATATGACATTAGCCTCACTACAACATTTTTTTCTTTTTTCAAAAATGAAAATGAACCTGCATTTCCATAAAATATTTTCTCATCAAATGAGGGCCACTAATGCATTGCTGAGAACATCCTTGAAAAGTGTGAGTTACAATTTTTGTTGGATGGGCCAAAGATCATCATTTGATGCTTGCCTTGGAAATGGATGATGTACAAGGCCCGGCTGAGGTCATAAAAGGAATACCCTTGAACGTAGCCACACCCTTATCATCAGTGAAAAGATGCTGCAACAATGAAACACCCATGAGATTCACATGCCCAACTTTGAGCATCATAATGTTTTTAGGAATAAATGATAGTATGACTAATTCACCCTAACCGTAATAACTCATGTCCTACTAGATCCTTGTATTTTTGTCACTCAAGTGGTAATATTGACCACCATTCAGGAATCAATTGACTACCACATAGATGATAATCCAAAAACCTTAAGCATCTTGCAAATCATCAGACTAAATCACCCCCAGAAACCTCAGAATTTTCAAGTGAACTTTTTAATGGTTGGCTAAGCAGTAATTTGTGGACTACAAGTTCCATAGGAGGTGTGAATAATCTGTATAAATTCTTCAGCACAACTATGGTTGTCCCCTACTGAACACTATCCAGAAATCCATAACCAAAAGAAAAAAGAACATACTGGTGTGATCTTCTCCAACTGTTTCTTTTTGGGTTGAGGACATCTTCTGGCTTTCCATCAACCCTGGATAAAAAGAAGTGTATGTGAGAAACAACTAGTCCAAAGAGTCAATTATTTTGGGAGAAATAATAATAATAATGATGATAATCATAAATAGCAGTTAGTGTTGAACAAATGAATATAGACAGTACAGGGGGGGCAAATGAGGTCACTCTAAAAAAGTCACGTCTATTTGTTGATAAAATGTAGGAGTAGGCAACTTCCAGTTTTCCATCAAATTTGTTATTTTCTTCCACACATACAACCCTGGTTGTTAGTTCAATCAAATTCAAAAACAGGGGGCACCATGATGGTTCAGATATTTTTTTCAACCCTAATGGTGGGCTAGAACTTCAAAAAAGAAATGCTGTGATTCTCAGTTTTAACAGACTATTGTAAGGGGAAAATTAGGTTACTTTGACCTTTATAATTGAGGATTGAATAAATTCAAAACCAGCTAGAAAGCTTCCCATAAGTGCAAAAATACTCTACCAGCACAGTTGCAAAATAACATTTTAATAAAATAAAAAGCCCTCACTTTTGCAACTATGTTTGCATTATAAGTTACCGGTGAAAATATTTGTTCAAGCTCCAAGTAGTTTCAGCTAACTTACCCAGAAAATGACACACGTTCCCCAGGTTTGGCTCCTTCTGGAGGGAGCAAAGGCTCTACAAGGGTGTGATCTTCATTAGAAGCACATAGCACCTGAACACATGCACAAAAATGAAACCCATACCTTCATATTTGTTTAGCAGAAGCTTATTCTAGAAAAATTCAGCTTTCACTAAAAAAGACTCTTCATAAGCTGTGACCATATATGGTACAGATTTGGAATCTTGTACTATAGAGAATAGACATTGAGATTATAAATGTTTCATTTGAAGGGATGGAGCGAAAACTTGAAAACACTTTTTATTCACAAGTTGAAGATTTGAACACAAAATATGAAAATAAAGGCACGATTTTGATTACCGGAAGTGAGAGTACTATGATGCAATTGACAAGAAACACATACCAGTCCTTCTGACGCCACATCACGTAACTTTCCAGGTTTCACATTTGTAATCAGCACAACCTTACGATTCTGCATAGTGCATGCAAACACCAAAATATATCAGAAAGTGTGAATATTCATCTAACAAAGGTGAAAACCAATATAAACCCATGCAAAAAAAACCAAGTGAAAAACTATCTACTTCCAAAAGATCAAGCAGTAATCATACCGTCAACTCCTCAGGACTGCAATATTTTGCCAGGCCACTGACCACTTGTCGCAATTTAGCATCTCCAACATCAATCTCCTCAACCAGTAAACTGTATCATGTTTTAAAACAAGGGTTATGACTGAATTGCATCTTATAGATGTACAATAATATTCAGAGTAAAAATCTTGAGGCAAAGATAGCTACGTTGCAAGTACTGTCAATTGGCTTTAGAAGAGAAGAGAAAAAAATGTCTCGTGCATACCTATCAGCAGATGGATGCTTCCAAGCTTTGCGAATGAGGCCAACCTGTATATTCAACAAACTGACACTAAGTTCTTTGTCTTTCTCAACTGCCTCTGTTTCCGGAGATTTTTTCTTCTCTTGAGTAGCTTTCTTATCGGGTTTCTTATCTGTTATCTTATCTCCTGTAGCCTTTATCTAACAATTTCAGAAATGAATACACTGTAATTGGGCAAGAAATGTCCAGGAAGGAAATCTGGAAATAGAAGCATTGTTTGGATGTAGTAATTCTACCACACAAACCCAACCATAAACTCACATAACGAGGATGGAAAGATATAATGTCAGTTAGCTAACTGATCAAGGGAAATACCGTTATTGAAAGTATAAGTATGCAGCTCAAGTACTTTACATAGATTTCTCATATAGCAATATGGGAAATTGCAAGAATAGTACAAGAATTGAGGTGGTTTCAGATCGAAAGCATCTTATGGTAGTTTAATCTTGGAATTCAATGCATGAGTCTATTACACTGTTTGGTACTGTTAATCCTTTTAGGCGTGCTGTTTACTAGAATTGTTTTTTGTAGGAAATCCAAATCATCAAGATATTCTAACAAAATGGAAGTCTTAAAAGAATTTAACAACAGCTTTTACATTCTTGAACAAATTGAGGACCTTTTATCATCTATAGGTTTGATACATGCACATATAAGTATATGAATATACGCATGTAGGTACAGCTGCAAAAATTATAAGTAAGATATTATTCATTATAGAAACAGGTCATATGACAGAAAGATTATTTGATTGTACACAAGAGAAAGAATAACTGAAATTTTAAAAGGATAAACCTCAGCATCACTTTTCTTTGTGTTCAGGTCTGCCTCTGGCTTGTCTGCGCTTTTTGCACTTTGAACAGTCTTCCTTGCATTTGAATCTATTTCCACCTTACCTGCACCTTTTGCTCCCCGCAATGCATACAACTTCTGTATACGTGATAATCAAAGGATACAGGACAATTATTTCTCAAGAGTAATATAGGTCAACTTTGGGACTCTCAAGAAAACATGAGCAATATCAGGGCTCAGAGATGTAAAGAATGAAACAGGAATTTCAGAATAATTAGTAAATTTTACTTACTAGAAAGTCAAATGGAACCTTCTCTATCACTATCTTCTTAAGTAAGTCCCCGAAATCCACCTTGTTCTGGGGGAGAAAAAAGTTGTGAGCACTAGTTGACTATAAGACTTATGAAAGGTACATGGGGAAATGATAACACAAGTAGCTCATTATTTCTGCATCTAATGACAGCAGAGTTTGTAACCGCATGGTACTTTATTTCAAAGAAAATCACTGGCACACTTTCGATTAGTGTTGCTAACAGATTCTAATAAACTTAATTAAAGATTAACATAAAGGAAATGCATACCTGGATGTGATCCACCCATCTCAACAGATGCGGCAACTTTTGCCTATCTGAATTCGAAAGGCCAATCTGCAAATAAACCACTCAAAAATCTTCGAAATTGCAAAACAAGACTGATCCATCACACACAACATGCATGCATGCACATGCATATAGAGTTAATTCAACAATTGAAAGTGAATAACAACAATCCATACCACAGAAGAATGTACCACAGCAAACACAATAACATCAGCTTCAGAGGGTGTGAAACCATTTCCCAAAAGCACAGACAAGTCAGCCAAGGTATCATTTAACCCTTTGAGAACTTCAAAGCATGCCTGGGGATCTGTAGGAAAACCGTCTGCATATCTTATCCATTGAAGCACCTACAACCCCCAAAAGATGAAGTCTTTACTTATTATTGATATAAAAGTTGCCAGAAATCCATTATAACTAAAATGTTCAGGCAGTAAAACTTTACCCCATCTTGCACTTCCACTGAGGCGTCGTTTTTGGCCGACTTCAAGATGGTTGTATAGAAACTCGTGATTTCATCTTCAGCAATGTTTTCCGGAAACGTTTTCTGCAGAATCCAAGTTTAAGATTAAGCAACCAAAGTCCCACAAAAAAAGAAAAGAGGAAACCAAGGAGAAAGCTTGAAGCTTTAGTTGCAACTTTAAGAGAGATCGGTTTGATTGCTTACAGGATCTAAAGAGAAGTGTTTGCATAGAGCTGATGCTATCAATTGCTTTCTGTCTAGGCTGGTGCTTCCATTAGCTGCCATTTCTTTCCTTCAGAATCAGAGCTCAGACTTCTCTCAGTTCAGAGGGCAATTCAATTACGATATAGGGTTTTTGGCTTTTACATGTTTTGGGCTCTGACCCAAACAAACATGGCCCATCAAAAAGCACAAATAGCCCATTAAGGAAAAACATAACAAATCGGGTAAATGGGTCATTTCTGAACCATCCTGGACATGGGCTTCAAGTTCTTGAGCTATCAGTCTTGATGCTGTTATTACGTTTGCGAAATTTTATAGTGAATGTGCCATATATAAACCTCTTATGTAGACTGTTGGATTGAAAAATGAGGACCTCAACTGTCATCTCATCTCTGTTTTTGTTAGTTGACAAAGCTATATTCTAACTACTCGAATTCGGATGCAAGGAGACGAGTACACCGCATTAGTCAATTGACATAACCTACATACGCAATTATCATCTCGTTTCATTAGTTTGGGATGAACATGCATGCATGACATTGCATGCAAAATTTTCTATATTTTTTATATAATGAAATTCACATTTACCCATCATTAAAAATATGATGCGATACAAGTAAAATGTTTTATAATCTATGGCATTTATTTGAAAAATAATCATGACTATAATAACTCATCATTGTTCATATTTTTCTTTTTTAGCTTTTCATTATTTTGCCTTTCTTTCTATCTAGTATTCATGTGGAGAAAATTCAAAGGGTAACAAGAAGAAAGAATCCATTATGGACTATGGAGAGTCCCTCCATTGAAATATTCAAAAAAACTGGTCCCACTCATGCATTGTCTTCTTCCTTTTAGTTTTTTCCTCTTCTCCTTCCCAGGCTGCCGGTATATTGCACAGAAATTCCTGCCAACCCGGCAATTCTGATTGACCAATATACACAAAACAAAAGCACACCACAGAAAAAAAGCAAGTTAAAAACACAAGGGTAAAATTGCAAAAGATGCATCATCAGTTGGACCATGTCGTTTTACTGTCCAGTGAGAGAAAGTCAGATAATTAAAGAGAATTGACATGCAGCTGGCACAGTGAGAAATTCTCCATACCCTCTCTTTCCTTTTTGGAATTCACAACCACCACTTAAAAAATTGCCCTAACGGCACCTAACAAGCTTTAGGGTTTTTGGCAATAGTGCTTGCCATTTAGTCTTGGCCACATGTTCATTATCCACCTTTACTCTTTTTTAAGCCATAATCACTGAGAAAAGGGGTCATTAAATGTCATTACATACATGTATTTACCTCTAAGTATTGGGATTAGTTGTATTAATTATGTATCACAAAATAGGGTATGTTGAGGAAGAGAGGAACAATACCATGTTTGTGATTGCTGTTTGAAAGTGAGTATAGAGAGATAGACTGCAGCAAGAAACATGCTTGACAGCCCAAAAGTTGTAGTGCAGAATGGACTTATTCTTTTGGTGCTACAGTAAGTTCCAAATTCTGAGCAAAGAAGTCGGCTATATGCCTCAATGCATAAAGACAACACAAAGTGCTCCTCCAAGTCTCTAAAACCCTAAACTCTGAAATGTTGATTAGGCTGGCTGGCTGTGTGTGTGTGCAAGTGCAAGCAAAGGTCCAATGAAAGCTTGAGGGACAGAGAAGAGAACAACCCAGCAGCTTAAATTTAATTAGCCCATAATCAATGGCTTAATTGCATCTAAAGATGCCAAACCAAATTGCTTCAGAAGTACATATTATGGTTGGATATGACTTGCTTTCACACCCCCCATTAATATTTATTAAAATTTGAGATAAAATTAAAGGGAAATTAAAATCAGTGACATGGATGTTTTTCTTCTTATTAAAATTTGTGTTGCTAATTGGTGGTTGGTAGGCGCATTTCCCTCCCTCGTGACATGGCTTAACATGCAATGCAAGCATAATATATATTAAATCGAGTGACAATCCAATTGAACCCCAACAAGAGATGATTTTACCTAAATTATGAAACCTTCACTTCACATCTTGAAGGGAAACCAATCTCTGTTGGGGTTCAGCAGCCTGCAGCAGCAGCAAAGTGTGAAAGTCTGCAGGATGCAAGAGTTGGGTTAAAAATAAATTATGCAGGGGTGCATTTACAATGTATGTGACCCCAAAATAAAGAGACTGAGAAGTAGGGTAGGGGCTTAAACACAGAACTAGAATTTAAGAAAGATCAAAAGCAAAGAAAGTTTGAGTCCTTGTCACACAAACACAGCCCTACAATCTTCACCACAACACCTGTCTCTCTCTCTCTCTCCCTCTGTGTATCTCTGTCTGAGTGTCTCTCTCTCTCTCTCTCTCTCTCTCTCTCTCTCTCACCTTTTCTTTTATTACACCACCCACCTCCTCCACCAGCCTACTTAATTGCCTTTATTGCTTTGCTTTTGCCCCTTCACTCTCTCTGTTCAATGTTTTCCACTATCCACACCCAATAACTTTCTCAGCACAGCCAGCCCTTCTGTTAGAGATATCAACTTTCCAAATTCACCCTCTGCACTGCACCAGATGATTACAGTAACCCCATTACCAGTTATGATGAATGAGCTTGTCGTTTTTTCTATTAATAAGGCAAGAAGAAACATAATTAATATAGATGTATGGGGTAGTCTATGATTATGTCAACTCCTCTCCCAGTCAAAAACAATGCCAAAAGAACAAAATAGTTCAAGAAAATTAAGATACATTTAACTTTTTGGTACTAATTATATAGTTATTTTCACAATTCAACCGCATTAATTAATATGAATGCTTCTTATTAGTCAAAGGAGGGAGGGAGAGAACACTTGAACTTTTTATAATTAAGTATCAAAGTATCTACTCAATCACTCGAGTTCTAAAAACTTTATGAATAGAGTTATGCCAAAGTGCAATGATTAACAGTTAATCATCTTTACATACGTGAACGATTGATGTAAGCATTCACCTCACAAAATAAAACATGATTTTGTTATCTAAAAGTATAACATGAATGAATGAACATTACATACAGTTAATTAGCCGTGCTACCTAATTTGAACCTTCATCTTTCCTAGATTGCTTTAGCAGCTGTATGTCAGAAGCGTAAATTTAGCCAACTTCAGGGGCGGTTCCTGAGTTGGTTCTTCAGTCACATTCCAAGCGCTCAATCGCCAATTACCGCCACTTGTGCCTTCCACGTCAAAAGTACCATCGATAACGACGACTAGGTGTGTGCCACATCGGATACCCTGCACCCTACGGATCACGCCACGTGTCCAATATGTAATAAATAGCACCCCCATCTACCAAGCCGGTCCCGCCCTGCCGTTAATAAAGATAGAAACTTTGATTTAATTTTTTCTCTTTTCAGAGCTCATCAGACTTTAAAAGACTACACACAGTTGACAGACGGAGAAAAAGAGAGAGAAAAGACTCTCAGCCTCAACGCTCGCAGAGAGAGAGAGAGAGAGAGAGAGAGAGAGAGAGAGAGGGAGAGAGCTCTAATCCCCTACATTTTCAAGCTTTTTCTACGAGCTTTCTCGGAATCCCAATTCTTCTCCGTCGCCGGAGCTTCTCTGTGCTACAAGTTCCGACTGATTTCCGGCCATTTTGGCATTTGGTGGTTCATAGATCGAACCAGCTCAGAGTTTCTTCTGTGACTTTACTCTAACTGTTTGATCTCTGCAGCTCAACTGTTTACACTGCGAAGAGATTTCTAGGGTATTTTTTGAAACACTTCACATAGCTGTGAATCTTTTGTCATTTCGACCCATTTTCGGTTTCTCTGGTTTCTCATTTGCTAATGCCGCCACTTTCTGGAGCATTAGAGTCTCTACTTTGACAGTTTGGCTCATTTTGTTCTTTTCGCACCACCAAATCTAGCCGTTGGAGAAAGTTGGCCTTTTTCTTTTGGTTTTGTTTGTGTTGAAAATCTGAGCATTTCAAGCTCACATCCAGTGATTCTGAGCTGTTTGGTCTTCTGGGTCGGTTAAATTTCTTCATGGCTTTCTAGTGTGGTCTTTTGAGCACCAAACAATGCGAGCATTTTTAAGCATGAAACCGCTGCTCGTATTATTCACCGTCTTTGTTTTAGCTCCTGTTCTTGGGAGATCTCTGAACCCATCTCTGAACGACGACGTCTTGGGGCTGATAGTGTTCAAGGCTGATATTCAAGATCCAAAAGGAAAGTTAGCAACTTGGAGCGAAGACGACGATAGCCCATGTAAATGGGGTGGCGTGAAATGCCATCCAAGATCCAACAGGGTCATTGAGCTCAGTCTTGACGACTTCTCTCTTTCGGGTCATATAGGCCGAGGCCTCCTCCAGTTACAATCTCTGCGAAAGCTGTCCCTCTCCAAGAACAATCTCACCGGAAGCTTAACCCCTAATATTGCACATATCGACAACCTACGAGCACTTGACTTGAGCGAGAACAGTTTCTCTGGTCCTGTACCCGAAGACTTCTTCCGGCAATGTGGGTCTCTGAGAACGATTTCTTTGGCCAAGAACAAAATTTCCGGGAAAATTCCTGAGAGTTTGGGCTCTTGTGCGAGTCTTGCCGCAATTGACTTGTCGTTGAACCAGTTTTCGGGTTCGGTTCCAGTTGGGATTTGGTCCTTGAATGGGATTAGATCACTGGATTTGTCTAATAATTTGTTGGAAGGTGAAATTCCAAAGGCCATTGGAGGGCTGAATAACTTGCGAGCAGTTAATTTGGGGAAGAATCGGTTTACTGGGCAAGTTCCAGATGGAATTGGAAGTTGCTTGCTTTTGAGGTCCATTGATCTCAGCGAGAATTCATTCTCTGGGAACCTTCCTCAGACAATGCAGAAACTTAGCCTGTGTAGCTATCTAAATCTGCACCAAAACTCATTTGCCGGAGAGATTCCTGAGTGGATTGGAGAGTTGAAGAGCCTGGAGACTTTGGACCTTTCTGGCAATCGATTTTTGGGCGAAGTTCCAAGTTCAATAGGTAATCTTCACGCTTTAAAGGTGTTGAATTTTTCTGCAAATGGGTTCACTGGGATCTTACCCAAGTCCATGGCTTATTGCACAAGCCTTGTGGCTTTAGATTTTAGTAAGAATTCGATGGCGGGTGAACTTCCTGCGTGGATATTCAAGGCGAGTTTAGAGGAAGCTTCACTTTCAGAGAAAAAACTAAGTGGAAGCGCAAATAGCCCTGTATCTTCCTCAATTGGAAATGCGCCTCAAAATCTGCAAGTCGTGGATTTATCCCTTAATCAATTTTCTGGTGAAATTGCATCTGACATTGGGGTCTTAAGCAGTTTACTTAGTTTGAACCTCTCCGGTAACTCTCTTGTTGGTCCTATTCCTGTGACTATTGGAGAGTTGAAGGCCCTGGACAATGTGGATTTGAGTGAGAATCGGCTCAGTGGAAGCATCCCTCTGGAAATTGGTGGGGCTTTTTCGTTGAAGGAATTGAGATTGGAAAATAACCTTCTCACGGGGAAAATTCCGACTTCAATAGGGAACTGTTCTTCTCTGACCACTTTGTAAGTTCTCTTAGCTCTACAATTCATTTCTTGTCTCGTGATTTTTTTTAATTTTAACGGGTAGTTTGGGATTCACGCACGAATCCAGGTTTCATTTAAACATTTTGGATGCTTATTATTGGGAAATTCTGCATTTACCTTAACCTAGAACTGAGAACTAATTTGCACATAAAACTTTTCTTTGGCTCATTGTCGAAATGGATTCATGTGTGTTTGCACTTAAGAAGCCTACTTTTACATAGTATCTTTAAATGTTATCTTTCATGTTGTAGACATTTTTGTCATACTGGGAAGTGAGAACTTCAAGTACTGCAATTTGATTTCGAAGTACAGAGATATATTTTTCTGTTGTTTGAGATTGTTTCATGTTAATGAATTGCATACTGATTTTCTGGGAAGTAATGAAGACGTGAAATCTCTTGCTGCCACTTTTGTTTGATGATAACATGTAATACCACATTAGTCTGGATTTTTGCTATCTCCTTGAAAACTAGCTACTAGCTCAAAGGTTTCGTTGTCACTAGTTTTGTTATGGGGTTGTAATCCAAGTCCTACTCCATTTTATCATTCTAACATATTTTTCTTGTTTTTTGATATATTCTTTTGTTTGAATTCTCCAGAATTGCATCACAGAACAGACTGACTGGCCCAGTACCTGCAGCAATGGCCAAACTAACCAACTTACAAAATGTGGACTTGTCTTTCAATAACCTCACGGGAGGCCTACCCAAGCAGTTAGCCAATCTTCCCAACCTTCTTTCCTTCAATATTTCCCACAACAACCTCCAGGGTGAACTACCTGCGGGCGCCTTTTTCAATACCATCTCCCCTTCCTCTGTCTCTGGCAATCCATCTCTTTGTGGCTCTGCAGTTAATAAGTCTTGCCCAACAGTTCTTCCAAAACCCATTGTCCTCAATCCCAACTCCTCTTCTGACTCCACCACACCAGGAACATTATCTTCAAATCTTGGTCATAGAAGAATCATCCTTAGTATTTCTGCACTCATTGCCATTGCTGCAGCTGCTGTCATTGTCATTGGTGTGATTGCCATCACTGTACTTAATCTCCGTGTTCGATCTTCTACAACTCATTCACCAGCAGCCCTCGCGTTATCAGCTGGGGATGATTTCAGCCATTCCCCAACAACAGACGGCAACTCCGGCAAGCTTGTCATGTTTTCAGGTGAGCCTGACTTCAGCACTGGCGCACATGCTCTACTCAACAAGGACTGTGAGCTTGGTCGTGGAGGGTTTGGAGCAGTCTATAGGACAGTTCTTCGAGATGGGCGGCCTGTTGCAATCAAGAAGCTCACTGTTTCAAGTCTTGTCAAGTCTCAAGAAGAATTTGAAAGGGAAGTTAAGAAATTGGGGAAAGTGAGGCATGATAATCTTGTGGAAATCGAAGGCTATTACTGGACTCCATCATTACAGCTCATCATATATGAATATGTCTCTGGCGGTAGTTTATATAAGCATCTTCATGATGGAGCAGGTGGAAACTTCCTGTCATGGAATGACAGGTTCAATATAATTCTTGGAACTGCGAAAAGTTTGGCTCATTTGCATCAAATGAACATAATTCACTACAACATAAAATCTAGCAATGTCCTGATCGGCAGCTCAGGCGAACCAAAAGTGGGAGACTTTGGCCTAGCAAGGTTGTTGCCAATGCTTGACCGATATGTTTTGAGCAGCAAGATCCAGAGTGCCCTTGGCTACATGGCACCAGAGTTCGCTTGCAAAACAGTAAAGATAACTGAGAAATGTGACGTGTATGGGTTTGGGGTTTTGGTTCTGGAGGTAGTCACTGGGAAGAGGCCTGTCGAGTACATGGAAGATGATGTTGTGGTTCTTTGCGACATGGTCAGAGGAGCATTAGAAGAAGGCAGAGTAGAGGAATGCATTGATGGCAGGCTCCAAGGAAATTTCCCTGCAGAAGAGGCTATTCCTGTTATGAAATTAGGCTTGATATGCACGTCACAAGTGCCGTCAAACAGACCAGACATGGCGGAGGTGGTCAACATATTGGAGCTGATCAGATGTCCATCGGAAGGCCAAGAGGAGTTGTGATGAATTTAACTAATCTTAACAGATATTCAGTGAAGGGATTTGCAATGGGATATCCGGCACAGAAGAATCCAGTTGGTTCCTGTCATCCGAGGGAGAAGAAAGTTTTTATTGTTGGAAGGTTTTTCTTTTCTGTATTGTTGTATTTATTTTCCTTCTATTGTGGATTTCCTGTTTATTTCTGTAGTTTCTCCTCCCATGCTACAAGTATCCAGGTCACCAGATTCTTCTTTGCCGGGTTCCAAATTTGGGTCCCTCTCAGATATTGTCACTACTAATCTTTTGTACTCTTCCAGTTTCTGTCTTGGTCATGTTTCTTTCTAAGAGCTGATTCTATTGTTGACTTCTAAAGGCTTTAGAAAGTTTTGCAAACATATCACTGAGCATACTTCTTAATCTGTTTTCTTCTGCAACTTACCATAATTCTACTATCTATATGTACTTGTTGGTTGCTATCTCCTTAATGAGGCTCTTGCAGTTACTAAACCATGCATATCAAGAACCCTCCTGCAGAAAAGAAATATAGAACCAAAGAAACAATGAAAGGGCAGAATTGACTTTGAAAGACATGTATGGGGAAGGGGTTGGTGGTTGTTCTTGGCCCATGTGTTGCCAATGATGGCAATGCAAAGGCAATAAAATACAACCTGCAAGTCAAAAGTGAGTTGAGAGGCTGAGGAGACCAGAGAATCTTAGTGCCCACTTTAAGGCAAATGCATCTAAAGAGCTGAGTATAATAATGCAAAAGGAAGAAAAACCCAAAATGGTAGGGCATGCTTATATTCATATTATAAAGAGATAGAGCATCTTGAAGATAACGGATGGTGAAGCTATAAGAATATTTTACTTCACACATGATGATGCCCTGTCGGAATAGAAGCAATCTTTTTTTATGTTATATATTATGCCACCCGTACCTTTAGGTTCTAATTTCAACTTTCTTCTAATGTCTTCTTTGTTTATTTCTCTTTAAACCCTCTCCAATGTTTTTCTCTTTCCAATGAATTGCTTGGATTGCCCATCTCCTCTTTGACATCTCTCTGGCCAAAGGCACAATTGGAAAAACATAAAAATAAGACTACCTAGTTAGACTGGCGACTAAGTCCGCATGTATAGAGAAACTCATTTAATTCAAACAACATAACTCAGTTTTTGTACTAGTTAATTTTCCTCCTATCAATAAAATACTATCGCATTTCTCTATAATAATAATAAAAAAATAAGGCACTTCTACTAACAACTACAACGCACGGAAAAGAACACCCCGTTTCTTTAAAGGGCAGTCAAAGAATATAAATTTCCATAGCCATGTGCATAGATTGCAAAGCAATGCCAATGAGTTGTCCCTAGTGCACTCAGCCATGACTTAAAGAAATATGGTTTTGGGCCCAAGAGAAGAGAAAAATAAATAAATGCATTGGCATTTGCATTATCAGCTAGCACATGGCTTCCTTGATAAATTAGAGTTTCTTTGGATATGGATTATTAATGCAGGTGAAGAAAACAAATATACACCTCTTTCTTTTCTCTTTTTTTTGGTAATATTCCCAAGTGCTAGGGTTTATATTATTATTATCTGTTGCTCTGTCCCATAATGTTTTCTTCCATTCCATGTAACCTCATCAAAAGTCAAGAATCTCACTGCCTTTGATAACATCGATTGAGCTCAAGATGCAAGGCTGTAGCTCAATGTGCATTGGTTTGGGCAGTCAAGTTAAAGACTTTGCTTTCACAAACTAACTACCAAATGTTTAAGATTAATCAACTTACAAAAGATGGGCAGCAATGCACTGAAACGAAAAGCTGCAAAAAGCTGCTGCTTGCTTCCATTGTTTGGAGAAAATATAAAGTGAGAAGGCATTATTGAGGAGAAGCGTTGCGCATAAAGAAATCTTGTTTTGTATTTTGCTTCCATGCTTTGCTTTTGTTCAAGGACAACTTGAGAGCCCTTCAACTTTTTGTCACAGCAATTGAAAGTTTGAAACTGGAGCCTCTTGTGTTGCATTGGTAGGTGGGGGCACGGCACGCACCTACCAACAACAGGTCCAAAACAACACATGCCCACTAGCAGTTTTTGCTATGATTGATTTGGTCTGGCCTCATGAGATGGCATTTGCAGCTTTCTGTTATAGTTATTATGTCAAAATTTCAGCTGTGTTCTCCAACCTGGCTCTTTTTTTTTCATTGAGAACTGGTTTAGTATATCCAGTTTAATAGCATGATAGAATAAATCAGGATTTAATTAGTCAAATGTAATCTCTGTTAAATCCAAACATTCTGTCAGGCGACAGCATCGCATTATGAGAGGAAGCAGAAAAAAAGAAAAGGAATGTAAGTTAAATGGACTAGTTACCCAAATTGTTATATGATCTTCTCTCTGGTTTCGCACAGCAGTGAATGAATAAAGACTCAAATATTTTCATCTCCCTCCTTGATGGGAATCGAGGTCAGGACGCAGGTCACCAACCACACACATGAGCACCGAAATCTAGGACTAGTGTAAATTCACATATATCGTAGCAAATCCATGCAACAAATAAACTATTTCATTAATCATCAGCATCAACTTTCCTACAACTATTTCATTAGCCTTATTTATAGGCTTTACAAGACTTGGGCACCAAGGCTACTTGGTCCAAAAGTAAATTAGTTAATTATAAAATTACACATAAATAATAAAAGATATCCTAAAACTACCTAAATAAGAAAATAACAATATATCATGAAATAACTAATTAAATGGTAAATATCTATCTTGATCCACCCTATGCTCCTGCATCACTCCTGCTCTACATTTCCTTTAAGCTACATTATCACTCCACCCATCTCTGCCCCATATTGAAATTAAAAGGCCCTGAACTGGTAGATTTCCCAAATTCCATATATGCAGGGTGGTTGCGGCTCAGTAACCGCGAATTTTTGCCCATACAGCAAACCGACCGACTATTTGCTGTATGGTGATTTTTGAAACCGCAAAAAACGGTTGGTTACCGCGAATTAGCGGTTTAAAATGGCAAGTTCTCAAGCATTCACTAAAATATAAATTCACAACCTAAATAAATAAATACACAACCTCAACTTCTCAAGCATATATAAATTCACAATCTCCTCAACTTCTCAAACATTCACAACCTAAAGAAAATTAAAGTTACAATTCCAAGCATTCCAATTAAAGTTAAACTTCTCAAGCATTCCAATTCCAAATCCTTTAAAGTTACAAACCGAAAGGAAAATGCAAAGCAAAATGAATTAAAGTTACAACTAAAAAGAAAAATATAATTCAAAGTTACAAACTAAAAGAAAAATGCAATACACCAATGTTACAAACTCAAGTGTTGGTGGTGAGTGGATTTGAAGAACACTGTTGTGTTGTTTGAGCACCAATGCTATCTACAAATAAAACAATATAGTTTAGTATATTTTATTATAAGAAGATCAAATAAAACAACATAGATTGGCTATACTTTGCGGTTTGCGGTAACCACAAGTTTTGAAAATCAAATACCGCAACCGCAACCGCAAGTGCGGTTCGGTTCTTCATACCGCAAATGCGGTTCGGTTTACCGCGATCGCAGTTTCATTGTGGTAAATAGTCGGTTGGTTTTTGCGATTTTTGGGTCTAAAATGCCACCCCTATTGCATATATGCAATTATACAAGACAGAGAGCAATCACTACCAGACAAGAACATATGCCAACACCTAAGCTGACCCTGAATGTTTGATTGTCCATATAACAGTAAGGAACCAACAACTGATTTTCTTGTTAAGAAAAACTAAACCCAAAAACAACATCCATGATTGATTGATGCGTACACAACCCGAACCAGTCATCAACCTTCAAAAGAAGATCCCTGTTTTGATGGAATTCAGGTGGCAAACAAGATATATTGAGATTAGGCATTGGCCATGTGGTTGAAGAAAACTTTCATTCACAAAATTGCCTTCAGCTAGTCTTCAACTTTCAAATTTGGCATCATAAGAGCAATAAACAACCAGGTTGAGTGATAGATTAGAAGTTCAGAAGTTCAGAAACAGGACAATCTTAAAACCACAAACACAAAAAAAGAGATTGGAAATGCATAATCCAAACAAAAGCAACTTCACTTCACCAAATGACTTTAAGAAACAGAAAAAGGGAGGGGAGAGAAAGGGGCTTGTTTGCTTGTTGAGGAAGCTTGTTAACTTTTATTGGGGCCAAGTCATGAAAACTTGGGGAGCAAGCAAACAGTATCACTACTCCCTTGGATTACCAAAATAATTAGTCATAAAACCTCTTACCTCAAACTTGGAACACATTCATAACTTTCCTGATTTATTTACCATAATAAAGAGCAAAGCATGAGTAAAATGCAAGCTGAAATCAAATCGTGAAAACACAAAAACAAAAGTTCATTCATTTCAACATCAATGTCCAAGTCAATGTCAAAGTCAAAGTCAGTGTCAATGTGAATTTTGTGATTGGTTTGGTATGTAATATATGTCTGTCTGTCGGTCTGTCTCAATGTCTTCTCCACCTCAATCCTCCTCCCACCAAAGCCTTATACTTTCCTTTCTTTGTTTTTTTCTCCAGATACAACACCGTTTCCAACTCATTCGACATGTGCCAAGATGAATATGGGCCGCCAACTGGTCCAAATACTGAAGAGGCTCCAATCCAAGAAGAATAGTGAAGATTCAGATAATTTTGTAGTTCTACTATTTTGCAGTGGCTTAATTGAAATTAAAAGTTTAATGCTTTTAAGTCCTTTATTTTTCCTAATTTCCAACTGAGCTTCCCAGTCTCAAAGCTTTACACTTTTTTACTTCCCCAATACTCCATGTAAGCAAATACACCCCTCTGACTCTGAGAGTCTTTTTCGCCACCCAGTCACTGAGCTAAAACCCTAATTCATCTTCCCAAACCCTTAATTTCCCCTAATTGCAGTCGCCAAATCATGCCCAATTCCCCAAATTAGGGTTTTCAGTTCCCACTTCCGCCCAAAGATGTCCTCCGAAAAATTAGGTCTGGTTCCGACCCAGAACGGGCTCAACTCTCAGCTCGTTTTCCAAGACGAGAACTTGCGCTTCAATTGCGGAGCTCCGCCTCAGCGCCGGGTCGGGGATTCGGGTCCGAAGACCCGAGAGCTCAGCGGTTTCATTGACGACCGGTTTTTCGCGCCGCAAAGCGCTGATTTCCGCCCCAGCATGTATAACGAGAATCCGGACCGCCGGGAGCCACCCGAACCCCGAAACTGGAACTCGAATGGAGCCGACACGACGCCGAGCGGTGAGGGATCGGACGAGGATGACGATGACGACGACGACGAGGATGACGTGGACGATGATGATGAGGTTGATGAAGGTGACGCTGAAGTTGGAGGGCTTGTCGGAGTGGATAACAGAAACAAGGGCATTGCTAGTAATAATGGAAACAATGGGGAAGACAAAATGGGAAATGGGAAAGTTAAGCACCATAACCAGCACCATTCTTCTTTTGGTAAGCAATTTTTGCGGAAAGTTCTGAGCTTGTCATGATATAGTTTCTAATTTTGGAAACTGTCGTTGAATGCTGCTTTTTGGCATGTTATTTATTTTATTTATTTATATAATTAGGTGGAACTGTGATAGTAGGATCAAGTAGAGAGGTGTTGGTGAAAGACCATAGTGTGGGGCAGCAAATAATGAACAACAACACAAGGGCTAGTCCCAGTGATACTCAGCAAGGAAGGCTTGGAAACTATCACAATGTGGTCACAGTCGCAGAACCAGACGGTGACATTTATTATTCTCAGTATTTGCAGGGGTCTGAGGGGTCTGGTTCTGCTCAAAAGGATTCAGTTGTGGAAAATGGATGTGGGTTTAGTGGAAGAAAGGATGTTATGTATTCGTCCGAGTCTGGAGACTCTTTGAGAGCAATTCTCTCTGATCCTGTGACGTAAGTTTTGTTTGTTCAAGTATTGGTTATTTGGTTTTGTATTTGGTTATACTTTTCTGGTTTTTTAGCTTTAACCAAGATGCTATTGGTGACTCATAGTCTTTGAGCTGTGTCGAATTGCAGGGGAGCTCTGATGGATGATGCAATGATATTGCCTTGCGGGCATTCCTTTGGAGGTAGTGGAATACAGCATGTTATTAGAATGGTGAGCTCCATTTATCTGTTATAGATGTGATTGTTTCTGTTAGTCTTTGAGAAAAGGTACTGGGTACATATTCTTGTAATGAACTGACTGGCATAGAAACTGTAAGTCCTTCATAATGGTATTTAGACTTTGAAAGTTTATGGAGATGCATAATTGGGCATTGCTTTCTTTCTAGTGAGTGCAAGCTTGGCAAGATTGCTGACATATGTTCTCTGTTGTATTTTGGCTGCATATGTATATATGATTTTACATATATAACTAGTAATGTGCATAATTTTCAGTTTCTACAATTTTAAAATAAAGATAGCTACAATAGCATTGTTGTTTTGTTGATAAGACAGGATACTGTCCTTGCTTCAATTGCTTTCATTTTAAAGGGTGCAAGCATGTTTGCAAAACTCCATTTTGCTAACTGTTGTCCATGGGGTGGAATTCAATAAAGAGAGATGCTAGTGTTAAATGATTTTACAAAGACAAAAAAAGAAGCTATAAAGTGATATTTTCACATTATTTTGTCCCTTTTGCTGGCAAATATATGTGCTACATGTGCATGTAGGATTCTATAAACCAATGCTAAGAAGATATGCCTTGTACTTGCTTTTGGTTAATTAAATTTTTGTTTGGTTTTGCTTGTCAAAATTGAATTTTTATCATATTATGTTTTCAGAAATCTTGCTATACCTGTTCTCAGTCAATTTCAGAAGATTCAATTGCCCCAAATCTCTGTAAGTCAAAAAAATTTCATCGAAGCTTTATGTCCACTTACCATTTCGAAGTTAATATATTCTCAGCTATATGTAATGGGGACAGCCAGCAAATCATTTGCACGTGTCTTGGTTCTGTTTGTTCCATGCTGAACTTCCCTATATCAGTAGCCCTGTCTCATTGGTGCTAGAAAACTTGTTGTCTGGCTTGGCATGTCTAAATATGTTGATGAAGGCTCCAAAGAAAAAGGAATTAATGTTTTTGAAGTTAACTTGAGTAAGAAAGGAAAAAGAATTGGGGACAAAATGAAATCTTAAAGGAACAGAGAGAGGGGATCCGAAACCCTGGATGGGAATACTTGGGGACCAGCATTTACTGTCTTAGGGAAAGAAAAACGTTGACATTTAAGTGGGAAGATCATGGTTTGAGGCTCTTATAGCTCAAGAGAAAGGATGAAAGAATAACCGTCAGATGACAAAGTGTAGTATGTTACAGAACTCACTCTAGTATTACTTATTTTGTCTTATATGTGCAGCTCTTCGAGCTGCTGTGCTGGCATTCCGCCGGGAAGAAGAGTTACAATTTTATCGCTCATCCAAAAGAAGAAGAGAAAGGTTTGACCAGGTTTGTCTTCAGAAATGGTGACATCATTAGGACACTATTCTCAAAAGCTTGAGACTAAGTCCTTTTTTCTTCTCCTGTAGGAAAAGGGTGGTTACAGTGATTCAGTTCTTGTGGACACTCCAAGGGGTAGAGGTGTTCAGTTTCCATTTGTAGTGACAGACCGAGTTATTATAAAGGTTAGCAGAGCAAAGTCCCAATCTTTGGCTCTAATTCTTGTTCAATTGTTTGTTCTAACTAATAATTGGAGTGAAATGTCACAGGGGAATAAGAGGACACCGCAGCGCTTTGTGGGGCGCGAGGCTGTTGTCACAACACAATGCTTAAATGGATGGTTAGTCATTTTCTAGTTTTCTTCCTATTTTGTATAACAATTTTAAAATTTATCAAGAAATGTTCCACCTTACATTCTTGCGTCACATTCTTTTGTCAAATGAGATGCTGACTTAGATTTGTTTTCATTGTACAAATGCATCAACAGGTATGTGGTAAAGACATTGGATAATGCAGAGAGTGTAAAATTGCAGTACCGGTCACTTGCCAAGGTATCCGATGAACCCTCATCTAAGCCAATGTCAAGCAAGATGGGACCTAACTGGCTCTAGGCGTACATACACAAATAGGAAATGTGAGGCCGTAATAGTTTGTTGCCTATTATGCCAAGCTATAACTAACTTTGTTGTTTAAGAAGTTTCTGCCCCTACTTAAAAGTTGTATTTCATTACAAGCAAACACGATCATATGCAGGCCTTGTAAATTATATAGAAGCCTTGTCACAGCAGCTTTGAGAAAAGGCTATAATTTAGATTGTAAAAATATGTATTCATTTTTCTTCACTTTGAGCAACGTTGTATTTAAGTCTTTGTATAAGTTTATATAAAGCATTTTTGGTCTGTGGGATCCTAGTGCGTTCCGAGTCTTCTGACTTCTGATGTTTTATGTTTTGTATGACTCAACTCAACTTAAACGTACAAGTCCATCCCAGAATGCGGCTGCAACCTCATGTTTTTCCAAGTTCATGTTTTGTCATGTTTTTTTAACCGATTTTATTGATTTGCCTATTATAGAAATATCTTGCAACAAACTGTCAATTTCTGATATATCAAATCATCATCATTAGCAACAAACTGTCAAATGGATTCAAAATTCAGCCAAGAGGGAGTGAATTACAGAACCTGAAAATCAACGACTAACAAAGGAGTAAATCTCAAGACTTGTTATTTCAACAATTGGAATTGTAACAGTCCTATTCTGCCACTCTAGATAAAGCTGACAGATTCATGACCTCCTCAAAATACTGAGCAAAGCCTTATAAACCTAATCACGATTTTGCTGATTGCTCACTAGCGGGAAAAAAAAAGGTCAACTTAATTAGACAAAGATTGAAGAGAGGAAGGACTGTAGTGAACAAGCTCAGAAACAGGGTACATTTGTCGACAAAAGAAAGTTGCATGTTGAATAAATCGAAGCCGCAGCAGCTCTGACAGCTAATGCCCTATCTGAGTTATCCAAAATATGTGATCTGCAAGACAAACATAAAGATGAATAATATAATTACAACATTTACTTTAGTTGAAAATCATGAAGTTACCATTTGACTTGTAAGCAATTTTGAGAAGAATTTGACTTCTAAACATTAAGACCATCCAGCCATTCGTGCGTTAGATCGAAGATTTATGAAGGCAAAAGTAACTACAGGAAAATTTGATGCTAATAAAAAGCTTTACCTGGGATCATTTTCAGATGTTCCCAATTGTTGACTGCCAGAAGCAGTGTTCCATTGAACAATTTGAAGCCCCTGGTCACAATGAAGCTGCATTTCTTTTACTTGGTTTGACCAACTTTCCTGAAATTTATAACCAATATAAGAAAATTGCATGTAAATATTCAAATAAGAAAAATAAAATGCTGTGATACTATTCACAGAGCAACTTCATCTATTTAAAATGCTGTGATACTACTCACAAGTTGATCCTCTTCTTCAGAAAGTGCTTTATCCATTTGCTCAAACAACGGGTTCCATCTTGCTCGATGCATGTCTGCAATAGTACAGCTAGGAAATCCACCAGTGGAATTTTTCGTGATACAAGGATCATTCTCCTGATCAGAGGGAAACTCTTTTGATAATAATGATGGCAAATCTGTAGTTATTACATCTCGAACTCTCTTCCTACTGCGTCGCAATGCTGCAGTTACATGAATAGAGTACACATAAGGATGTGATCCATTCCAACAAGATCCACTAGTGATTTAACAGACACAGCGTTACCTGCAAGACGTCCTTTGATGTCTTGAAGAATAAGTCCCAACCATTGAGAAGCAATGGTAGCAGCTGAAAGAGAAAGAAGGAAAAAGAAAACATACATCAGCTACCACATCCACCTTTTTCAACATGTAAGATCTCCCCCAATCATCACTTGACTACTACTTAACCCACTTTTATAAATTCATAAAACAACTCCTAAAGGCATGGCATATTTAAAGTATTAAACATTTAAGATCAAAATTTTAAATAATCACCTTTAATAGAAAGATAAGATGCTGTTTCTTCATCAGACAAAGGGCTATCATCCTCAGATGCATTAGTTGATGGCAACTTCAATGCTAGCGTATCTTCCTCATTTTCAAGGACAGAGTGTGACATAAACCTTCTACCGCTAAACCTATCTACTGTGGTTCGTTCACCATCTCCACCTTTGTCCTGTGGAATAAAAGATCTATTCATGGATATAGGGAACCCTCTTGTCTGCCCACCCTCAAAGGAAGTATTTTGATGCCGACTTCCATGACAGAAATGTACTCCGGACTCATTCATATTTTGCAGGTCCTTCCTGTTCCCAATTTCACATGCTCCACTCTTCGGATGGGTTGCGTGCATGTTTCCCACACGGTCATTTTCAAGTTTTTCAAATTTTACAAGGGACTCTATGATTGAACGGACCTGTTTTCTATTTCTCACATGGTTTATAATCCCAGGGTTCAGTTCATTGAGTAGTCCACTTGGAGCAGCAATCTTTGCGAACCTGTCCACTTGTTCCCTCTTTGCACGTTCCATCTTTTTCTTGAGCTCTTCATTTTTACTTTTCTTGGTCCGTTGCTTTGGAATCGGAATGCCTCCATGAGTAGATGAGAGAAAACCATTTTGCTTCATCTCCTTCCACACTCTCATTGAATCCTTCTCTTCCAATGGCCCAGTGCAGCTCCCACACTCAGACACAGCTCTTGGCTTCAAGTGATTGGTATTTTTATAAGGGTAAAATGGATCTTGATTTTCTGGAATTGAAGCATCTTCTGCATTGAGGTCCAATCGGATGCCTTTTTCATTTACACAATTACTAGGATCCCTAAGCAAGGTGATCTTTCCAGAACTCTCAGGGCATTGCTGACTGTCGTCCTGAACTGTATTGTTGGCAAGGCACATGTCTGTATTGAGATCCAGTGGTCTAGAAGCAGGATTGACCGCTACTGATAATGTCTTACTCCATGCTTTTCCTGCTTGAGAAGCATCCAAATCCAAAGTTATAGGCACCTCAGTAACTTGAGACATCTCTTCACCACTGGATTGAAACTGACCACTTGATTCTTTGTTTTTCAAGGATTTTGTATGATGGGGATTAATTCCTGTTGCATGAAAAATAGGGCTTAGTATTGAACCCAAAACCACTCCGAATACAAACCAAAAGAACCTTTTCAATTTGAGTTTAAATAGAACGTAAATTATTTACAAAAACAAAGCAAATGTAAACCCCATGATATGAATGTCCGTAGAGCCTTGGACATCATTACCTCTGAGTAATTTTATACCTTCTCTGTTATAGTTCTAAACTATATAAACTGGGTGCACCAACGTTTTAAATAGAGTCTAAATGTATAGCATATTTATGCAAAGAAATTGAAACTAAATATATTTAAGAAAGATTTTTCAGCGCCAAAAATGCGAAATCATATTCGATAAGGAAGACCACGTTCGACCCCAAAAAATTCAATTAAAAAGAAGCCGCACAGCAACAAGAAAATTTTCAAATATTCATAGTAAATACCTTCAGACCGGCAAACAGATTCAAGATCTCGCATTTTAAGCCGCTTACGAGAACCCAAGTCACGTTCTTGTCCCAATTCAGTACTCACCCGCTTCTCCCCAACAGTCTAAAACAACCCAAAAAATAAAAAATCAGAAACCAGTGAAATGAACGAAAACTAGAGAACAAATTCCCTCAAATGCAAACTAAGCGCAGGAAAAAGAACCAACCTTTGAATCCGATCTGGGTATCGAGACCAACCCTTTTCCTGAATCACATCGGTCTTCCATAATCTTTGAACCCAATTCAAATACACCAATTTAAAAACCGACCCTTTTGCAAGAACCACTAAATCTGACTCATGGGCGCTAAAATTTGTAAACTTTTTAAACAAAAACGAAAAGGGCAAGTGCTGAAATGATGAATCTTTGGACCTCCCCGAGGGAGCAAACCAGAATGGAAGGTTGAGTTTGAGAGGGAAGAGGGGTTGGTGGGTTAGGGTTTTGAAGTTTTGTGTAGCAGATCCGTGGGAATTTTTATTATTTGATATTCAATTTGAATTTTGCAGAAGAAAGAGAAGAGCGCGCTCTCACTAGTACAAAGGTTGTTCGTCTAGTTTTGTTCGGCTCCTTGCTCTCTCGTGGTTTAAATTGTAATTTAGAGGAGGCTTAACAACAACAACGTGGGTACTTTCAAATTCAAACAGGTTATTCAAACAGGTTGGAGGGACTTCGGTTTTATTTTAGGCCCAAAAGGGAAAACGCCGTGCCTTTTTTTTCCCACGCGTTCTACCGTAATGCGATAGGCCCTGTTTGGTTGCCTGGAAAAAGATTTTATTTTGCCCTTGACATAATAATTACCCATATCATGCCATATTAATTTACCCTTTATTTTTTTGGACATATTCATTTACCTTGTAATGTAGTATAAATGTGGTGGTAAATTAGGAAAATTATCATCTAGTTTTCTCAAAATATTATTGTTTGAGTCTTTATACTGAAAAGATTATCGTTCGAGTGTTCGTTCAGTACAATTTATTTTCAATAATGAATCATTATCCTAAGGTTTTTGTTGAATGTGTGGTGTCTCCATTCTGGATAAGATTTCGTAATGAGATATCATCATAAAACATAAAACATATCAAAATCACTCCATTATTAACTAATAAAATAAAATAAACTCATAAATTTCTCAAGTCACCACCGTACATGATGCAAATTCCTTCACACAAAGGAAAATGTCGAAGACTCCAGAGAAAGGAAGAAATAAAAAAATTGATCCACTTGTGTGTTTCAGTAAAATGCTTCCTTCTCAATGTACATATATCATCATGGTTATGAGTTGTACAATTACAGTACTGTACACCATGAATGAATTAATATGATTTAAGTTGGTATTTTGATTTACAAATTAATTCAATTTGGATTTAGAGTATCATTGGGCCTGGGCCTGCAATAGCCAGCAATTCTTCAGCTGAGATTGGGCCGTCTCCCTGAAACTATTGACCCGAACCAAGCAGAAATGAGTGCAGCCCAACCCCATCCCCAGCCCACAACCCGACCCGGCCTTTACTTTACTCGTCTTCAACAAGTAACAAGCTGGCCCACACTCCGCCCCTTTCCCCTGCACCACTAGCCCCCATGCCCGCGTGATCCCCTCTCCGTCCCCGTTACGCTCACCTTCACCTTCACCTTCATCATCATCCATGAGTTCTTCAACGAAGATAACGCCGTCAGGAAACGGCGCCACCCCACCCTCCCATTTTCGCCTGAGCACCTCCCAATTCTCTTCCTCCACCCCCTTCTCCGTTTCAATCCACGGCTTCTCGTCCGTACTGCCCTTCCCGTACACATTGACCAACAGCGGCGCTTCTCTAAGATTCTTGACGATCTCCACCACCGAATCTCTCATCCACGCGTCCAACTTCTCATACGCCGCCGCCGCCGTCTCGGCACTATTTCCTTGTCCACCGCCGCGACGCCGTTGTCGGGGCACCGCTTCCAAACTCGCCCGCGCCACCGCCAATGAATTCACTCTCGCACCCCTTGATCCGGCACGGCTGCGGATCATCGCACCACACGGCCTTTGATTGGACGAGGGACTGCAGAGATTGTCTTGGCAAATATCGAAGCATCGACTTCCTCCGAATTGAAGGCGCAGCGATGCCATTCGCAGAGACGGAGGGCAAGAAACCGCTCACTGTCTTCTCGAAACGCTTTCTTGTGGCGGACGAAACGAAGCGATTCGATTCTTGGATTTGGATCTTTAGAAGCAGAGCCAGGTTCTTTATTGTGAATGGGTTTATAATATATAGTTGAATTGGAATTCGAACGCTTTCTGGTTTCCGAGTGCGTTTGGAATATAAGACTGTTAAAGAAGCGTGAGGATTTGTAATTGGTTCGGGCACGAGCTCCATGGAAGGAAGAGCGTGGCGGGAGGCTTCGTGCACGAGCCTCACTCGTGGACGCGGCCTTTGAATTTGTAACGTGGCGTGTGGTCCCTTAATCAGAGCCGTTCATGTCGATGACCTTTGGTCAGATCGAGGTTGTAGGATATTTTAATCGTGGTCGGCGTTGTGGCGTGCACATTTTCATCGTGGGTCGTGTGGGATGATAGCATAATGGAGGGGGAGGTTGGTCCCATTTGGAGTCTGTGTGAGGACGTGGCACGTGGGTCTCGTGGAAAGTGCATGCTGTTCGGACGCTGGCTTTGCCCAGACGTCCGCTTGATATAAAGCCTGACCAATGAAGCCAGCGAGAACTGACACATCAGCAGAGCTGTATTGGGCTTTACAAATCCACGTAGACAGAGTAAATCCACCTGTATTTTGGGTGTAGTGTAATAAATTGCGTGGATGTAAAGAGTCAGCGATTGTGAACAGTGCACACCCACCTCATTTGACCTGTTCATTTTCCTTTGGCCTCAAATTGTACAAGTCTAACGTTTCTATATAAAAAGCCTTGAGATGTCATAATTAAATCAAAGCATTTTGATTGGGGGAATTGCATATAGAAAGTTCCCATCGATGAATTATTTGTCAATTAACATAAGAAAACGGTGACCATTTCTTGAAAGTAGGCTGCATGCGACTTAAAGGAAATTGGTCAATACTCTCAAGTTGGCCCCTATGATTGACCATCGAGAAAGACTTTGAACAATCAAAGCTCACATTATGACAACTTATTACAGAGAGTTATGAAGCTTAACTGGAAGGCCCATTGCTGGATATGGCATGGGCTCGTTCTTGATGATTGGTGTCCAAGTATAATTTGTAATGAAATGGTGAATGATGAGCAGCACTTCAACTCTGGCAAATTCTAAGCCTGAGATTATAATTAGTGACACTATATATTATTTACGTTTCGATAACATAACAATTATGTCGACGCTATCAGTAATATCGATGATGTATAGAGACAACGCATTTACGTTTTTCATAAAAATACACAATAGAAAAATACTGAGTATAATACCTTCCATCCCTTGGGGATGTGAAGGCCGTCAAAAGTAGTGTCTCTAGAAGCACATTTGAAGTTGCCAAAAACTGGAGGAGTCAATCTCATAAGCTCTTGGGCCACTCTCCATGTATGCTTCATCATTTGGATTTCACTCCATGTAAGCCTTCCCTCATCACCACTTGCTTCCACAGCCTTTGCTACTTCCTTTTGCTCTGTCAGCAATTATTTAAATAAAAAAAAATACTTATGAGGTAGTTGGTTAACCATATATATGCACAGTTTAAGTGATTAAAAGAATTCGCAATAACACTCGAGGTTTATTATTTGACCAATATTGTTTATATTAAGAAAGAGAAAAAGGTGATATATACCAACCCACAATCTAATAAGTTAGTGCAAGTAATTTTATGACGCGTCACCAAAAGTCTTGGCGTCCGTAGAAAGATGTCTTAAAATGAGGCCGAGGATAATTGCGGTGGTGTCATGTCTTAAATATTCAAACATATTAGAGCTAGCCGCTCGGCTATACTATTTAAATATTCCAAAGTATAGCCGTACGGCGATACAGTTTAAATATTCGAAAATATGCACAGGGAATAGCCGCCCGGCCGTACTATTTAAATATAAAAAAATATGCTTTTCTGTGTAGCCAAGCGGCGATACTATTTAGATGCTGGGTATAGCCGAACGGCTAGACTATTTAAATACTCGAAAATATGCACAGAGTATATACTCGAAAATATGTCCTGGGTATAGCCGTCCGGCCATACTATATATATATATATATATATATATTTGTTACCGGCTTGACCCGTCAAAACCATGAGCCCATGAGTGAGGTCTTGAATACTGGCTCATACTTTCAGATTCGGATTTGGATCCACTGACCCGTTTTGTTCTGTTTTTGTGCCTTGATGAAGCTTATGGACTCTCCAGTCTGTGGAAATCCAAATGAACCTGACGGATGTTAAAGTTCTATTTAGCACAATAACTGCAAGGTAATTTTGTGATTTCACAGCAGCCAGCCATAAATTAGAAACTGTGCTACCAGAAGAAATTAAATAGAGGAGGTAGGTAGAAGGAATGGTTGTTACAAGCTTGAATTGTTGAACACGTGGGTAGATGGAGACCATCCAATATTCATTTTCAGCCAAATCGAAAATGAAATAGGATATTCTTTTTTCATATATGCCCCTAGCCTGTAATATAGGACAGGTTCACTCACAACAAGGGAGCTTGTTGAACAAAATTTGGTAAAGAATAACAAAGATACCATCTTTGGTGCCTCACAAACCAAGTGACTTTCTTGGCGTGACTGTTTCATGTATCCCCTCTGCCAACACACTATTCATATCAAATTACTTGAAAATTTTGTTTTCTGCCCTTAAAATTGGAGCCTCATTTTATAAGATTGAGAAAATCTATCGTATCACCGGTTGTATACAACGCCTATGTGTGAGAATTTTCTCCACAGGCACCCCGAATTGTTTTTTATGGCAATTAGCGAAGTGATGTGTCAATTGAAGACCCAATTTTATACAAATGAAACTCTAACTAAAATTTAAGTTGGAGAAAGTGAGATGTGATCACAAGCTTTTCAACCTTCCACTTGCAACACCTACCACCTGGCCAAGACTGGAAGGCATCGTCAGCTTGAACACCACAGCCCAGGATATATAGAGGCCTAAACCTCAGCTATATTCCCATTGTTTTCTCAGACAACATTTCTATCTACTTCCTTCATCTTCTCCATAGCTGCCTGCTAATCATACCCTTCAAAACTCACAGCCACACTAAGAGTAAGAGCTCTCTGTCTCTCTGTGAAATCATGTTGTTTTTATTTTTGTTGGGTTTTGTTCTTGAATTTAAGCATGACTAAATTTTGTATCTTTATGCATCTCAGTGGGTACTGAAGTGGTATTGGTAGATGAAGTTCCTTTTCCTCCTCAGATCACAACCACCAAGCCATTGTCTCTGCTGGGTCATGGTAAGCCATTTTTGCACTTGCTAAACATTCCATTTTTGTGTTTGATTAGCAAAAGAAAATGAAAAATTGCTAATGGGTAATTGGGTTTGGCAGGGATCACTGACATTGAGATACACTTTCTTCAAATCAAGTTCACAGCAATTGGGGTTTACTTAGACCCTGAAGTTGTGTCACATCTTCAACAATGGAAGACAAAGAAAGCAAATGAGCTTGCAGAAGATGATGACTTCTTTGGTGCTCTTATTTCTGGTAAAATTGCAATACCATACATCCCAAAAGTTGCAATCTTCAATTACTTTTTTCTAATCCCTTGATCAAATTGTGGATGCATGTAGCTCCTGTTGAGAAATTCCTAAGGGTTGTGGTGATCAAGGAGATCAAAGGGTCTCAATATGGGGTGCAGCTTGAGAGTGCTGTGAGGGATAGATTGGCAGCTGATGACAAGTATGAAGAAGAGGAGGAGGAAGCCTTGGAGAAAATTGTTGAGTTCTTCCAATCAAAGTACTTCAAGAAAGATTCCACCATCACATATCATTTTCCAGCAACTTCTGCCACTGCTGAGGTAAGAATCAAACTAAATAACATTGGTTTTGTTAAGGAAATATTGCTTTCAGCTAATTAGATATATTTTCTACTTATTTGTTTATGTGTATGCAGATTTCTTTTCACACTGAAGGGAAGGAAGAGTCAAAAATCAAGGTGGAGAATGCAAATGTGGTTGAGAACATCAAGAAGTGGTATTTGGGTGGGACTAGAGGGGTGTCTCCTTCAACCATATCATCCTTGGCTAACACACTCTCAGCTGAGTTGACTAAGTGAGAGCATTTTGTTGTATGGTTTTGGGCTCTTTTTATGGGTTGTTGCTGTTTGCAATTGCAAGGGCTCATTTTGAAGTTTGTTAACTAGTGGGAAAACCTGGTGTTTCTTGTGATCTGTTCTGTTTAATAAAATGAATGATATATATAGATTTCTGTCCATCCAACATCCAAGTTTTTTATGCTTATGGAAAATAATATTCCTACTTTCCCTTTTCTTTCTGCATCTTTGCAACCTCAACTGAAATCAAGAAGGCCGTATCTCTTAACCGTTTGATAAAATTGAATAGTCATTAGAATAAATTAGTTAGTTTGATCCAACATTTAAGATATAGGACCATCTAAGGCTTAGGTTAGGTGGCCCTCACTATAAAATGACTCCAACTAAAATCTAAAATAGCATGTTGTAAAATGGGCTTAGCCTTTTGAGGACCTCAGAGGGCCCGAAGCCAATCCGTGTCTTCTCAAGGCCCAAATCAACTGATTGACATCTCTACTTGGGCCCTACTGTTGCAGGGCCTTGGCCAATTTTTAAACCACCAACCTCAATCAATAACAAGAATTTTACAATGAAGGTCGTATATATTAAGTGATATATGACCCCTAAGTGAGGTTTTATCTTTAAATCGTTGGATCAAATTAGTTAGCTTGATTCAACGGTTAAGAGATAGGACCCCACCTAAATGTCTTATATAACTATAGAATGACTCCAGTCAATAGACTCAATTGTATATTAGCACAATGACACCTATCAATCATCATGCCACTCTCATTTTTTAACATAGGTACTTCAAATTTTTCTTTGTATTTTTCCCCAAATAAAACTTGCCTAAACTAACAAGGGTATTATAGCTCTAGGTGTGTTAGTTGGATCAATCCAGGTCTTGGTGTGTTCTCATTTGGTACTGTGTTGAAGTCTCATGGTACATGTGTGTGTACTCCCCCTCCATTTCCCCTCCCCTTAATTGATTGTATAAAAATAAAAAATGAAAAACAACTTGTCTAAGCTAGTAGCTACCTTGTGAATTTGCAATTGCAACAAATCAAAAAATAAAATCAAAATGAAATATGTTTAAAAAGATGTTGTAGTAGAAGGATCCTTGAAACAAAAGAGGGGTGGAGGGGGTTGGAATTCTTCTTAATATTCATTCTCGCAAAGAAATCATATCATCTGCTATATTCAGTTTATTGTGAACCACAAGCGCACTAAGTCCTTATAGTCCACAACAATCCAAAAATTCCAAGTTGGATTTGCTCTTGACCATTTCTGTATGCTCAAGTAGCTCATCCATGACGAGCTATATATGTACTGTATTGGTACCTTCATGTACCCTTTTATGATGCAGTAGTCATAGCTAGTGGGTGTTTTAGTGGACGCATATGGTTTAAACGGTTCTATCAAGATTCAAAATTAACTAGCTCTTGTTTTAATGATGCGTCTCATCTCAATTTTAACACATATCCTAAATTTGAATCCCCGAACCCATTAATTAAAAGAAAAAAAGATTCTACCAATAGAAGTTGCCACAAAGGATTGAAACATGGAACATGACTACATTAATTACTGCCTGCCCGAAAAGTCACGAGTACACGAATATTGTTCCTCAAGCTTCCCTACACAAAATAATGTCTTCTTAGTAATCTTTGGAATCCAGGAAAAATCTTATAGAAAGATATTGATCAATCAGGTTGAAAAGAAGAGGGTGCGTGTGGTTGTGGGAGTGGTCCATCGACAAATGATGCTTAAGAAAATGTCCTCATCACACCCACAAGTAAAGATACTGCTGCAGCTCATTTACTTAAAAACATGAGTTTTGAGGTAGTGCAGGAATAAAATTTCTTACTTGTGGGCCAAAAAAGGTGAAGAATGGAGGGGAAAAAAGAGTGAGATTCCATTCTGTGAGCACAAAATAATGTTTTTTTTTACTTGTGTCCCATATATTACATATAATACCAAAATAAATAATTGCATGTCCATCAAATCAAACAGGGAAAATAGAAAGGTGCATATGGATCATGGATGACAAATTAATTCAGCTTGAGTTCTTGAAAAAATGCTATGTTTTCATCAGATTTGCATTTGTCTGCCTTAACTTTTACAAATGGAAGTGAGGAAAAAAGAAAAAGGAAAATGTTCTATTTTAATCTAATCTAAATTATGGGTAAGGAATTCGAATTCGGGTGCATTTGCTTAATTGCTTTGCATTACCAAGACAACAAGACATTCATATAAAATGAATCGGCTGAAATTTATACTTGGATTGGACCTTCCTTCACATTCAAGTTAAACACCACTACAATATTAGAGTAGATAATATCATCCAGCATATGAGGTGCTCAATTTTGGCTGAAAATTTATATTATTTCCCCAAAAACCTCATATATATGTAGGCATTGCCATAGCACCTCAGATAAGATTACATATTTGATAACCAAAAACTAAAAACTACTTGTAAACCAACAATATTATAAATAAATAAAATCTCTCTCTCTAAGCTTAAAACATTATCAACTGGCTTCATCAACAGATATTGGCACATCACCTTGACCTCCAGATGATGCATTTCCAGCAGTATGCCTAGCATCAGCAACTTCTGCAGAATCTGAAGCTGCAGCTGGCTGTTCAAGCAACGAGTGGCGGCAAGTTGGGCACGAAGAGTGTGACAAAAACCAAGTGTCTATGCACCTGACATGAAATCCATGGTTGCATTTTGGCAAAAGCCTCACTTTCTGGCCATCTTGAAATTCTCCAAGGCAAATTGGGCAGTCCGTGGCAGGAATATTAGCCCCTGAGCCATATGCCACAATGGGAATTTGACGCAATGTGCTCTTTTTCAGCCCTGTGGCTGCTAAGCGCGCAGCAGTCTCATCTGGGGTCTCAAAAGAGAACCTTCTGCTGCATCTTAAAGCACAGCGCACGATTGAGTTTAGCCCCAGAGCAAATATCAGTGCACAGAGCAGGGCTGCTAGAATGATGACCATGTTGGTGTCAAAGTTGGCCTCATTGGTGTATGTCCCACGTGTCCTGCTTCCATTGGCTGCGTCTGGTGTGGTTGATGATGATGATGATGATGATGATCCTGATGATCCTGATGGGTCTAGAAGTAGGCGGTGTGGACGGTGATGAAGAGTTACCATTGGTTGCTTCACTAGATTGAGAATCAGCAAAACTAAACAGAACCCACCTTCCTCCTGCTTTGTAATAAGCTAAAGCTTGTATCTTTTTGCTTAACAGATTATGCAAATAAGCTTGGAGTTTCATATCTCCATGGGCTTTTGGCGCCAAATCGAACCACAAAGGAGACTGAGAGAAGGGAATTCATCTTCCCCATGTACAGAGCAAAGCTTTCTCTTATTTTTCGTTCCACTCTAGCTACCTCTGTGTTTCGTGTTGGAATTCTACGCAAGGCTGGTGGTAGCTGAGTTGTAGGGGCTTTCAAAGACCGGTTGAATTCATGGTAGTGAGGGAAGCTGCATAAAATTAAGTGCGGACTTGTTGTTTCTTACCTTGTGGCTCCTGTGATATCTCTCTTGTCAAAACTGAGAGAGAGATAGAGAGGGGCCTTTGTGTTATGGTAATGTGTGTCAGGATTCCAACTAGATAAAAAAGACTTTCAAAAAAAGCATATCTTGATGGTCTCTCTGATTATGGAAGTGGTGGTGAATAGTAATCATCAAGACTCCAAAAGGTTGAAACTTGAAGTTAATAATCACTTCAATTAAGATTTATAACCCTCAGACCAACCCTAACTTCTAAAAAGACATGGAATGAAGAAAAAGAGAAGAAAATATGACTCATATATTCTTACCAAAGAGGCTTAGAGGCTCAAAGGTTTAAATGAAGCCTTTTCTGCTTCTTCCATTCACAGAGAGAGAGAGAGAGAGAGAGATTGAGAATTTGGTAGATGCTGCAGAATGTGAGAGGGGGTTATGGGCAAGTTTTGTAGTATTTGGATTGTGGGTAAGGAAGGACACTGGGTTACAGATAGGAGGATGGATACCAAATGAGACTAAGATGGGTGTCTTTTCAATTCCAGAGTGTGCATTATTGTTGACAGAAATGACATAGAGAAGATTAAACTTTAGAGCATCAAGTAGAGGGAAAAAAAAAAGGTATGCTCATTAGCAAAGCAAAGTAAAAATAAGAATTCTATTTACCTCATTACCGGTAAGGAGATACTCTTTCTTTTTGCAAATCACAGTTTGACACATATGCAAAAATAATTTATTAAAAACATAAAAAGAAAAAAATTTGTACACATATCACACTGCTATAAGCAGGAATGTAGAAGCTCATACTTATCTAATATTTTCCTAAAATTAAAGCAAGAGCCTAAGAATTTTAATTAAGGTACCTGATCCTAATTGTGATTTAAAAGAAAGTAAAGCTTATTATTCCAAGCACCAAGTCCTTCCACTCCTACACTCATCTTCCTTTATTGTAAAGTCAAATCATTGCTTCTCCAATTTAGCCAATCTTCATCCTTCTTCTTATATCCTAATCTATTCTCCTAATGCTAATGTCGACATTTGCTCCCCCACCATTTGTAATTAATTAGTTGATTAATATTTGATACAAGATTATGATTTGCTCCCATCTCATTTTAAACTTTTTGCAAGTTTTCAAGCATCATTCTAACAGGAAGAATTGGAACTTAAATTATAGCCATTGACATATTCACATGCATCTATTCTTTTTGTCACGAAAACCATTAATTTTTGACCAAGTAACCTACTTTGTTTTTACCCATGTAGTAAAAATCACCACAGTAACTGATAAGAGAGAGAAAAAATCAGCCACAAATCATCATTCTCTAGTCTTTTCTGTCAAGTCCAAATTTATGGAAACCTTGTTATTTTCCGTATTCAAAATGAATGCGGTTTGCCAATTTGATTCCCTTCTTCCTTCTATTTTGACAGGGACGTGTTAAATTATCTTCCCAAGTTACTTGTGACGGCACATTCAATTCATGTGGCTCTTTCTATACCGTGATTGATGAAGAGACGGGCCCACAAATGTCCAGTCAAAACGTCCAATGGACCCTCAAAGTTCTAGAGCAAGACACCTGTCTGTCTGCTTGGATTGACTAGCTCCATACAAGTTACATCGGATGTACAAGGAACATGTTAATGCCCTCACCAACTTTGCAAACCTTGGTCTCCAATTCATCACCGGCTTCATTAATTAGGTGAGCAACATGTGATGTGGAGTGGAGCAGCTTCAACCAACACATCTGCATAAGCTTAGTTCTAATCTCGGCCTCCTATGGTCCCTTTTGTGGCTGATAAAAAGAACCCAAATGGTGCTTTGAACCAAGATGTTTGCCTGCAGTCAAGACAACCTAACATGGCCATCGCAGACTATTGACATTTATACTTGATGATGCAGGAAAGGAGGAGGAGCCTACTCAAAACCCTCAATTGTTACCACGGCTTTGCTTTCCATATTCATATATAGCATATGACACACAAGGATTTGTAACTTCAAATGTACAAAACTTTACAACAATGTGGTCACTATTCATCTCTCCAATATCGCACACTTGTCTCATGCTTTGTCTCCGTCTCTCGCATTCAAACTCGGGAAATCTTCCAACATTGGGAAGAAAGAAGTACCACTGACACCGAGTCCAGTTCGGTGTAGCAAACTAGCCTCAAGCCCAATCATAGAACACATTGGGCCACAGTCGTAAATAGAAGATCTTAAACCTTAAAGCCCAATCCATAATCTCAATTGACTCTCCAACCTCGGTCGGTCCACACAGAAACGGCGCCGTGTAACGTGGTTTCTAATTTTTCGCTCCTAAACGTCCATCCAACTTAATCTGGTCCTGGGGGAGTGAGGAACACTCACTGTCAACACAACTAGTTTCGGACACGCGGAGAGAGAAAAAAGAGAGGCAGACAGCAGACAGCAGGGAGCTCCAGAGTCGAATAAAAATGCAAGATCCGGCGAACCCGAAACCGGATCCGAGCTCTAGCTCTCAGGCCTCTCAGAGGCCACGCATGACGACGCCGTTTCCGGACCCAAGTCCCAGCCTTTCGTTCCGGGGCTCCTACCACCGTCGAGCCCAATCCGAAGTCCAATTCCGGATCCCCGACGACCTGGATCTGCTCCCGGACCCGTTCGACGGCCCATCCGGCAGCTTCGAGGAGCTGGGCGGCTCCGAGGACGACCTCTTCTGCACCTACATGGACATCGAGAAGCTCGGATCCAAGCTCGACGATGGACCCTCCGACCCAAAACTCGAGAATCCCGGAGGCTCCACGGAGACAGGTGTCGAGCTTGGTGGAGAGATGAGTGCGAGGCCGAGGCACCGGCATAGCAACTCGGTTGACGCGTCTTTGGACAGCATAGAGGCCAAGAAGGCCATGGCTCCTGATAAGCTCGCCGAGCTCTGGACTGTCGACCCAAAACGAGCTAAGAGGTATTCTTCTATCCGCTTCTATCACATTATGCATCTGTTTGCTTATGCTTGTTCGTTCATTTTGTGTATTGTGACTCAAACTTTTGCATATTGTTCGTTGTGGTTGATTTTTTTAGCTGGATATTATCAGCTTAGAAACTGGTATTAAAAAAGAATATATTTTTTTTGGAGGGATTTGTGTTTGCTTATCATATGTCGAATATGAATGTGTGGGTGCTCTGCTCTCTGCCATAGAAGTAACGCTCCAACCCAAAATTTATTTTATTTTCTTTAGGAAAATTAAATTGTCATTCGAAACTGTAATTATGATGCTGAAGAAGCATTATTATCTTTCTTAAGTGACCCATTTAGTTTTCGATAATTTAGCTTAGGAGGCAACAATTAAATGTGCCGTTGTTCCTAGTGGAAAAACAACTGGTAGAAGAGGCATTTTCCAAATTATGAATTCGCATAAAATAATCTATCAGATAAGGATTGCATCTCAGAATGATACACGCAAGATCTTGCCTAAGGCTCTTAAAGATAACTGCTATTCGTTGTTCCCGAATTTGCCAACAAATGACCAACAGCTTTCTCAAACATTTAAGGATGTTTGGTTGGGACATTATCTGAATAAATTTTTTATACAAAAACGACTTCTAACTATAATATTATTGCTATTAATTATTCGTTCAAAGTCCTGTTGTAAGGTCTTTAGATATGAATGGTTGAGATGCCTCTCACTCGTTATATTTCTCAACCATCCATATACGAAACCTGACTTGAGGACCTTAGTAGAGAACAATTCTAACACTTGACAAGGCTTTAAGCATGAAAGACCTTATTTGTTCTTTGGTTGTAATCCAGCAGCTTAAACTCTGGTGTATGTCGGATTAAAGTTCTTAACTGTTAGATCTTAACTATACGTTTAATTAATGGGGGTGTTTCTAAAGAATGTTTACCAATTGCATATTTTAAAACAGGATTTTGGCAAATCGGCAGTCTGCTGCTCGGTCAAAAGAGAGGAAGGCCCGGTACATCTCAGAACTTGAAAGAAAAGTTCAGACCCTACAAACAGAAGCTACTACCCTATCTGCACAACTCACTCTGTTCCAGGTTCTTACTCAAATACTCATCTTGCTTGCCTCATCTGATTATAGTCATGTAGTTCATGCAATTATAGTTGAATGGTCATCTGGCATAGGAATGCTACATGAGAGAGAGATGATCTAAAGAGATTATTTTGAGCTTTTACAAAACTTGTAATCAGGACTTGTTTGTCCTTCACCCTTGGTCTTGATTTAAGAGATTGTCATTTATTACAACTCATTGCCTGCATATTGCTTATTTCCATAGGCTGCTATCTGAGAGGTTTTGTATTTTTTTGTGTTATTTTTTCAGAGAGATACAACAGGCTTATCTACTGAGAACTCAGAGCTTAAGCTTCGGGTGCAAGCTATGGAACAACAAGCTCAGTTACGTGATGGTACGTGTCATGCACCCACCTTTTGGAATTATTTCCATGGTTTCAGGCACCTTTCATTGAATTTTTCGTGTTTTACTTGTTATACAAGTGACCAATGAATCATCATCTGGGTACTGGTCTTAGCTGGTTCAGTGCTATATTTGTGGTTAATATCAGTTAAGAATGCATTGAGTCCCTTAGGTATTAAATTTTACAAATGCCACCTTTGGGTCTTTGTACACTTAATGATGTGGTCTCTCGCATTAGTCCAACCAATTCATTGGTTTGCTATTATGTTCTTGGTTCTCTCCTTTGGGTTATGTCTGGTAACTGTACTTTGAAGTGGGCAAGGCTACCTTTCCCCAAAGCTCTATTGCAATTGCTAACCACCAATTCTCTTGTGCTACTCTTCCCTTAATACAGCTCTCAATGATGCACTGAAGAAAGAACTTGAGAGGCTCAAGATTGCAACCGGGGAAGTACTAACACACACTGATTCATACAACATGGGAATGCACCAAATTCCATATTCGCAATCCCCCTTCTTTCCCAGTCAGTCACAAGCGGGGCAGCGTGATTCCCAGAACATTCACATGCCACAGTTTCATCCTTTCCAGCCAAATATGTCAGCTCCCCATCAGCCTATGCTTTCTGCAGCCCAGTCACATGCGTGCTCAGATATGTTGCAGCAGGATTCGATTGGCCGATTTCAGGGGCTTGACATCAGTAACAGAGGTTCTCATCTAGTGAGGCCTGAAGGGCCCTCCATATCTGCCGGTGAAAGCAACAGGAGATTTTGAATGCTGATCTACCCCAAGTCCACCTTATTTATTGGATTGTTCATAGACTGACCTCAACCAAAGGTATGGTTTAAACTCGTTTATTGGACTTTGATTCTTTGAATTGATTGCTCCCAAATTTTTTGGTAGCTGCTTTAGGTCTTAAGCTGTTCATGAATGCTTATTCAGTTCCTAATTGATTCCTTGGGGTTGCTCATGTGAGAATAGAGCATTGTAAGAGATGCAACTTTTCATGCCTGGGATCCCCCTATCCCTTCCTTTGTGTTCGGTTCATTTGTAACCCTTGAAAATGTCATACTGTGGAAATCGGTGTTGTTATGTTCATATTGTGGTTTTGACTTTTATGTAGTGGATTGACTCTCTCTCTCTCTCTCTCTCTCTCTCTCTCTCTCAAATTATATTAACTTGCTTTTCATTTACAGAAACATTTCATTGTAAATTGCGATTGATAAGGCCCCCCCCCTAAAAAAGAACAAAAAAACAAGAAACCAAAAAAGGGCGTAGCCCCCAAAGCTCAAATCCCATCGCCACATCATATTATAGATGCCGGCTTTTCATCAATGCTCCTACAAATATGCGACAATTTTTTTTACTTCCTATTTTGTTGGTTGTCTTTGTCGTTGCAAGTAAAATTTGTAATGAGCCGGGCCGGACAACAACATAAATAAGATTGATACTCAGAATCTTGGAGTTGGATGTAAACAACCACCAAGGTTTAGGCTTTGACATTAACTTGATTCGTATTTTTAATGATAATTTTAGGGTTTGTTTTGTTTGACAACCATTTCAATTGAAAACCGAAAACATGTTTAGTAACGAATTTCATTTTATGTTTTTAAGAAAGTGAAATATAGTTTTCAAAATCACCCTTGTTTTTTAGAAGTATTTGAAAGTGTTATTAATTTTTCGCAGTTATTGTTCTCAATCTTTAAAGCCCTGCAATGGTGAGAGTTAAGAGAACGACTCATTTTGGGACAACGGATTTGGCACTCTCAATTTAGCTCATGGCACCCTCGTACACAACATGGAGTGTCAGAAACTAAACTGAGAGTACGAAGCATATGGAGTGTCAGAAACTGAAGTGAGAGTACGAAGCGACATTGTTTTGCTAGTCACATTACATAAAACATAAAAGAAGAGCTTATAATACCAGACATGGCTCACATGTGACCAGGTGTGGGATGGCCTACACTCCAAGTTATCCATTTGAATGCACATGGTTGGAGTATGAATTTGCATTATATTGGAAGTTGGCATACATGTGGGACTAGTTGTGGCTGCTATAGGTGACCATGTTATTAACTACCCTAAGAAAGCGACCACTCAAACACAACGTTCTTGCCAACTGACCCAAAAAATGGGTCATTCCATTCTTTTTAGTTTCATGCAACTGGGACGACACTTTCATGGGTCTAAAGCTAGCAGCAGCAGCAGCAGACAGCCCCAAGTGAAGGCCAATTTCATGGGTCCTCCCCTCACAAACATTTGGATAAAATCCACATGCCTTTTGTGGATCTCAATTCAACCTCCTTCAACCTTGTCCACAAGAGAAGGTTTCAGCAACTTTAGGATCACATATTTTGGTCAGGCAAAGAACACATATTAACAATAATAAAATATACATATGAAATATCAAAATCATGCCCCTTTTCATTATTTATATTGCTCAAGCCTTGTAATGCCATGCCAAAACATGCAATAAATGAAGCAAAAAACATGTTCACATTCACATTTTGCTTCAATATATTCTTCCTTTTTATTATTCTTCTAATTATTGTTACTTTTATGTGCTATTATTATGATTTGTATGCATGCAATCTCCGTCTTGTTTGACCGAGAAAAAAGAGAGAAACTAGATTGCAACAGGAATATCACCATTTTGGTATAAAAGCGTTCTTCAAAGTCTTGGTACACAACCCGAAAGAATTTATATTTATCTTTGTTTTCTCTCAATTCACATTGAAGCCACAAACTTTGACTTCACACCGAATTCGGTGCACCAAAATCACTTTGGACCATTGTCATTTGTTTGCTCATGAATTTAAAAAAACACACACAAACACACAGACATATGTGAAAAGTGTGCGAGTTCAAAAAATAGTAGAGATTTTGATTCCAGAAATCCACCTCCATAATATTCCTTTACACAAGAGACAAATTTGAAGATTTATGTTGAGGTGAAATTCTTATTGAGCATGGGATGGAGGTTATGTCACGTCCCCTTTTCTTATCAACAAGAAAACTTTGAAAACGAGAGCTATCTCTAAAGTTTACAAATTCAGAATTAAATTTATGCATTTGTCTTGTATGTTTTTTTTACAATATTTTTTTTTTATTTTATCATATCTTAGAACTGAAAGCATCAGCAAATTTATCTGAAAATGATGTATGAAATTAATAGACCGCCGAGCCCGGGTCATGCATGTGCTCCTAACATGGTAGGTCCATCATCAAAATAAATCCAATTTTTCAATGACATAGATATATAAAATTATAATTAATTTAAATCTTGATTAGAAAAAGGACAACATAGTATAATTTTTTATAAGAGAATTGTCTTATTATATACAATTTGCTAAAGTAAATTCTGAATATGCGCGATTATCTTATTTTAAAGGACAATTTTCGTATTAACTGAACTGCTTCAAAGCTTCAATAAAAATAACAAATTAAGACGTATTCAGTCTTAACATCGAAGAGGTAAGCACTCTATAAATCTTGATGATACGATTACATTGTCAACAAGTAACATGCTAATCTTTTTGGTTTATTTTAAATTTGTTAAAATCGTCGTATTGGAGACAACAAGTGCATGGGTGATACTTATATATATACAAACGCTAGTTGGTGTACTGTTTGGGTTGACAATTACTCTAATCATTTTTTTATATAATTTACACTTTTCTTCACAATTTTTATTATTATTTATTTTTTACTTTGCTTTGTTTTTATTTTGTTTTTTTTAATTAATATTTTTCAACCGACAAATTATTCTAGAAATCTATCTACTCTTTGGCATTTACCTACCATTCGATGACTCATCTCTAAATGATTTATTTGTCGAAAGAAATTAGATTTAGTTGTTTAATTAAACTTGACTAATGTCTTGCAAATCAAGCATATTAGCAGATTCTCAATCTCTTTAAATCATCAAACACACGTGGAACTGATAGTTCGAGCTTCTCATAAAGATGCTAATGATTTTCATGTCGGATTCTCTAGTTGATCCTCTGCACAACAATCTTCTGCTCATTCATTGCATTCTTCAAATGATTCTTTCTTCTGTTTTTTTCCTTTGGATTTTCAGAAAAAATATTAAGCAAAAGGGTAATGAGATTAATGAATCGTAGTGTGCAAACAGTTTGCTAAAATGGGGTGTTGATAATTTTACAAATTATGCTCATTTTGATCCACTCTACAAGGCCACCAGATTGGACTTTTTTGAACCTAAACACACCCCCGTTTGAAGGGCTAAATTCCGCAATCTCAGGCAAATGAACTGAGATGAAAAAAATGCCAGATTGTAACACGTAATGTTTAGATAGACAAGGCATTTGATTTGAGTAAAATAAGATTAATTTAGAGAAGTATAAAGTATTTGCAAGATGGAAGAAAACGGTTTGAGAAACGCATGTGCAGGTGGGGTCGTTGGGTTCAGCAGTTGGTAAGTCTAACTGGAACATTTGCATGTGCACATTGATTCTTGTAATATGACCTGAAAGTATGAATCTGTGTTATGTGGCTTTGGCTCTCTCTCTCTCTCTCCCCCACCCTCTAAAAAGTGAACAATGCTAAACTTGTCTCTTTCTTTCTGGGTATACAGCCCCCACCAAACGCCCCCAACCAATGCCTTCAACTGCCTATATAAGAAAACCCCAATTCCCTAAAGCAAAGCACTCACCACTTTGCAGTCAATAGTCAAGCAAGTCTTTCTCTCCCCTATCTCCCATTCTTTCTCACAACACAAAAAATATACACAACAATGGCTTTTACCTCACACTTAGCCATTGCTCTTCTGTTCTCTGTTCTCAATCTATGTCTTCAAGGCACTTATGGTGACTATGGAGGAGGATGGGAAGGTGGTCATGCCACATTTTATGGTGGCGGTGATGCCTCTGGCACAATGGGTAAGTTACCAAGTTCCAAGTCTCTTTTTTTCTTCTCTCTTTCTGTTTTTCTTCACTTTGGGGCAATTTTTGTGTTAAAGTTAAAAGCTTTAGTGTAATTTGAGATTTTGGGTAAAAACCCAAAATGCACACAAGGGCAGATAGTAGTAGTTCAAGCTGTAAATTTCATTCCAAGTCACTTTCTTTCTTGTCTCTTTCTGGTTTTCTTCACTTTTGGGGTAATTTTTGTGTTAAAAGTTAGAAACTTTAGTGTCATTTGAGCTTTTGGGTAAAACCGAAAATGTACAAAAGGGCAGATAGTAGCTCAAACTGTAAATCTCTACCATGAATTGATGGGATCGTATATGTTGGTGTTGCAGGAGGTGCTTGTGGATATGGAAATTTGTATAGCCAAGGGTATGGAACCAACACTGCAGCTCTCAGCACAGCTCTGTTCAACGATGGCTTGAGCTGTGGGTCTTGTTATGAGATGAGATGTGACAGTGACCCCAAATGGTGCCTCCCCGGCAGCATCATCGTCACTGCCACAAACTTCTGCCCTCCTAACTTAGCTCAGTCTAATGACAATGGTGGCTGGTGCAACCCTCCTCTCCAGCACTTTGATTTGGCTGAGCCTGCCTTCTTACAAATTGCTCAATACCGAGCTGGAATTGTCCCCATCTCCTTCAGAAGGTAAAAAAAAGTAATTTTCGATGTGACGGTCACATATAATAGTTTTATTTGTGTTGTGAGTTAGTCACATCAACATGGTTGTGTTCATGTAGACACTCACGAATAATGTTTCAGAGTGACGGTTGCATACAATAATTTTATTTGTGAGCTAGTGACATTTTTAACATGGTTGTGTTGGTATGTGCAGGGTTTCTTGTGTGAAAAAGGGAGGGATAAGATTCACCATCAACGGTCACTCTTACTTCAACTTGGTTTTGATCACAAACGTTGGAGGTGCAGGGGATGTGCACTCTGTTTCAATCAAGGGGTCCAAAACAGGGTGGCAAGCCATGTCAAGGAACTGGGGCCAGAACTGGCAGAGTAACTCTTACCTCAATGGCCAGGCTCTATCTTTCCAAGTCACCACCAGTGACGGTAGAACTGTGACCAGCAATGCTGTGCCAGCTGACTGGCAGTTTGGTCAAACATTTTCGGGCGGTCAATTCTAGACTCTTTTTATAAACAGTAAAAGGTCTGGAAGAAATGGCGCGGGGTGATTTGTATATGTAATATTTGATTGCTTGGGAAAGGTGAGAGAGGAGAAGGAGACAGACAGGGTAGATTAGGAGAGAGGCAAATGTTATTGCTGAGGTGGCTAATTTGGCACCCGCAAGGCCTGCTATATATATATATATTATTTATAGTAACGGTGGAGATTGTGAGTTATATAGTTCGCAGAAATCGTCCATTTTGAAGATGCATTTTGTTTGTTTTGAAGCAAAATGCACATTAATATCTTTGAAGGTGGTAGGTAGGTATGCAGATTTATTACTCATACCATACCTAACTAGGTACTGAGCCCAGCTGGGGCAACTTTGTACTGGGCATCTTAATTATATACTTTGTGAATTTCTATGGAAACTCCTTTTAAGTTCTCAGCAATTTTTTTTATTTTATTTTTCAACTACTACAATATTAGATCAATGAGTGCATTAATAGGAGCCTTTCTTTAGAAAAGATGCAACTAACGACCATTATTATCTGAGATTCTGAGCATATCAATCCACACTACCTTTAGCCAATAAGTTAAAGAGTTCGGGAGATGAAGATTTGAACACAAGACTGCGATATACGAGTAACTCTTCTTAATTACCTGAGCTACAAGCTATTTGGGGTTGATTTGGTAAAGGGTTAACTTGAGAAATCGGAAACCTGGCTACCGAACGTAAAGACTAGAGAGAATCTAAAGAGGTAGTCAGTAACCAAACCCGAAGGGCCCACCGTTTTGAACAATCTGATATTTGATGTGAATTTGGCAACAACAAAATGTGAAATGGCAGCACACTATTATTAAATGACACTATTTTCTTACAAAAAGTTCCGGACCTGGGGCCTGCAAGAGCCATAGGCTATAATTTACACTAGTTAATAATTCGAACAATTCCCAGTACTAATTTTTCACTTTCACTTGAGCCTCTCTTTTCGTAACCTCTCCAGTTCCTTAACCATCTGCCAATGTTCTAATGATAGGCTGGTTTCACCAAAACTCATAGACATCAGACGGCCCATTGTCAGCAATCTGCAAGCAAAGGAAAATTTCAGATGAGATGATAAACAAAACTTGAAGATACAATAACATTTGGAAAATCTTCCAGTCTCTAACCTGCTAAAATCTTGGGTGCCAAGTTTCCTATCTTCTTGCCTTGCTGCAACCAAGTCATTTTCTATCACCTGTAAGGTATCAACCCATGAGAATTATGCTCGGGTTTAGAGGTTAATTGTTGATGTCAAGCTAACTCTTACCTTCTGCATTTCTGGCTCAATAGAATGTGGCAATGATCTAAGAGTAGCCAAGTACCATCTCCAAGCCTCTAGTGCTTCTGCAGCAACTTCAGCGGAACCAACTGAAGAAGGGTGGAAAGGTAACACTATATCAGCAGGCAAAATGTTTGATTTGCCTTCAGATAAAATAAGCATTTTGACGTCAGCTGCCATGTCCAGTTTATAGAACTTAAAATCATATTCCACCTGAAACAGACAAATTAAATGTATCACGTGTTTAGCACAATACTGTGCTATGAACGACATAATAATCTCATGATGCACAAATTCTACTAAAATTCTCAGGAATGCATTGTTTACTACTAAGGATCAATCCATGCAGAGTTTTCCAATCTTAGTGCACTAAGCAGTAATACATAAATATACACGTACATGCATATGCATAATAAAACAGAAAATCACCTTTTGCAACTCCATTAAAGTTTTAAGCACTCTTGCATTTTCAACCCCAACAGAGTTGAGAGTTCCAGCTTCCAAATGGGTCTCATCAAAGATCAAGTGTGAACCCTCAGCCAGCTGTAGAGCTCCAGTTATCAGCCTGGAGCAATGTGAAGAGTTAAAACTATAACAAAATTGATACTTAGAAATTAAAAAATTACTACTGAAAGGAAAGTTATACTTGGTTAAGGAATTAGAAATCTGATTACCTGTTTGTCTCATAATCCTTTCTTGGTGCGAGAGAAGCAGTGTTGAGATAATCAACTGTTAGGGATATACATTGTGTGAATGGTAAAAGATTCTTCATAGCAAGGCGAAGCGGAGTGCCAAACACTGGTACACTTTCTTTGCTAAAACAAGTGAGATTCAGTGAAAGCTTCCCGACAGCAACAGTTTCAACTCTAGAATATACCTGTCAAAACCATAATAAATCATATACCTCATAAGTACAGGAGATGAAGAGAGGGAAGGGACAGAGGTAATTTGAGAGATTGAGATAAGAAATGGACTCAGAAGGGATGTAGATGAACAAAAATAATGTAGAAGTTCCATCATGTGGATCCAACACTAAAAAGTTTGATATGAGAAGGCACCATTTACCGTGGACAAGAGATGTAACAGCATGAAATGAGCAGCTACACCATCATTACCAAGAATAGCTGTAAGATGTCTCAAGAGAGCTTCCCTGATCTCTTTAACCAAGTGGGGCTTTGGCTATAAGATCAGATAATAATTGCATTGTCAACACAACCACGTTAGCATAAATAGTAAATACACACAGGTAGGTATATAAGCACTTCGTTTGAAGAAACATGACTATAATGACCACAAAATCACCTCCACTGTAGGGGAATGAGGTAGGAAGTCATGAACTGCAAGTTTCCTGTGAATAAAACAGTGGAGACGTGGTACCTGCACCAAAGGAAAACGTATTTAAGTGAGCTACGTACTTATAGTCCAACACAAGATACTAACAAACAAGCTGTACAGCAAGAAAAAAAAATGCAAGATTTAGTCTTTTGTTCATATATATGGAGACCAACAGTTGCATAGATGCAAGACACAGCCAATACCTTATTAGGGGGAAAATGAACTAACACATCTTCACTGAAACCATTTGTGAAATCATCACATTCATCCTTGTCCACTTTGAACTCTGGATCGAAAGTGAAGACTCCAACAAACTCAAAAACCTCATTTAGCTTTAAGTCAGACTCTGGACAATCATATATCTGATAACCAAAAGAGTTTCATCAGCTTTCACAAAAAGAGAGAACAAATCTCAGTTCATCATTTTTCTATTGGTACAACTAATTGACCAGTGTACCTTAATAAGACAAGGAAGCGAATCCCTGTTGACATCAGGCCTCATAATCATACTAGAGCTGGTGCCCTCAGTAATTGACTCCTGAGACTGAAGATGTCCATCCTCTTTCTGAAAAAGGAGAAGAAATTTAGTAAAGACAAATTTATATTCCATCAGAATGATAAAATAATGCATTTTAATAAAATAAAAGAGCAAAATAAACTGAAATTTGTTCTACTTACCAGCTTTTTGGCAGGAGAGCATTCAACTCCTTCATCTGAGACCTGTCATTGAATGCAGTATGTCAGATAGACAAACAAGAAGACATTTTTACAAAGCTAAAGGTTCAGAGAATCAGATGTGCAGGCCCCAAAAAAACATCAAGTCATCGAGGCCCAAAATAATGATGAATGCACCTAGTCTATCAAGTAAATTATAACAATCCAATTAACAGGAAACCCCTTCAGAAAGCTTCCTACTTATTTTGCTAAGAAAAAACTTCCTAAATCCATATAACATACTGTTTTAAGCTGCTTCGGAGCTCAGAACAAAGATGACCATAAGGAAAATTACCATTGTAATGCAGTTTGCCCTTTCTACTTAAATATGATTATCCTTTTACTGCAAATCGAGTTAAAATGAACAGTTAATACGCAGATTATGAGGATGGAATTACATTGCAATCCATGTTATCAGTAGCTTCAACATCCAATCTCTGGCGCTTCTCTCTTTGTTGGGTTGCCGAATTCATACTTCTATACATCACTGCTTCAGAAGGAGATTCAGTCCATGAATTCTGTCCTGGCACCTAAAGACGTAAACAAGATAACAACCCAAGAAGAATCAGATCACGGAACAATCCACAATTTTAATTCCACACATCTAAACTGAATATGGTGGTACGCACTCTGAAATTCAAGGAGTGTCATTTACCCTAACAAAAAGAAAACTTAAGTACAACAAACAACCAATAACCAATACTAAGCATATGGTTATGTGCTAAGAACAGAAGCTGATGCCATATACTACAAAGAAGGAAGAGTTTGAGTATAGAGAACTCACCGGGATGCAGTAGAGCATACGGCGCTCCCATAATCGCATGTCCGGTGAAGTATCCATAGGGAATTGAGGAACATCCGTAAACTTGTTGGTTCTCCAAACCGAGCCATCCTTCAAAAGAGCCACAACACATTGTTTTAGTGGCACAGAAATTAGCCCATTTTGGGTCACCGGAAAATGATCAGAGGGCATAAGATACCTTATAAGCACCAACATAGAACTCATTTCCCAACATGTCCTGTATCATTCCCCGAAACCGAACCAGAGTGTTGGGCTGAACCCATCTTATAGTTGCAGAATTCAGAATTGGCACCTAAATTTTCCCAAACAGTGATGAAACAAGAACACATATCACACAAAAAACAATTTGAAGGGAAAGACTTTCTAACAACAGATGTGATAATATCTAGGTCGAGATAAACACAAGAGATTAATGGGAAAAATACACAATTAGGGTTTTCAAGGACAACAAATGAGCCCAAATCAAAGGGAATGACAATTGAAAGTAGGCTTAGGGTCTGGACCTGAGTAAGACCATCGTCCTCGAAGAGAAAGTGACGGAAGAGATCAACGGCGCCCCAGTCCCGGCCGTCGAAGGAGGCGGGGTCCGATCCCGACGCGATGGCCTTCTCGAACGTCGATCGAACGGCTCCGAGAGGGTTCGCCAAGCAGTCGTACGCTAATCCCACCATATCTGATTGCAAATGATCCTCTATCTCTCTCCCTCTTCCACTCTCAGTCTCTCTTTCTCAGCTATGTGCCGTTTGAGAGCGGCTTCCCGCGCTTTTAAGTAAGGTAATTGGATTTTCCCGCTAAGCACTGTTTGTTCCCGCCATTTAGGTTACTGCCTACATCTTATTACAGCTTACAAAGAGAAGACTGTAATGACTTCTGCATCGTTAGATGTGGCAGATGACTTTTGGACCGTTGGATGTGGGAAACTAAACAGTACAAATGAAATTCGAAAAGTCAAAAATGCCTTTACAACGTTTGAGGACATGTTTCGATTAATCAAAGGGTTAACCGATGAAATAGCCTCTAAACTTTTTCTTAGGTTTCAATTAGTCTCCTATTCTGTTTTTTCAAAATAGAAAATTAAGGATATAAACTTTTTTTTTTTTCTGCTAATTTCTCCCTTGCCTTCTAAATAATCAACATTTCATCTAATTTTTTGTTAAATCATTAAAAATAAATTTTCCAAGTGAATTTCATGGCGTTCGTCAAAGCACGAGACTTTCCAGATGCTTCTCTGGGCCCACCGTTCCAGTATCGATTTCGAGGTTGCAAGAGTTGAATAACTCGGATTCACAGATTATAGTGATGGCCACCTTCTACAAGTTGGCCGATTTTCGGCGATCATGGTCTTTTGCAACAAAACCCTCTAGTACCCGTTTTTCTTCTGCATTTGCTTATCTCTTTACTTTTAGTTTGTTAATGGTTGAATTCTACGGACTTTAATTTGAGTGTGGTTAATTAAGCATATTGTAAACCATGTATCCTTCTCGTATAGGGGCTTGAGTCATGGGCATGAACCTAAGCTCATGTTTACCCACGTAGATGAATAACCGACTAAGGGGGATCTGCACACTTAATGCGATATCAAAATAAGGGTGGACTGGGATTGATCTTAGTTTAGACCCCTCCGATGGTTAAGTCAGAAACTAACTTGAGTTGGAGAGAAAATGGATATAGGGTTTCCACTGTGAGAATATTTATTATATGAAGAGTTATTACCTTTGTCCAGAGATAGGTGATGGGTATTTATATGGGGGAGAATGAGAGACCCATATATTTTTATGGGATAGATCTTTTCTCTATTCCCCCAAGTTTGAATCATAATTAATGCTTTGTTTCTGACCACCCTGCTTTGTGACAGGGGTCAGGTGGCGAGGTGACAGGTGGATTAGGATGAGAGGTAGATTAAATGATCCCTTCCCATCGCCAGCCTGTTTATTTGGAGATCAAAGTGTAAGGCGACACCTGTTTTAATGATGGGATGTTTGTCAGAACCGACCTTTAAATGCCTACCTGACCAAAGGTTTTAACTTCTGAGTAACCATGCTTCTCCCACGAAGCTTTACTTTTTGAGACGGGGTATTCTGTATATGCTCGGCTCAGTACTTGTATGAAGGTGTCAGCATCTCGCGTCGTATGGTTCTTTCTGAGGGGCTCGGCTCATAATGATGGTATGAGCCATCAACACATATAATAGTAAAAGTCTGGTTCCTGTTGTCAATGTATTGTTGAAGTTCGCCGATTTTCGGCGATCATGGTCGTTTGCTACAAAACCCTCTGGTACCCATTTTTCATCTGCATCTGCTTATCTGTTTACTTTTAGTTTGTTAATGGTTGAATTCTATGGACTTTAATTTGAGTGTGGTTAATTAAGCATATAATAGTAGAAGTCTGGTTCCTGTTGTCAATGTATTGTTGAAGTTGTTCATTTGGTGCTTAGCTGAATCAATTGCATCATCGATTCTCAAGTCAAACGTAGGAGATAAAAACAGACCAAAAAACAAAGTAGGAGAAAATCAAAATTGGATAATGCTTAAATAAACTCGAACTTTAGAGACAAATTACATCCTAATTATGAAAATAAAAAAGCAAATCCTAACTGTATAACCACATAAATTACTGAAACCATGCTTTGTTCTTTAATTTTTGTTCACAGGAAACTGATTGGATAAACCGGCCACTTGTTGGGATGAAAGAGACCCCAGTGTTGCTCCACTGCTGCACCAGGCTTCATGTTCTCATTAAACATGGAAAACAAGTAAGTCTCAGTGGAGTTCCCCGGCCGCCTTGGTGTTCCACGGGACGATAAGACGTGGCTTATTAGGTTCGAATTGTATATTTGTGCATTGGCTGGTGTTGTCACGTTCCCATTCCCATGGGAGGGCCAGCCTGTCTCGGACACCACCACTTGGACTTGGGGCGCCCCTGCTTTCTCCAATGCTGCATGTAATGCATCCACCATGGAGTCAAACAGGTTATCATAACTTAGACGACCGTCTGTCACGACCTTCCCAGAAACGAACAATGCATAAGGCAGTGAAATGTCAATTGTGTCTCCAATGTAGGCAAAATAAGGGTACACATTGGCTAATAAGGGTGCATCAATGCTATTGAGGTATCGAGCAATAGGTGCCATGTACTCCATGGTGTCTTGAGAAAAGGCTCCAGCTGAGGGAGGGTAAGATACACCCAAGACTGATGTTGCAATTGAAGTGCTGACCTTGATGCCTCTATTGCCCAATGCATTTTGCAAGTTTTCCATTGCTGGGAGGACATATTGGGCAGAGTCTCCTGGGATGACCTCATTGCCAACGGCTATGTATCGAAATTGGATTTGGTGCGAATAAGGTGTAATGTATGTTGCTACCCAGTTCTGAGCAGCAGAGTAGGAGTTTGCAAGTTGTTGAAGATCCTCATTCCTAACTCCAACTAGGACTTCGATGCCAGTATTGCGAAGGGCTTCGAATGCTTCTAGGTTTGGATCGTAGAGTCTCATTCGTCCGATTTGATTCGATGTGTACATGTCAATTACTTCTCTTGGTGGTGGCAAGTTGTTGGCCACCATTCCATAGCATACTCCAATTGAAGAAGCGCCTGTTAATTAGGGAAATACAAGCATGTTAGCACATTTACAATTTCTGTCTAACTAGTACTTCGTTAAATTTTAAAGAAATAATGGCCAGTGTTCATCAAAACAATAAGAAACAATCAGTTTTATGACCCGAAAAATAAATAAAATTTTTTTTTACAGGAAGTGTACTTTGGTTAGTAGAACAACTTTCAAAATCGAAGTTTCAACAGAGTCTGGAGATGAAATTTAAGGTATTTTCTCCAACTTTAAATATAATCTATATGATTTTCATTCTCAAAAAATAATAAAACAGTCTAGATGATTTACTAGTTTCAGAATCTCACAATATCTTAATCATATTGACAACGAATACCAAAAAATTAAGTTAACATGTTTGATAAAACTTGTAACACACAAGCAAAACGAGGCTAATTATAAGAGAAAACAATTATAAACATTACAAGAGTTTGTAACAATAAACTCACCTGCAAAGTTTGGTCCAAGTAGCACCGAAAGCGTGATGGAGAAGATGAGACAGAGCGATTGAAAGTTGCAGGCCATTGCAAAGATTGTTATAAAGCTTAGATGTCGTCTGCAACTCGAAGCTTGATTTGATTGATGGTATGAATAATTTGCAAAATACAATTCTAAACTAGGCTCTTTTATAGGTTAAACCAAACCCCATTTCTACCAGGAAAATAGACATGACTCCTAATTAACAGAGGAAAATCAAACCCAGGATTGTTGGGAAAAGGGAAACTTAAACAAACAAAAACGGGAAGGTTTCCTACGATCTTTAAACATAGTTTTGAGGCCTGGGTTTGCTTGCAAATTGCTTTAAATCACACGTTACCAAGTTAACATTATATGCATGGCCTAAGATGACATTAAATCCAAGAGTGGATGCATAAATATACTTCGTGCTATTCGTATCGTATCATATCGTATCATATTGTAGCTCCATCTGTTTTTGTTTTTACTTGAATGCTTGGTCAAACGAAATTTGAATGGATTTGCCCTGCCGCATATTTTAGTTCATACTATGATCACTTCATTGCTCAATGCTCATCAATTACAGTTAAAAGAAAAAGAGAGAAAAACAAGCTAAGTTCTCAAATCTTCTACCCAACATTGAATTATATATTTTTGTATCTAAAATTGGCATCACATCGCATCACCAGTTAGGCTCTGGGATATATGATATACAATACAAGCACCATGTTCTCTGTCTTCATCCTGAGAAAAGTCTGGTAAAAAAGTTGCCAGATTTTGATTTCTCCATACACGCCACATGAACGTATCTTCCAAGTTTGTCCACTTGCCTTGGCTCACCCCCTGTATCTTTCTTGCAAACCTTGCACGTTTTGTCCACCCAGCCCTCTTCCACATATTGCCCATCCACTGATTTCCAAATGAAAAACAATTACCAAAGTTAGGAAAATCACTACAACATTGAGCCAAAATACTGAGAAAAGAGTGCTACTGTTTGGATTGAAGTTTGAACCACACTATAATTTCAAAGTTGCTACATACCATCAACATAAGATTTGAAGAAATCCTTGTATGTTCCTCCAATTTTCCTTCTCAGAGCCCCATACTGCATGAAAATAAGAAAACCCAATTAGCAAATGTTTTAAAAAATGTACACAAAAACAATGAGCTAGTTTGAAACCATTTTAATTTTCAAAATACCTGTTCCCTGGACATTTTCTCTCCGGACTTGGTGGCCTCTCTAGCATCTTCAATAAGCAGAGCGTCCTCTGCAGACCTGGTTTGAGAAAAATCAAGTGCTTCTGTCACACTGCTAAACAATGACTGCTTGGTTTTCTTGGGTTCTTCCTTGTCACCTTTCTCACCCTTCTCTGTTTTGGCTAAGACCCTAAACTGAGAGCTCTTGCTGATGAACCCGCCACGGTTTGATAAGCTCTCTGCAACTCCAAAATTTGAAGGGAACTTGCCGTGTGGAGGGGTCAAAGGAAGTGTTCTTAGAACTCCCATGTCTGCTTTACTTTGCAAAAATTAATGAAGTTAATTTTGCTCCTTGTATGTTGTTGGTGTTTAGGGTATTTGTATCTGAATCTTTTGCCTATTTAGACGACTAAATAGTAGCCACGCGTAGAGAAAGATAGCATGCCTGCCACTCACTAGGCTTGGTGGTCAGCATAATACTACGTGGCCCTTTATCAAAGCAGTCATTTGGTTTTTTCCAAAGTCATTCATCCAGAACTCAAGTATCTTATAGAATCTGAGAAATTTGGATCCAGGTCCTCAGATCCAAATCATTTAGGATGCAAGCGCACATGCCATGTTGAACAGAGTTGGTGTTTTATTTTTCCCTTGTACAATTGGTAGTCTAAAACTATTCTAATCCACGGGGTGGAATCCGAACTTCAGTATAAGGAGGCAAGATTCGTGTTTGCAAATAGAGTTAGGTTATACATACATTATTGATCATATTGTTTACGAGTGTAGAACAGGTTGATTGTTCTAAATAATTAGGTTTCCCAGACTACAGTAAAATCTGAAGATGGCATGAGATCATGACAAGTCAGGTCTGACATCGACCCAAGAAAAAGTTGTAATTTTCAGAGTTTTCTGGTAGTAATCTAGCCAAATGCATCATCTGTGAGACATATGGCGTGGTAGAGTAACATTTTTCTACAGACCTCTTTGAACTACACAATCATCTTCCTAGCACATCCCTTTCCACTCTCTGCTGCAGGAGTGAGCAAACAAAGACAAAACTATTTGGTAATTACATGTCTGTCTGGTCTAGACAACATAAACCATGCCAACCTCAAGAAGGGACACTGGTGGCACTTTAAGCGCCACATCTGCCCCCCTGCAATTCTTCCTCAGGAAATTATACCCAAAGTTAATGGCCAATCTCTTCATGATAGATGAACCTTGCTTTGCTTTAACGTGTGAGTGCCCAAGTATAAACGCTGTCCCAGCTTGTTGAGCTGCGTACAGATCCTCAAGCTCTTCACGTATCTGCATGGCATTCTCAGTCCGGCTATCAGCCTGAGAGTCATCATCAATGGCAAACCTCACTCTTCTTTCAACTGGTTCCATCTCAATAACATCTCTTATACTTTCTACAGTTGGAAAACCAACAGATACACTTGCCGGTTGAGTCTCCTCTATCTCATAAGCTGGTGCACCAGAAAATGCCACTGTTCCAATGACAGCCAGTCTACAGTCACTCATATCAGTAGACCTTGATGCATCATCCTCAGTGCATGAGCTAGTTCTCTGTGTTCGACACCAATCATATCGGATGAAATCAGCCAGCCTATCAACTAGTTCTGATTCGAAGGAGTCAACATCCTGATGAACATCACGGTATCCATACCGAACAATGCACCTATAGGACCGATGAGCTGCAGGGCCAACACGACCCACCAGGTAGCGCTCAGCAGGCGGAACATAAGGGACAGGAACTGACTTTACACACACAAAAACTAGAACGCGGTGAAAAGCAGGGAGGTTGGTTACAAAGCGGGAGAAGTTAGCAGGAATGCCAGAGGTGAGATCTGTGAACACTAGGCCAATGCCAGGGACTCGAGCAATTCCCAAGCTTGGACCCAACGCTAGAAGCCAGTCCAAGGAAACCTTGTTGTGGAGGTCAAATTCGTACTTCTTGATGGTTGCATAGTGCCAAACAAACATGATAGTCATGAGGAACAGAGCAAGAAGGATGGGGAGCCAGGCACCCTCCCGGAACTTTGTGAGTGAAGCTGAGAAGTAGAGCAATTCAATAGAGCCAAAGAAGATTAGGAAGCAAAGGGCTAGAATAGGTGGCTTGCGCCAACAAAGGATGATCACCAAGGAAGTGAGGCATGTTGTCACTAGCATAACCGCCATCACTGCTAACCCTGAAATAAATAAATAAAAACTGCTGCTTAGTACTTCAAGAAACATTAGTGATTTTAAATTTTAAATTAGCTGCCTTTGGATGCATTCATGATAAGAAATTTAGGAAGACTCTATGAATAAGAGATGAATTTTATAATATGAATCTGGAAAAATATATAAAGACCAACTTACCTGATGCATTCCCCAGGTGTTTTGTGTCTCTAAATCCAATGGTCACTGCAATGCAGAGGATCATGAGCATCCAATTGATCTCAGGGATATATATCTGGCCATGTACCTTGTCAGAAGTGTGAACAACCTTGACTCTTGGGAAACAACCTAGTGACTGGCTCTGGTTTATGATAGAAAATGTTCCACTGATGATCGCTTGGCTTCCCACAACAGAAGCAAGAATGGCCAGTACAAGCACTGGCCATCTCACACTTTCTGTAACCAAAAACGTAAAGTCGTCACATTTTCTAATGAAATCTTGTTGAATAATATTCCTGTCTATAAAACAAGAATGACAAACACATACCTGGAACTGAGACATAAAAACTAATCCGGTGACTGGTGTGGTGATGTTGTGATAAGTAAGCAGCTTGACCCATATATGCCAATATAAGTGCTGGATAAACCAAAAAGGTAAAAGCAACCTGCACTAGGACAGTGGGGGTTGCAACTCCCTTATTAGTATCCAAATCAGTATTCACAATGCATAGAGAGGACACTACGAGGAATGTAAGACTTACCTGAATAGCAGAATATGAGAAGTGGCCAAGATCAGCAAACATGGCCTCTGAGCCTGCATGCATAGCCACACATTATTCATCAATACGCAGGACAACAACAAAATATATACAGGAATATAATATATGCAAATATTTTCCAATAGTACCTGTTATGCACAGCAATATTCCACCTAAAGACATCCATCCGCTTATCCTTGTCTTCCTCAAGAACTTGAACATGTAATATGGAGACAGAGCTTGATAGATATACCGATTCCACTGGAATATGTTATATAAGCCAAGTGCACTGATGCATAGAAGCCACGCCAACACCACTGGTGCAAAAAAGAATCCAACTCGATGGGTGCCATAGTGTTGAAGTGCAAAAAGACACAACAATATGAAACAAGTAATTGGAACCACTGCATCTGCAAATTGGGACAGAATATAGATGTAAATAGACACAATGGGCAAATCATTACTGCAAGTCTACAATTAACTGATTGTTGGTACTTTATATCTTTCCAATTTACTTCTGAGGCAATAAACAGACATACTTGAAAAAATATTAATTTCATCCCAACCTCATCAATATAATCAAAATCAAGTCTATAGTTCATCAAACATAATGTTCAGAAAACAGAAACTTTATTAGTCCTCTACTACTATTGATTGGAAATGAAAAATCTGATACGAAATAAAATAGGAGATGAGAAGCTTACACTGGTGATGCTCCTTGGACATGGATAATTCCAGGCCAGACACCGCAGAAAATACTAAAATAGCATAGACATTTAGTCAAACCAGAAAGAATTGCAACATTTTTTTATGTTGTTTAAACTGGAAAGACGTCTACCTGAAATAGCTGGAGTGAGCACTCCATCACCTATTACCATACAAGTGCCAAGAAGAACAAGAATTAGCAAAGCAGTGTGTAAGGCCTTGCACTTCTCAAGTACAACTTTCAACCTTGAACTTTTTTCCTTCTCTGGTGGGTGCTCCAATTTATAAGTAGAGAGTGCTTCATCAGCAAGCTGCCGGTTGGGTAGAAGGCTCACTTTTGCATGCCTACATATCAAAGAATACAGTGCAAAAGTACCACCTGCAGAAAAACATGCAAGAAAGGTTACAACCTAAAGACAGGATAACAAAAGCATTGTTCAGTTGTTCAGTGCTTACCCTCTCCGTTATCATCAGCTCGAAGGACAATAAAGACATACTTGAACAGAGGGACTAAAGTAAGAGTCCAGAAGACAAAAGAAAGTACACCATAAATCTCTTCATTGGTCTCTGAATGTTGAATGTCTTCTGCAAATGCGCTCTTGTAGACATATAAAGGAGAAATGCTAAGGTCCCCATATACTACTCCAAGACTCTGGTAGGCTAAGAGCAGAATATTCTTCCAAGAGTCCTTCTGAAATGCAGTTCAACATATAACTTTCTGAGAATTCAGTTAATTTCTAGAACTAAATGAACTGCTAAAGTTATAATCATTTACCAAGTTTTTCAAACATAATTTGCTTATAAAACCATACCCGGCAGAAACTACAAATGGGTTATATTGCCCATAAGCAAAGAAACACTTAAATTGAACTTATGAAGATAAAGCACTAACCTTTGAAGTGTCCCAACACTTCACTCTCTCGAGATCCATGGCGCTCAACTTTCAACTCTGAGACTAGATTTCATCAGTTGGACGCAGATACCTGCAGATCTGCATTGAGACAGTACAAGTTTTATTGGTTAACTCGAACAGAATCTAAATAATAAAAAATCCAGCTAAAGAGATTTCATGGGATAATCACACTTCAAAGAACTCCCACCCAGCTCCCTCTACTTTCCCGGAAATAGAGGAGATAAAAGGGCATATTCACCCACTTTCCAATAAGCCCACATGACATCCATACCTGTATCACATTTCCACCAAATTTTTGAAAGCTGAGAACTTTTTTTTGTTGCAAATTTCCAGGATAAGAAGGAAAACTCAAAGAGATGAAACCCAAAAGCCCACAACCTTTGGCAAAGAGGCAAATACCAAAAATAAAAAGAAGTTGTGGTCACCTGCACTAGAATTACTCAGATAAAGACTCATAAATGGAGAAGGGGCCCTCATTCATTCTCTATGCAGCAGTTTCCAGTCACTATTGTCTTACCCTCCCCAACCTATAATGGTTGGTAGGGTAGGCAAAATAAAACTGACAGGTCGCTGTCAACCTTCTATATATAGGACAAAGATGAAGGAACTTCAATTTTACTGTGTATTCAGTAATGCATGTGGACCTAAACTTTACATTTTTCACATGAAAAACATAACGAAATAGGAGAAAATTAGTAGATGGCCAAAGAAAAAAAACAAAGTAATGGCAACGAAAAGGCAAAACCACGTGAATCGTTAACAGTTGCATACACCCAAAAGAAAAATAAAAATCAGCCAACTAGTGCCCACGCAAACAAAGCTGATTTCAAGGACCATTTCTTACGTTCTGATCTTATCCCCACCTTTTTTCTCTCTCACACCCACAGCCTTTGAATAGTTAATAATTTCATTTATGAGTTTCTGGTCTTTCCAACTTCTCACTTAATTGTTACACCCCTTCAGTCTCTTTTGCTTTCTAAACCATGAAAACTTGTTCTGTATATAGAAAATTTTCACCAAAAAAAGAAAAAGAAAAAGAAGAAATAAACAGAAAGGGTAAACTATCCCTGTCACTAAACAAATGTTAAATGGGTTTGCAGCTAACTCAAGAAATCAACAAACAAAATTAAGAGCACACCAAACCTGAATTTCCAGAAACTTATGTATAGTATTAGTGACGAATGCATGAGCAACCAAAGGCCAAAGAAAAAAGAGATTTTGCAAATAAGGATGTTATAAAGGGCAAACCCATGTGAAGCCAAGTGCTGCTGAACATGCTAATGCTAGCTCAAATGTATTAAAGGAGCTAACTTTTTCCCAACCCTTCATGACAAAAAACATGGAGGCTGAAAGGCTCAGTCTCTATCACCCAGTGGCCAGTGTGGGCGTCCCCTTTCTGACCCACTTTGTCCTTTTTTCCATTTTAGCTAAACTACTTTTTGATTGCATCAGCTATCTTCATTCTTTACTGGGTTTAGGATTGAGATCTCCATACTAAAAATAAAAAGAAAATCGTGACCTCCATTTTTTGTAAAAAATACAGCTATTTTCTTCAAGATTCCGCCTTTGTAATTATAAACCATCATGCATTTATTTGCAAAAACAGAAACATTACCTCACATTTTCACACCAGCAAATCAGCGTGAACCTCTGGATATTGGAACATGGTAAATCCAGCAAATGAGGCACTTAACACTACTACTTGGGCAGTTGAGCTTCAACACTCAGTGGCCACAAACAGCTGGCAACTGGGTATTGGGTAAGATTTGGTGTTTATTTTCGTATGATAGGAGATGGATTTGAAGTTTATATTTGGATGGCATGAAAAAGCTGATGACAGTGAATCATGGCGGATTTGTGCGCATATGAAGATTAAATGAATGAACTGACCAAATGGTAAAGCGTCCATCAACCGACCATTGCGAATGTCCCTCAATATTCACTGATCAGTAAAGAGACAGTATCTTATATGTAGATATATATATATTTATCTAATCATTAAAAAACAAGAAGAACGTGGTTAAGTTTGGGGTATTGATTCTGTTCTAAGAATTTGTAGGAACTAAAGTATTCCCCTGTCATCATCATACACGAGACATGAGCGGGAATATTTATACACCACTTCTTAAAAATAAATAAATAAATAAAATGTTAGAGAGAAGATTATTAATATTCTTCTTACGTTAATTAACGAAAACTTATAGTTTAGAATATCGCTGTCAACAGTCTCCCACATTGCTTCATAGTAACGTGTTCCAAATTGGTCAACAAAGTGTCAGAAAATTATAGCTTTATTCAATTTCTTTTCTAACACATAGTCAACAAAGTGTTAGAAAATTATGCTCATTTCATTATCCTAGGGTTAGGTTGAGATCAGATACGTGGCACAACGAGCAAGCTTAGGCCACACCACATAGTCCAAAATCAAGGGACCATTGGGCTTGAGCTATAAATTTCAAAGACTAGATTCAATGTGGTGCGCCGGGGCCATGCAATAGTGCAATGCTTGGGCGACGCACGAGGACTCCCGTAGCAAGCTATTGTGATAGACCCTCCCCCAGAGAAATTAATTTAATTTCATAGGAGGTGGAGCATTGACCCACGTATCAAGATATTAAACTAACAAGAACAAATACTACACTTAATTTGAGCCAAAAAGCTGAGAAAGGTATGACTGTAAACTCGCCGGGCCGTCTCTTTTATACCAACTCTCCGACTGATTCTCACCTCAACCTGTCGATGAGGGATATATCAACCTTTTACCTGCTGTTCTTCAAGTAGAATCTTGCTTTCGTATTGGCCTCGAGTGTAACCATCAGATGGAGCTGGAACAAGAATTTGGGCCCCTTTTGACAAATACTTCCATATACGACAAAAGACCTTGCAGGCGATATGAGAATAATGCAAAATAAATAAAGTCGTTTCCACCCCGCTGCATTACAAAAGTATTAAGGGCATTATTGTCTTTTCAACAATGCAATATTATTTAACTTTTCTGATTATCTATAATTTGGGCTTATATCAATGAATTTTCTTCTACTAAGGGCCAATTTGGCATTGTTGTGCTGTGAAAATAATCGCTGTCAGATTTGTTATGAGAGAAAGTAATTTGAAATTTGGTAAACTTTTTGTTCAAAGTGATGTTGGTATTGGTTCTCGCATAATCAGAAAATAATTCACACGTAATCATTAACAATAAGTGATTTTCTCATAGTTTATTAAATAGGCTGGGTTTCCCAATTTTTTTTTAAAAATCACTTATTACCCTTAATAAGTAATGTCAAACGGACACTAAGCATCTGTTAGTGTATTCCAGTTTTGATTAAGTGTCGTGCGCGTCCAACTTTTTCGTTCTGCACAGGAAATAGTTGCGTTGGTTTAGTCACAATGCAGAAGCCCATTGGGCTGCAGCCATCAAATTTTCAGACTAGATTTAATGGGGTACGCCAGGCACATGCAGCAGTGCATCACTTGGGCAACGTGCGAGAACCCCAGCAGCAAGCTACTGTGGTGGGCTCTCCCCCTAAAGAAATTAATTTAATAAAGGAGGTGGGCCATTGGCCCACATACCAGATATTAAACTGATACGAACAGATACTACACTTGATCTTAGCCAAAAGGCCGAGAAAGGTATGAGTTTATCAATGTCTGGCAATCTCTTTCATATCAACTCTCCAAGTCATTCTTTTCTCCACCTGTCGATGTGGGATACAACTTTTCCTTGGTCGTAAAATTTCTGCTGCTGATTCTCACGTATAGGCAAAAACCAAAGATTGGGTAGAAACTCCAAGGCCACCCGACCCAATTCAGCCATCGATTGGTTAGAAAACTAGATGCTTTTTCAAACTCAAATCCACACATTTTTATTCACTCTCTTATTAACAAAATAATGTATGTATCTTACATATGCAACACAATTACCAAAAACTCCCAGATAATTTGAAAACATATAAGAAGAAATCCTAGCGAGCTATGTATATATGTATACATGGGAAAGTATACGTGATATCAACAAGAAGGTGGTACATATATGAAGTGAAACGCATCAAAACAAAAGCGCACAGCGCTAGCAGACTCACTTCATGATCGATCTAGTGACCAACGCCGGGGCTCGGAACATCACCGTAGCCTCCATTAAAATCATAATCTCCGCTGCCATTATTGTCACCGGCTTCTTTCGTGTATTCGTCTTTCACATCCGAACCCTTTCGCGACGCTTTTAGGCTAGCGGTTCCCGGTTGTTGATACTTGCCAATGCGTCTGATCATAGCCGCTCCCCTGTGAAACACCATGGACAGAAGAAGCAGCAAAGTTAGTAGCGCATTCAAGAGCTCCCTCCTACCCATTCTTCAATATAAAATCGATATGGCTAATGAGAATCGAGAAAAGAGAGAAGAAGAAAGTTTAAAAAGGAGGCGGTTAGGTCAGGGCCATGCTGCTCATTTGATTTATTAATTTAGTGCATGCACCATCATGGTGTCAATGTCTTGTCATCCAATCTGGAGGGCGATAAAGCTTCATAAAAGTTGGCCAGAAGACCAACTTATAGAGTCGATGTGGTGGAGACATGCATTGCTTTAATTGGTTTATTTTCTTCGGTAATGAGCAAAATGATAAAGAAGTATAATTGTTCTTTTGTATATAAATAATTTTCTAGTCTTTGACCACAGTACGTCCATTATGACTGGGGACCATGAGGAGTTAGGCCATGTTTACTTGTTTATATACTTAAAACCTACGAAAAGACAGAGATGTTTGCTCAGCGTGATGATAAATTGCACTCATATAAATTAAATTTCAATTTTGCACTCTCTCACTCTCAGACAAACATTGCTAGGGTTTTAATGAATACGGGAACCATGCATTAGATTGATTACTGAATGTTCATTTGCTTTCAGTGTACAGACTAGGATCTGATCATCATGGCCGCTTCATGTGGATCTTAATTTGTGTGTGACATAATCATATAAGCCCGACGAATCCTGAATCATAAAACTGAATGGGAAGATAATTTTTTTTGGGTGTATGCGTGATTGTATACAATCAGTGACATAAAGTTGTTTCTTGTGTCCCATAAACTTTATAGTGTATATAAAATACACAAGTACATGTGGAAAGGGAGATGATAAGATTGAGACAAAAGAATAATGGAATGTAAATTCTCCTCTTCTTTTTGACAATCAAGATAAGATTAAGAGGGGGAATGAAGGGGCCAATATTCTCTCCTTCTTCTTCCTTTACTTTAGAAAGGAGTTTTCAACTTTCGGTAGCCGGTCCAAATCTGTGGCCATTGAGCCATTGACCTCAACAACAACAAAAAAGGAAAAAAAAAAGTTTCATTCTCGCAGAGGCTGGAAACTGATGATTATTGGGTAATGACTCACACAATCTCCACTACTAATAACGTCCAAAGGATGAGTTTAAACTTAAAGGTTTTGTTAATCCTAAATTAACTATCATGTCTTGAGTGACGAAACAACTGCGTGAGAATGACATAGACGTAGTCACATAGTCAAAGCTCTCTGTTCATTCTGATAGGTTTTAATTTCGTGCCAATTTTCAACAATAAATAATAACCATCTGCCAAATGGGTTCAATATTATTGACACCATTTTCTCTATGACATTGATGGCTAGCTACATGTGTCACGTGTAGGGGCACATACAAACTGGTTGGTTTACACTCACAACACAAGCTAGATTGATCATTAAAATAGGGACACCGCCAAATTAAAAATGTTCACTAACGACCTATACCTATAGGTATTTTTATTATTATATTTTGATCTTTTTCTTTTTGGTTAGAAGACAACTTATAGGTACAACTTGCCCCTAAAAGGCTTGTAAAGAAAAAGTGCTCAGGAGCTCTTTAATCACTTTAGGATATGCTATTTTTCCAATGTGGGATCTTGAGTCCTAACATTCAATCGCACTTCTGTACCCAACGTCCTCCTTGGCCCACTCTATCGACATTGACTTGGTGATAGCCATTTCCTTCATTTGAGGCGGCTTCACTCAACTATCAGTATTCAATGACTCGATTTCATGCTCATATATAACATTGATCATCTTAATCCAGCATATAGGTCACCCCTTCTGTTGAATTGGACCCAATTGCATGATGAAACTAGACTATGATACCAAATGCTAAGAACTCATGGGTAGAACTTGCCTCTAAAAACTAGCTTGTAAGGGAAGGGTGGCCATGAGCTCTTTAAACCACTCTAGAATATACCATTTTCCCAATATTGAATCTTGAGTCCTAACATATTAGGAATGAAAAATACTAACACACATGTCGAGTGCGTAGAAAATTGCTATTAATAACTTGAATTACATGTTTTCTGAAAGAAAAGAAAATTACAAGTTTCTTACATGCATGGCTGATTCAACATGTTTGTTGTGTGTGTATGCATTGATGTCTGGGAAGGAACTAGGATCGACAGGAAGCCCAAATTTCCATTCTAGGTTTCAAATTTCAACTTGTTCTTTTACTCTTTTGGTGAATTCATGACATCAACGCGGTTTAATCCTCCAATGCCTGTCTCCAAACTAAACATATTTAATGGGTTAGGTGTTCGTCCAAAAAAAAACAAGGGTTAGGTGGGGGAGGCTCATGTATCCAATTCCTCTTATTTGTTTATTTATTTATTTTTCATAGAGTCAGTCTCCCCATGGTCCGATATTGTTTCTATTGGGTCATACTTGACTTACTGGTCCATTGAATCCAATCAAGTCGTGTTTAAAGTGCAATTTCTAAGCAAACCCATAGTCCATAAATACCTTGTTGCTTGTTTGTTCAAGCGATACAAGTATAGAATTAAAATTTCAGAAATATATTAGTGAATATTCTTTATTGATTATCTTTTGTGTCGGCAGAATGGACAATTTTAGATCATTTAAATTATTTTGTGAAGAAGTTCTCTTGCAACGGGATAGCACCGTTATAAATAAGTTCTTTTCCATTTTTGTGGTGTAGATAAAATTTCGAAGAAGGCCTAGTGATCAGTTTTCTGTACTGTCAGGCCCAAACCTCCACAAAGAAAATGTGTGACGGTGGGTGTAGAAAAGAAAGATAAAATTTGAAGTTGTGTGCCGAAGACGCTAACTTGCGCGAGAAGAATCGCGTACACTCTCAAACGCGGACTGTTGATGGACTAGCCAGGAGCTGGCAGATTTTTACTCGGTCAAACCTCCCTGTGCTGACGTGTATGTGTACCCATCCAAATCTGGCTGTAACCGTAAAGCCTCTCCCACTCTCACTCCTCCACACACTCCGCCACCGGAAAGGAGAAAGGCTCCTCCATATTCGCATAGAAACGAAACGATTGATGTATGTGAATTTCATAGTACATCAATGGTTAGAATTAGCTTACACACAAATTAAGTATCATTATATCTCAATTAGATATATATCGTCAATGAGATATTTATAACATACAATTCACTAATCAAGAGTACTAGTCAATCCGACTAATAGTATCGTCATCGGAAATTACACCAACACATTGTGTTATGGCAAGAAACTTCCCATTTGTGGAAAATTATCAGTGATTCACAATATATGAATGTGGACTTCCAAGTAAGTCATAATCGACCGAAAAAACTTCCAAGTAGGTCGTAGTAGCGCGTCACAAGTCTTTGCCTTGCCAATACATTATGGTCCCTACGACTTTGAGCTTCTCACGTCATGGAAGACGACATTGTCCAAATGAACGCAACGCGCAGCAAGAGTTTTAGGTTTTCAAATTCAACACTTAATAATTCCCTCGCTTCCCGTATAAAATCCCCATCAACCTCCCCCTCTTCTCCAACACACCACCAAACTCTCTCAGCTTAGCCTAATAGCCTTTACATTTCACACCAAAAAACTCCTCATTTTATTCCCAAGAATGGCACAAATGCTGTGCGTTCTGCTTATATTACTAGCTGTGTCAACTTGTTCATCTGCCAGGCTCTTGAATGACCAGCTTCATCACCTCGAGCTTCCTAAAGCAGACAACAAACACAGTGTGTTTTTACCAGAAAACCCATCACACGAAGAGGCTCATCATCATCTCCGTCCTCAGCAGCATGTGTTTCCATGCCACACAGACAATACAGATCAAGCTTCTTCTTCTCATCTTCCTGCTGCTCCTAGATTTGGTGCTGCAGCAGCCGCCAAGTATGGGCCCCTGGTCTTGAATCTTCTTCCCAAAGGGACGAATCCACCTTCCGGACCCAGCAAAGGAACCAACGACGTCAACACCTAAACCAACCGCATACAACATTATTCACACAGAACAGAACCAGCCAGATTTCAACAAGTCATTGGTTTAGTTGGTCTCTTTCTTTGTTTTGTTCCTTCTATTTGTTAGCAGCAGATACTTGAAGTAATTTGTTCTTTCTCTGTTTCCAGTTTGGTTGGGACGTGTAAATATACTCATTACACGAATTATAGATAGATAGGTAGCTAGCTAGGGTAAGGGTGAGATTTGATTCTCTTAATTTGTTTGGATCATTTATATATATCCTGATGATTTTTCTAATAGAGTTATATAGAATATAACAAATTACAGTACTGATTTACTTCCTTTTGGTTTTGTTTATTGTTCTGAAATAATAATGTTCATGCGCCCGTCATGAACTTTGAAGAATTATTGGTGTTGTTGACTTTAGTTGGAATTTAATTGGTTACATTCTTTCTTAATGAAAGATTAGTTTAATTTAATTAAACAATTGTGATACGAGCGTTGTTAGTATATATGCACGATAAGCGATAATCTAAACTATAGAGAGGGGGTTTCTCACACACACAACCAAAATGTTGTGGGAATTTGAACCTGAGGCATCTTGTTTGCAAATTAAGGTCATTTTCCACTCGGTTAAATTCCGTTGCCTAAAGGCTTCAAACTTAAAATCTAAATGTAAAGAAGAATAAAATAAAACAACGAGTAAGTCTCTTGTAAGACTTCTATGACTAGTTATTTAATTTTTCCACCCTACCTAACCATTATTTTATTGGTCCTAAAGTCGTAGCACCAGACCAGACCAAAGGGTCTCCAAATTCTAGGGTCCAAACCAGAATAGATTTTTTTTTGCTTTGGTTAAAGGCCAGTGATCTAGGAGAGGAGAGAAAAATGCTTAATGGAACGCTCTAATCTATTCCTTTTTCTCTTTTTCAAAAATAATAATAATAATCACGGTGAAACCAATTTAAGTCCTCCAGTAGGTCCACATGAAAATGTAAGGAGATTGACATTTCTTGCAAAAATGAAAGTCATTCATTACTTCAAAGATTAAGAAATGAAGGTTTGCTGTCCATTTTTGACTTTGATAGTTTCCTGCAGCGCATAAACAAACAAACGTAGACTTGAAGAAGCAAAAATGAAAAACAATAGTTAAAAGGTGAGGAGGGCTGGTTTCGATGTTCAACTCTAATTGGAGATTTGTAATTGGATTAGTGAGTTTATTGGGTTTGCATAAAGTGGGTTTAATCTTTGTCATAACCAAAGATTGAAAGATGTGAAGATGGACCTAACCAACAAAACAGTAATACCTCTAAATTTCGTCCCTTTTTTATCACTGGGTTTTACACGAAAATTCAATTTGGTCAATAAATTTTTTTTAACCAAATTGGTAATTGTGTTTCCCAAAGTTTACAATTTATAAAAATTCCATTATCTTTCGTTAAGTGTAGTTTTTTATTTTTTTAGGATGTCCCTTCAATATTCTTCCTCTAACTCAACAAATTAGGGTGTGTTGAGCTATTAGGGTTTAACAATTTGGGAAAAATATTGGTGGTAATTGAAATTATGAGGTATAAGAAAAATAAAAAGTCAAACCAAATTAAAATAAAATCAACAACTTACCAATGTATTTTGGTGTTATATGAAGTCACAATACATTTCTCACTCAATTAATTTAGGCTTCACTATAGTTAGCATCCAATCCGTGACCTTATACCTCACAATTTCGATTTCAATCCAAGATTTCCCTAAATTGTTAAACACTAATGGCACAATATACTCTAACTCATTAAGTTAGAGGAAGAAACTGAACTTGCTTCCTTAAAAAAATAAATAAATAAAAATCACTTAATGGAATATATAACGGAATGTCTAAAAATTGTAAACTTTAGAAAACACAGTGATTAATTTGGCTAAATTTTTTGCGTAGTGATCAAATTAAATTTTCGTGTAAAATTCAGTGACCAATAAGATATTTATCCATATTTTTCAAACCTACCAGTCGCCTAGTTAGACCTTTGGGTTTAGACAGCTTTCCAAGTAATCCACTGCTTAAAGAATTATAAATTTTGAAGAATTACGTGGACAATAAGCTTACCAATTCACTATCTTTATTAATTAAGCTTATCAAGTGCGTTCTCTTTTGGTTTTCATGATATCATGACAACTAACTTAGTGGATAAGCCTCGTTTAATGCTTAATTCTTGGATTGGAGCATAATCAAATAATTAAATATTGGGAATTAATCCGTAAATGAGGACAAAAATTAATAAGTTAAAAAAAAAAAGAAGGTCAAATGTTAAGTTCTGACGTGTCATTTACATAAATTAAGCGGATAAAATGGGATTTGATATTCCAAAGTGGCAAACTGGCTTGTCATAATATTGTCCACATCGGTATATGCTTCCTTGTCTAGTAATATATGCTCTGTTCCTTCCCATTCACAGACTCATCTCGGTGTTTTAAGAAAAACCAAACGGAAACACACGGAAAACAAAAACAGAGCATTCAATGATGGCGAAGAGGAAGATCACCCTCTCTTTGTGTACTCTGGTTCTCACTCTATCGGCGGTCTCTTTGGCATTTGCAGTCAGAGTAGTGCCTCTCACGCAACCCCATGAGAAACCCACTTTTTTAAGACCAACATTCAATCGCATTTTTGATACTTCCATGTATGGGATTTTGCAACTTGACAACGGTTTGGCTCAAACGCCTCAGATGGGGTTCGTCTCTCTCTCTCTCTCTCTCTCTGAAGTGTGTGTTTCTATCTTTTTCTATTTTAGTCTTTGAAGTTTGGTGTTTGTTGGTCCACTCACTCCTACCCACCATTTGGGATTGATTTTGATGAAAAACTGAAGTAAGATTCTTGATAATAGGAAATTTTTGTGGTTTTTTACAATTGGGTTTCAATCCAACCAACTTCTGTATATATGAATGGGAATTTTACTTCATTGTTCTGACTAGTTCGTTTCACTTGAGGACATTGTATATTGTTTTTGTTTATCAATATTGTACAATATGTGGGCAGGTGGAACAGCTGGAATTTCTTTGCCTGCAATATCAATGAAACCGTGATCAAGGAAACTGGTATTCTTTTTATGCTTTCTCTGTTCATCTACTTTTGTTGGTATTGATTCTTTGTGAATACCATTTATGAATTATTGGTTGCCTTTCCTTATTGCATCAATGGTTTCATGTTGGTTTGTATCCGGCTCATGGTAAATATCTGTTCGTATAAATTGGAAAACATACCCACCCGATTCTATCAATCCAAAGAAGTACAACAATTCTTTATCCTCAATCAAATTTTGTGAAAGTTACTGACTTTTCTTTTGATGATGGACAGCTGATGCACTCGTCTCAACTGGCTTAGCAGATTTAGGCTATGTGTATGTCAATATAGGTATTATTCTGGCATACCTTAAGTATTTGGCAAACATAATACAAGCTTATGTTTATGATGTTATTCAATGTCATTGACTGCAGATGATTGCTGGTGTCAAACACGAAATTCGGAGGTCAGTTGAATTCCATTCCTTCAACCAAAATATAGTTCACCGTCTCTATAACTTGTATCAGCAATTTTTGATTTTGTGGTCTGTGAGGAGCACCATCTTCATCTTATATGAAGAAAATTTGGCATTAATGATTCAAATGCAACTTCTCAGAATTATATCTCAGTCTAGTAGTTATAACTCGTCTGTCCTCTATGTGGACACATAGAGGATTAGCATAGATGAATATATGCAAAGTTTTCTATAAAAGTTCTTTGCATGGGAAAACTTGTAAAATTGAGCAATTGATGTGTATTTGAATTTTGATTCCTTAAAGTTGTTGTTTGGTTGAGCAGGGTCAACTGGTCCCTGATCCTAAAACATTTCCGTCAGGAATTAAAGCTCTTGCCGAGTATATACACGGAAAAGGACTCAAGCTTGGAATTTATTCTGATGCTGGGTAAGTTGAAATTTTTATGTATTTTTACTTGAGTATCTAGTGTGCTATACTCATTAGAACCTCTCAGTATTCATCACCATTCTATTTGTAGGGTTTTTACATGTCAAGTTCGACCAGGATCACTTTATCATGAAAATGATGATGCAAAGCTGTTTGCTTCTTGGGTTAGTTTATGTTTCCTCTATTGGATGTTTGTTCAAAGTACATCTTTGACTTGGCTGGCATTCGACACCCTTGTACACTGCTTCTGCATTTTATAAATTTATATTGCTATCTTTTGTTAGTGAAAACTCAAACTCATTTAGAACAGACTCACCTCAATGCAAGTAACGGGGTCAATACTACTAAAAATTAAAGCCTTCTTATAACCACTCACAATGTTAATATACATTTTCTTTATTGATGTTTGCAAACAAAATCGAGTTGCCTGAATATTTGACAGTATTTAATCTTCCCCCGTGTCCCCTTATTAGTAAACAATTTGTTTGCGATCAGAGTTTGGAATGCATAAATTCTGCTGAGAATTCTTCTAGCATCATAAGCATTCATTTTCTTTGGATATTACTAATAATTAAGGAGTAATGTTGTATTTTCAGGATGTGGACTATTTGAAATATGACAACTGTTACAATTTGGGCATCCCGCCAAAAGAACGGTATTAGCTCTTCTTGATCTCTTTTTAATATTGAAGGAATCACATTGAGTAGCTATAAATTGATTTGATGTGGTTTCATACTTTCCAGATACCCCCCAATGCGCGAGGCCCTAAATTCATCTGGACGCACAATTTTCTATTCAATCTGTGAATGGTAATCCACTTTATTGATCTATGCACTATAATATTTGGATTAATTCACAATTAACTTGATAGAAATCCTAATTCAGAAATTCTTTACTTGACAGGGGTGTTGACGACCCGGCTTTATGGGCGGGCAAGGTTGGAAATAGTTGGCGTACAACAGTTGATATCAATGATTCTTGGGCAAGGTTATAACTCTTTCTCCATTAACTTATGTGGACAATAACTTGATGGTCTCTGGGGTTATATCCTAGCTCTACATGCGCACATTGAAACCATAATTTGTAGAAAACCCTCAAAATGGTTTGTGGTAAATGCTTTCCCCTCAGAGGACCCTTTTAAAGGTTTCAAGAGCTTCATTACTTCCAAGTTTATGGTGCTCATTAGTGGATTTATATCAGTAATTGGACAAGAATGTCCCACATTTGTTGCCAATCATTGTTTCTCGCTGTCATCATTTGGTTGTAAGATCTTATTTGCATGATCTTGGACTGTTAATAAAAGTTCTTGTTTCTATTTCTTGAATAAATCGTCGATGGTCGTACTGATAAAGTTGGCTGTAACTCTGTTATGAAGCATGACAACAATTGCTGATTTGAATGACAAGTGGGCGGCGTATGCAGGACCTGGTGGATGGAATGGTACGGACATGAGCTTTTTGAAACAGATTTTGAAGGCATGATATGTTGGGTGTCAGTACTCCAACTGCGATATACTATTCTTACTCTCCATCTTATTCTTTCGGGCAGATCCTGATATGTTGGAAGTTGGCAATGGAGGCATGAGTTACCAGGAGTACCGTGCTCATTTTAGCATCTGGGCTTTGATGAAGGTCCTTCAACTTCTGTTTCTTTTGTCCTAGTTTGCATAGCCATCCCAGTAATTCAGATTTAGTTGTTGTCTTGTCGAGTTGTGTCAAAAAAGGCAATCTTATATGAGTAGTTCGTGGAAACTACTTGTTTTCTCTGTTCTGCTTTATTTCATATTCAAAAATTAGTTTTCCACTATGCTGTCCAGTCCTATTAAGTAGAATTTTTGTAATGGCTTTTATTGGTTGTTCAGTCCATGTGAACAACGAATAGTTTAATTCTAGCTTGCACAAGAGGCAGCATACGACATGTTGCATGTGAAATTTTTTGTGCTTAGCTCATTTTGATTTACTTTCAAGTTCTTCACATACTGAAAATTGGGTGTTCAAATATCCAGGCCCCTCTTTTGGTTGGTTGCGATGTAAGAAACATGACCGCAGAAACATTTGAGATTCTAAGCAACGAGGAGGTTATTGCTGTAAACCAAGGTGAGAGTTGTTGCTCTTCCTGTCTCTCGCTCTCACACTCACACTCTCACTCAATGCATCATGGTGTGGTGTGTGTGTGTGTGTGTGTGTGTAATTGGTCTGAAGTATGATTTTTCCATATCTTTCATTTCTCATTCATAGCTAGCCTTGTATGTCACAATCTTTTCAAACTAAGTTAATGAAAGTAAATGAGAGAGGACTTATTTATTTTGTTTTTGCAGATCCACTTGGAGTTCAGGGAAGGAAAGTTAGTGTTTCTGGAACAGATGGTTGCTATCAGGTCCTTCGTCTTGCATCCTCAATATCATTTTAAAGTGATGCTGCAACCATAAAAATGACTAATTGAAGAGAGTTTAGGTCAAATGACTTTTTCAAGCTCCCCACCGACATATGTGGGGGGGGCTTTATCAGGAAGGGATTTTCTCTTCCCCTTCCCCGTAACTTTTCTGAGTGTACAGTCGTCTCGTCCCCCTGCTTGGGCTGTCTAGAAACTGGCACAATTGCTTACTGGAAACATAGAAAAGTAGTATATCGGGTTGAGCTGAAATCACAAATAAAACGTAGTATTCATGTGGTGATATATGGTATTCTGGCAGAATACATCTCCCTTCGCATTGGGATCTTTAAAATAAGCCTAGTTGTATATATACTATTTGTTACACTTTGGTGTTTAATTATGATTCTGTTTCCAGGTCTGGGCAGGTACTCTATCCGGACATCGGCTGACCGTTGCTCTTTGGAATCGGTGCTCAAAAGCAAAGACTATAACAGTTACTTGGGAAGCACTTGGACTCCAATCCAGCATTAGCGTCTCCATAAGAGATTTGTGGGAGGTGAGCAAACTGACCAACATGGACATCTAACAAGAGTTTTGAGTGGGAACAAGGCTGTAATTTCTGGTTTAGGATTTAGTTGGCTTCATTTTTTTGGGTTTTATGCTTACATAGTATTCTAATTTCTTGTAGCACAAAGAAGTAGCGGTTGATGCTGTATCTTCGTTCAGTGCTCGAGTTGATGCTCATGACTGTCGGATGTACATTTTTACTCCCCAGACTCCCGCTCAGAAATATAGCTCAGCCTTTACTTAAAAAGCACCCTTTAAACAAGAGGTGATGTCCAACTATTAGTGCACCGCGATGATTCTCTGCAAGAGTTCATGGCTGTAATCTATAAACTTTTACCAGAACTTGGAAGCCATCTTAGTGGCATCTGTTATGAACATAAGAAAGTATTTGGATGTTAGTCCAAGTGTTCATATTGCATTGTATATATTACTACATACTTATTTGGAATGACCATCAGTTGAAATAATGAGAAGGATTACAAAATGCCCCTACTTACAGAGGTTTTTTTTTGCTTTTATATAATTCTTTCGAACTTTTACATGAAAACATTTCATTAACGACTAACATATATTACATAAATATCGTCCTGGAGAATAGGCAAAAGCTGTGAAGGCCCCCTCCTCCATTCACGCACAAGTTTAAAGAGTTTGAAACTCTACTGGGAACTTAGAATGTAACTGAGACTTGAACGCCATGGCAAATCCACTCACAGATTCAAGGGGGGAAAGTCCTCATCATCGTCCAGTTTGAATTGCTGCACGCGAATCCTGCAGTGTTAAACCATTTAAAAGTAAGGGGTAGGTCAGGCGGTAGTTTTTAAATGATGGTACGAAACTTTCACAGGTCAAAAATAGCCCTACGTCTCTTCATCGACCTCTGATAATTCTTGTTGCTTCTTCATAATGTACAGAGCATATGAAACATGAGTATTTGCCTGCTGGCTCGCTACAGGTGAAGGCATTCCTGATAGTGATGGTGAATGCCTAGAACTCCCCAACTTGTGAGAGGGTTCCTTGGCTGGAGGAGAAACCAAGACGAGCTGACCAGATTGATGGACCTCTGGTGATCCACTTTCAGTGCCAGGAAGAAGTGGGAATTCTTCAGGTGAAAGATTGAAGCGGCTATCATTTTCACTTGTGTCTGTTTCTGTGGAAGCCTCAACTTGGCCACTGTTTTGAGGTGATTTCATCATCGCATCGTGCCTGCTAGACTCTCGAATCCTTCCCCTCCTCATCCTTGGACGCACATATCTGGAATAATTTTGGGTCTGCAATGCCCAAAGTATTTAGTTTTGGGATGACAAATCCAGTCACCCAAATAAAAGGAAGAAGAAACCAACAATAATTAAAACTTAAAATTGAATAAACAGTAAGAGTTAAATTCGAGATACCACGTCAGGTATAAATGTGCCCGTTCCTTGTGATTTCCTTGTTATCCCAACACCTATAGTAGCAGCAGATGGATGGGACGCACTAGGATGCCAGAGTGGCAGTCTTGCATATACTTTTGTTGCCTTTTCACAAAATTCATTCCAGTTGAGCTGCGCTGACCAAGCCAGGGCATTCCATGTGGTCTTATTACAGACTCCAGAAGGTGGAGCACGGTGGTGTGTAGAACGATGAAATGCCTGTCCATATAACATGCTACTATAATAACTGTCATACTCCCCCCAGAGGTCAGATTCTTCAGATCTTCCAATACCAAATGCACAGACAGGAGCGTTCACATCTGGCCTTTCTCCTCTCCCATTCCTATCTATGGTGGTCACGAAGAATTTTTCAAGTTCTGCACCCATGCTTTCACCCGGTAGCTTTAATATCTCTCTAAGAGTTTGAGCTCCTAAGGAAAGAGCAGATTTTATACGATAGAAGTTTCCTGGGGGGGATTACGAGGTGCATCATGATCAGTTAATGAACATACAGAACTGGTAAAAATAAAATTATACGAAAGAATGAAAAGCATGCAACTTGAATAAGAGAATTTTAATAAAGTATAATCTAAATGGATATAGAAGATTAAAAAGATACCAAATATACGTTATAAAACATACCTTGTTAAGAAAACACAATCATCTTAATTCTTTCTAAATAGAATAATCCTCTAAGAGCGTGGTATAATTATTGAAGGACAGTGTTGTGAAAAATCAAGGTGTCTATCATAATCTATTGTACAAACCTTCTCAGCATAAGGGCCATGGTTTGGTGCAATGGTGGGAGTGGAGGACTGACAAGCACTAGGGCATAGGTTCAACTCTTAAACAACAGCTTCACCCATAAAATTGTTAACAGTATGATCTAATCAAATCTCTACTCCTTGAGCTGGCTTCTTTATTATTCATTTATATTCTGCTTCAATTAATCACAGTAACTTTGATGACGGAGGAAGAAAAGATTTTCCCTCTGTGAAGTCCTTCTAGGAGCAACACAATTTAGTGCATATTTCCTTAAAGAGAGTGAAAACTGAACCAGCAGGTAAGTGGTCAAATACCTTTACTAACACTACGGCCCAGATTGTTGTCGTCTTTTAGAGGATCCACTATGTTGAGGTACTTAGTTGGGAATTCATGAACTGTAGCTTCGTCTGCCCTTATTGGATCTGAAAAAACATCTCTAGAGCTTCTCACAAACTCCTCACTGAGCAGTAATTCGTCTGCCTCAATTTGGGGTGCCACTATAGCAAATAATACAGATAAAGGATCCTCATTAAATGTGTAAACAGATCAGTTACACATTCACATTTTTTATCATAGCTTACCTATGATTTCCGGAAGGGAACATATCGCAACTGGACCATTTATACTGATACAATAATTGTCCCAATCAAATGTGCTATAGTATTCCAAAAATCTCTGCAGGACCTGTTGATAGAATTTCAAAGACGCATTTGAGTGCTTACAGATGCAAATGTGACTACTGAACTGAAATTAAACAAGAAAACAAAAGAAACACCTCTAAAGGACCACGAAGTGATGCATGAAACAGATTGATGATAAACAACACCAACGTTTCTAGTGCATATGTTGAAATCAAACCATAATGGGATCCAAGAATCCGGCTCTCATAGTAGCACCAAGCTTTGATTAAGATTATACTCTTTTTAAAAAGATGGTCTTTTCCGATCTGTTGGTCAACCTGAATAAGGGCATGTCAGTTGAAAAAAAAAGTCGCGCATTAAATTTTTAAATGAGAGAGAGTTAATATATTTTGTTGGTTTACAACTGCTCCAAAAAACTTAAGATGATAGGATGAGTCTCTCCAGCTACTGAAGAGCCCAACACAGAATTCAACATTAAATTGGAAGGTTGTAGCTGTAGGGCTTCAAACTCAAGATCTCCCATACTGATATTATGTAAAAAAATTATTGGTTTACCACTGTCCCCAGAAAATCTAAGAGGTTTGCATGTGGAACAATTATGCTTTAAAACTGCAAAAAAAAGAAAGGACAGAAAGAGCTGACTACATTTACTTAACCATAACAAAATTGTCTGTTTATGTGAATCAAGAGCTAAACATAGATCACGACAAAAAATTGGGGATAAACCAACTCCAAGACTGCCAATAGATCAGAATACAAAGTAGAAGTGGAGCAGGTAGCATATACAGAAGAAATTCTGATGTAATGAAATGTAGAAATTGCAAGTGCATTTAAGTTTGTATTTGCAATTAATAGTGTGAAACTACAAAGCTTTTACGGAAAAATTCAAGCCAGCTGAAGGAAAGTTACTCTGGTTACTACTCTAAGCTGGTTTTTGTTTAAATAAAACGGAGCTTGATATTATATATAGGGTTAAGATTTAACCTGCTCCAGAAAGCACAGTGTACAGAGCCCAGCCATTTGATTGAAGGAGATGTCCGCTGCTATGTTATTCACTGTGAACTTTACAACCTTAACCTACCACCCAAAATCCAAAAAAAAAACAAGATAAAGGAGATACAGTGGGCCCCCTTTTTAGAAGTAAGAAATGATAATACTTCCTTTATGCAACATGATTGGTTAAACAAAAGAAGCAACTTAGGCAGTGAAAACGATTCCCTTCAACTAGCACAAATACATTGAAATAATTTCTGTGTGAATAAAGATAGAACTAATTAAACAGTGATGGATAATACAAATCCCAACAAAAAAATTCACACAAAACAGCAACCATCTTGCAAACTAGTCCTTGAAAGGACAAGCAAGATTATAGAAAATAAGCATAGCAATTATTGCAAACGACAAAAAAAGTTAAAAAATCTCAACCTGTGCCCGAACATAACGGACATCTTTAAATTGAAACAAGGAGTCCTTCGGTTGACTTTCAAGGACACCACAGACAGCTATAGCTAATTCCTCCTCCGCGTTTTGATGGCAGATGGCAGTCAAATCAATATCTCCATCAGGAAGATAGGTCTTTAGTGGGACTGAGCCAAAGGAGAAGACCTGTAAGGCCAGCATGTTAAATAAACTCACATTAATTTCAGGACATTAAAATAGTTGCACATAATTATTGTAATAAACTGATCATTGATTCTCCCCATCAGAACTTTCTTATTACGTATAAGCAGTCGGAATGTATTTAAATGTTACAGATCGAAAACTTGCATCTCTGTCAATTATATTAAATTGAGGTCCCTAGGATGAAACACGTGGATACGAGCGACAATCAGATTCCAGATATAAATGGCCACGTATGTTAAATATTGACCAAAAAAGAACACAGAGTACTAAATACATATACACATATAACACATAACACTTGCATGCCAAATACTAAAAGTGTATCCAACATGAACAGTTAACATACCGGATGCCTAACATTAAATTGATCGAAGCTGTCCAAATAAGTTCTCTGAACTTAGGTCAGATTTTCGCAGAACTAGGAGAATATAACAAATTCAAAAACCTCTGAATGCCTCAAAGACTTTAAGAACTGTTCTCTAATATAATAGTAAAGCACCAAACTTACATTGATTGGCATTGAAAGCTGGATATAAGAAGCTTTAGCAAGCTAGATCATGTGGCGTTGAAGGATATCAAAAAAAAAAAAAAAAAAAAAAAAAAAAAAAAAAAAACACAAAAAAAGTTTTATCACAACATATAAGAAATGCCATTTTTTTTTTAAAGCAGGGAGCGTACAACGTCAATGGTCACTTCATATTAACACTTACAACTTTGTTTGGCTTCTTTTGGCTGTAACAACATACCACATCTATATACATGTAGTCCCACAAGCTCTTTCCGTGCAAATGGGAAATCAAATATATTACCTAGGCTAGGCATGTTGGCTACACTTACAGATCCCAACTGATAAAGGAAATAATGGGAATGCTTCAAAGTGCTAGGGATGGAGAGCGTACATCTAATCACAGAATTGGATGCACCTAGATAAATCAGGCCCTTTTTAGGTTATGATTTTAATGACATTGTTCCATATTAAAACATTAAGAATGACCAATCTAGAAAAAATACAGACATAATCAGAGAAAACCTAATTATCAAACACATCAATATTGACATGTGATGACAATTTTAATTCCTCACCCACAAACTTTAAAGTTACATGCATTAAAAAAAAAGAAGGATTCACCACCATTTCCAATCCCTATTTCACCCCCCACTCCTTCGCGCCAAAAAGCAAAAAATACAGAAGAAAATTAGGGAGCTGGGGAACTTCTCACCTCAGTTCCAAAATGACCTTTGATAAGCCTCTGAATATAACTAATAAGCCCCCTCCGCCTCCACTCAGAACCTACATTTGGTTGTATAGTCCATAAGATCTCTTGGGTCCTGTCCTCAGCCATCATCCAGAGTTCCACATCAATTGACAACGCCCTTGGATTATGTGAAGGGAAAGAGGAGCATGGGAAAAGTTTCTCTTGAATATCGTCCATAAGGGCAAAAGGTGAGACTTTCAGCTCTTCAAAAATGAAACCCAGGAAGCCACAAAAACACTCTGCCTAATGATGATTTTAACAAGTGACTGTCTACACAGTTTTATAAACCTATGGAACTAAGAAGTTTAAAATATGAATCGTTTGGTGGAATGAAATGAGTTGGTCAAAAGACATCTTGAGAACAAAGTGAGAAGGACAGAAAAACTGTCATCCAGAGCCGTTTTGAGCAGATGAGTAGCAATAAAATGGTTCATAGATCAGTAGAACTTAATCCAGGGTATGTGTATTCAGCAGAATGAGACAATAACCAGCTAATTAGATGCATAAAAACTCGAGCAAAGTTTGTCCATATCTGTTGTATCCTTGGACTCTGTTTTGTAACTCCTTGTATGCTCTGAAAGCAATTTTGCTCAAAAGAAAATATTTTGGGGCTATTTGGACATGTGTGATAAGAGGATAGGAGAACAGAAATCGTGAAATAATTAATGAAAAACAGAAAAGAATCAAGTCCTCAAGGGAAATTATCTGAAAACAAGGCTCTGTAAACATGAAAAGATGTAGAAGAAGAGAATAGAAGTGATATAACCAAAAAATGTTTCCTTTCCTCTATGAGAAAGCTCTAAGGTTGGATTTAGAAGCAAAAAGCAGAAGAGAAGCAAAATGATGACGGGCAAAGAAATGAAATGCAACAAATGCGATTACATCTTGGCGTGAACACATCTAGGCGTTAAGAGAACTCAAATACTACCCAACATAAGGGAATTAATCAAGACTTACTACCAAATAAAGTTTAGTTTCACTTTTCTCAAATTTTCAGGTTTCTCTGAACACTGGATTCTTCCTCCATAAATAAGTTAACAAAAAAGATAAATGTGATGGGGTTAAGAATGAAAATTTCTATGGCTTGCACATATGGTACTAATTAGTCCATTCTTAGCTGTTTCTCATTGTTACCACTCCAAGCTTTCCCTAATTAATTCCCAGAATGCATAAATCTAATGACCCTCATTAAAAACATATCCTATCTGTTCTCTCCCCTTGAGTAAAATATTAATTGTAATGGTTGCAAAAGGGATTTAGAATTTGTTGTCATACCAAATACTTCAGTCACTTGTTTTCCTACTAAAAATGTCAGTTTAACCTATATGAGCACTCATTAAATGCCATGAGGTCTCAGGAAACTCCAAATCATTTTGGGGCCCACAATCAACTATGCTCGCCAAGTTGCTCCAGCTCAGGTGTGTAAAGGCATTTCTACATTTATTTCCAGCTCATGACCAGAAAAGATTACAGAATCTCCCTGGAACACTGTGTTGGGATCTATTACAAAAGTGGCGGGCACCACCTCATTGTTATTTGATCCCCCGCCGGAATGTATCTAAAATTGCCCCATTACCAGGCAAGTCAAGATGGCCTGAAAATCATGTTACATAAACTTTGAATATGTGCGGAGCACAGGTGTGAGGAAACAGTACGAAGTCTGCCTGATATGTCTGAAATACCATGACTGTTGGACATGTACACATGAAGCTTGTCCAAAAGGAAACGACCAACTGAACTTTGTAGACAACCAAGTACCGAGAATTGTAAATAACGGAAAACAGGAGGTCATCCTTATGATTTTACAATTGGAGGATACACGAATATGCCACACTGCATACCGAAGTCCTCATAAACTGCCACAATTTTCAAGTTTGGTACTCAAATTGAAAATCTTGATTCCTAATTCGCCATTAGGGGAAAATCTGTGAATAATCTCACAGACCGCAATATAATTGTTACATAACCCAACATTACAAAGAAAAACTATAACAGTATAGTTTAACAAAAACTAGCTTCCTTATTGCCAGTGAGACTGTCCTTTCACTCTAAATGTATTCACTCTAAAGAACAAAAATAGCTCAATTTTGACTTAAACTGTCCTTTCAAGCATCCTTTGATCCAAGCTAATAAATATTGCACAGGAATTGATTAACGCTCCAAATGGGCTGAAAACCCACCCTTATACATTCCTGTCAGACCACTCATGCTAAAGATCCCTTTTTATTTCTTTTTTGCTGTTAAATTTGCAGACTCAGTTGGGATGAAATAGATTTTATAAAGGGTTTTTTTTAAAAAAAATTTTTTGGAACTCGTATATAGGTTAAAAATTTGTCAGTAAAACAGACAATAAATCATTTACAATATGAGTTAAGACATGAAGCCATCTGAAAAGTCCACTTATTATGTAAAGCAGTAACACAGTAAACACTTATCCAAAATGATTTGAGACATGAAGCTATTCGAGAACTCCACTTATTATGTGAATCTCCCCCGTAACATCTCCAAGAACTAACCTAGTTGGCTGTTTTTCTTTTAAGCCTTTTGGTCTAATCTAATGTTTTCTGAAAGTCTCTCATGCTATAGATCACTCTCACTCTTGTACTTCAAGTTTCCAGATTTAAAAGGTGATCTTTTCCCTATCGGTAAATACGCAGAGTTATAATTAATCCTTCAGGGATCCTCACATCCATATACTTTGAAGAGCATATTTGAGGTGTTCTGCCAACATGTTTTCATTTTCAACCGACTATTAATTAGGGGTACAATGCAATGATGTTAGTTGAGATTAAAAAACTTAATAGACTAAGTTCTTCCATTAGAAAAGTGACGAAAAACACATTTTAAGGATTTGATTAGGGCATTAGATTGATTAGAGATTATAAATTTGATGATTTGGGATTAAGGATTTAATTGAAGCCTTAGCAACCCCTTTTGTTCTTCTTCCTTCCCCTCTATTTCTCTCCTTCATCTCTTTTTCTTTATTGGCTCGGCATCATAAATTTTGATCTCAAAATCCCTTTAACTGTGTTGGAGGAGTCTAATTTTATCGCATACTGATCCTTTACTTGTCTTCTTTTTGCTGATTTTTCCCTTGTTTTAACTTGAATTTTAACCTAAGCCTTTATTACCTCCAAACATTATTTTCAATGTTGAAGTTCAACTCCAAACCGTAGACAAGGACCCTTTTGATACACAGCTCGAATTGGTTATTTACAATGCCAAAAACAGGATAGATCCATTTCCATTATCATAGCATGACGATTGAAGCCATACGCCAACAACTGTATGGACAAAACTAATAAACCTAAAATCCTTTCTTAAAACTAAACAGATCTTTCAGCCCTAAGAGACTCAGACAATTTAATTTCAACCCCCAAAAAAATGCACACATGCCCCAATCTTTTTCCTAGTTAGTCTCTAATTTCCTTTTTACCCTTAAAAAATTGAAACAAAAAATGCCCAGGTGAGAAATGAAAACCCTCCACCACTTCACCTTGGCCAACGGCCATGGCCACCTTTATTTAATTTTTTATTTTGAAACTTGAAAAGACAGAAAAAGCTAATGAGTGAGAAAATGATGGAAGAGAAAAGAACTAAACAAAAAAATTAAAGCGTTAACTGACTTTGAATTCAAATAGACTCACCCTACTTCTAGGTATGGCTGTTATCATGTTCTTGCTTTTTACTTGCTCTATTGCTTGGTTTCACGGGAACATCAAGTAGTAAGGCATTACGCATACCTATGGTGCAAATGATTATCTGCATTGTAAAGACTAATGCTATAATTTTTTTACCCTCTTTTAACCGTAACCACATGCTGAATAGCAACATGTCTGTGATTTGGCTATCTGTAATCCTCGAGTCGAGACATTGTGATGTTTTAAGTAGCAACTGGGGAAGCTGCCAATCCGAAAAGCAAAGGAACCCAAATAACAAGAAACCTTACTATTATGGTGTCTAACAGAAAATTAATCTATCATTAACTTGCTTATTGAAAACACAGTCATGCTAGAGGAAGGAACCTTTTCTTTTTCAAACAGAACTATTGCAATCGTTCAAGAAACAACCCCATGTTTGACAATATCTACACTACCAGTGAAATTCATCAAACCCAGCTAAATGTATCACAATAAGCAAATGTGGAAAGCATTCACTGCAAAGAGATACAAAATATTAAAGTTCAGAGAGTTTTACCTTTGACAGTGTCAAAGTGGTTTCTTTCTTCTCCTCCGCTTCATCTTCTTGCTTTGGCTAAAGCCCACTTCTTTGTTAGACCCATTTGACGCAAGCAAGAACATGAGCACCATCTTGGTCACTAATGAAATTTAAAACCCTAATAGCAGACCCAGGAAGAGAAATGCTCAAGAGTCAAAACGAAAAGAGTCCCCCTAAAGCCAACAGTGAAGGCTCCACTGCTCCAATAAACCATAAAGTCGATGGTGAGGGACCCATCTGATGACGTGGCAAGATCCAAAACCGTCATTGAAACAACCCCGATGGAATGTCAGCCGTCGATTAAAATAACGATCCTACACGTGTGCCACAAAGTGCCATGGATAAACCCATATATTAAAACCCGCCAAAATTAACCACAACCCAACCCAACAAATTCCCGCCATGATGACTCTCACTCCTAAAACCCTATCCCCTTTCTCATTTCTCTGCAACCCCATACCAAAACACCAAAATCAAAACTCAAAATATACCATTGTAACCCAATATTCAGACTCCAGCTCAAAGCTAACCTTCAATTCCAATTGCGAGTCTGAGTTCCAGACCGAGAGGGGTCTTAAATTTGATATCGGCGAGACCTTCTTCCGCCATGAAAGCGCCACCGGCCGCGACCTCGGCGTGCTCGCCGCAGCGCTGTACAAGAGATCCAAAGGCAAATTGCGAGTTCTCGATGCACTGTGCGGCTGCGGAATTCGATCCCTTCGGTACCTCATCGAGGCAGAGGCCGATTTTGTTTTAGCAAATGATGCAAATGATGATAACAGGAAAGTTATCACGGAGAACTTGTCGCAGATAGAGAGTAGTTCTGGCGACGATCCGAGGTGGGCAGTGACGCTTTCGGATGCAAATCGGATCATGACGGAGTGTTATCTCAAAAGAGATTTCTTTGATTTGATTGACATTGATTCATTTGGGAGTGATTCCTCGTTTCTGAGGTCGGCGATTAATGCTTTGAAATTGGATGGGTTGTTGTATGTTACTTCCACTGATGGATTCTCGTCGGGTGGTCGCAGGCCTCAACAGTAAGTGTTACATCTAATTTCTAGCAATGGGTTGTTTTCAATTCTGTTTGATTCTTTAAAGTTTGATGCTTTGTATAATAACTTGTCCCAATTCTTGACCATTTGAAATTACAAGACTTCCTTGCATTTTTCAGTCATGGGTTGCACATTCTGCTATGCTTGTTTACCAAAATGTTAATGCATTTGAATCTAATCAAATGCGTTTTGCAATTGAATACCAAATTTATATTTGGATATGATTTTTCCAATGCCATCAGTAGGCAAGTGACAACTGTCTGTTTGTGTCTCTAGAACTTTAGCTGCATATGGAGCTTATGTTCGACCTATGCCATATTCAAATGAGCTTGGTTTGCGAATGCTTATAGGAGGGGCTGTGAGGGTAGCTTCTGTGCTGGGGTATCGAGTTACTCCTCTATTTTCATACTATTCATATCATGGACCCATTTTCAGAGTCATGCTCCGTGTCAATCGAGGAAAGCTTCCTGATAACAGGTGAAGGGGCTGTATGATTTTGTATGCGTGAAAGCTGTGTGATTTATTAGGTCTTTATGTTGTTGCTTACCAGTTAATTTAAATTCACCACAGAAATTATGGTTTCATCAGCTACTGCCACAACTGTGGAAGTTCTCAAGAATATTCATGGGCTGAACTTGGTCGGATGAGTTGCCCCTGCAGCGATTCAAAGGTAAAAGGATGCGTTTCTTCGCTAAAATTCGCTCTCATTCATGTAGTGGTACGACTTATTTTATTTTGTCAAGTTCCCAAGTTTTTGTTCTTTCTTTTGACTCTGAAATAACCATGTCTGGACTTAAATCTCAAATGAAATATTAACTTGTGTCAGTACTTTCCAGGTTTCCAAGTCATTAGTTGTTTCTGGCCCCCTCTGGACGGGGCCTCTGCATGATACCGTTTACATTACAGAAATGCTGCATTTGGCTGAGGAATGGGGATGGGCAGGCAGTGGCTCGGGAACTGATCTCGACAAGCTTTTGAACCAAATGGTGGCCGAGAGTGACCCCAGATTACCGTTTGGGTACACCAAGTTGGACGAGGTAGGTCCTCAAGTGAACAACTTCTTTTCACCACAACTCTTTTGTTCCAACAAGTTATTAATCTTGTAAACCATATTGTAACTGTCAATTTTCTGTCCCAGGTGGCCAGCCGTGCGAAAGTAAATTCTCCACCGCTCAGAGCCGTTATGTCCACCCTTGAAAAGGTATTTCCACACAACTCACTTTGGCAAAGCATTTTGTTGGGATTAGCTAATGGACCGAAAATAGGGCACATGTCAGTAGTGCATGTCCAACAGTTGGAGTTTTGGGGTCGTGGGGCGTGGGGTATGAGTGCATGTTGGTCAATTTTGGGGGCTGCTGGGTATGAGTGCATGGTGGACAACTGGAGTTCTAGGAGCTGCTGGGTATGCGTCTTATTGGAGTGCATGCTGGACATTTGGAGTTCGGGGGCTGTTGTGTATGAACGTTATTGAACCAAAGACTAATAGTCTTGTTGCTGGGTTAAATTCTGTGCAGGAGGGATATGCTGCGAGTAGATCACACATTGAGTCCAACGCAATCAAGACAAACTGTTCAATGGCAGGTTGCATTAGAATTGCTAAGCAACTTCAGCAGTGCTCCAGTGCTGAATGATTTCCAACACCAGGAGAGCAGAAGACGGGGCCAGAAAAGTTGCATCCAATTTTGTAGCGTGCGAGCGACCAACTAAGCGTGGAGGTGTTGATGTTCGAGAAGAAGTGTCGTTGCTGCTCTGATCAGGCTAGAATGTGGATTTTTTTCAGTTTTTAAATTCAGAAAAGAGGGGGGGTGGGGGGGTTTGAACACATGAAGATGAAAGAGTAAACGCTCTTGACCATTTCAACTAATATCCCTTCCCCTAAAATGTGGGTTTTACGGCGATAACTTATGTAACAGTTGGGAGTTCGAGAGATTCAGAAGATTTCTATTGAGTAATGAATTTACACATTCTATGATAACCCTCGCAAGTTTCTACAGAAAGCAATGGTCACAAGCATTGATTATAAAAATGGGAAGCAATAAAAAGAAAAGTTTTTCCATGCCTCCAAGCAAGGTGTAAGAACCAGTTCATAGGAGAAAGCGAGAAATGCCAAGCCCTTTGATTCTTATTGAATAATCATAAGCAAAAAATTTCGGATGCAAAAACATGGGCTACAGTAGCGCCTTTTGCTTCTATAGAAGAAGTGCGCATGGGTCGTGGCCATTAACAAAATTGGAACCTAGGACATTTTTATAACAACCAATAGGATTCAAAATTGGGAATTATTTACTTGAAACAGGGTATTGGGACCCAAGACCTGTGAGTGGAGGTTGAGCACCACACTAACGGGGATAATTGCTACATTTGGGTGCCTCTAAACCAAGCTTGTATATTTAGGGCCAATTTTATAAGACAACCATGAAATAAAACCATAATAACAAATTCTAAGGTTTGCATTATCATCAAATCAAAACATCCATAACATTAGTTTTATCCTTAAAAAGTATGAAAATAGCATGGGAATCACAAAAACTTCCTACACAAAACTCAAGTCCAGAAAATTGTGTAGCTACTGGGAAAACATCGATCACATAATCAAAGGATTGAAATGCTTATTCAAGTACGAGCAGGAACAGGGGCACCAGCAGGTCGAGGACCTTGGCCAGGCTGACCAGGCCTTGGGGCATCATCCTGAAAATCAAAATTTCAGCATATCAGGTAAGCTAAGGATATACCGTCGGCTTCTATAGGCATGTCCCTTTTGAATTGGGCTAGCATGCATGTGGCAAGTGCAAAACAGGAATATGGAAGCAGGAAAAATCAAGTTATGTTTTACTATTTTCCTTAAAGCAAACAATGAAAACTAACAAATAAAGAATACAACTCAACACGACTAAAAGGAGAGAAGATATGACCAGACCTTTTAATGACTAGCAAACATAAAATAGATGGCCACACAAATCAAACATATGATAACCCCATGTGATAAAGAAACATAAAAACGGTTGTAAAAAAGTATACTGAAGAGAACTTGACAGTAAGGAAACGAAACATAGTTCCGGATCAGCCACCGAAATGTAAAGGTTTCAGAAAAGCTTGTCAAGATAAAATCTAGAGATTACATGATTACATTTGTTCTAGTACAAAACATGAAGACATAATTTTCTATCATTCATCCCATTGTAATCAACAAATATCGGTATCTCTGACAAAAAGGTTGGAAGGACCCAGATTTTTGTTGGGCTCTATTGCAAATTGCCCCAATGTGATTTGAGAATAACAAAACTGAACAAGCAATGAATCAATGAGAAACTTACCCTGCGTCTGATGAATCGCTGTGGTGGCTCACGGTTCCTCCTGTTGGTGCGAGATCGCACCCTCACAACGTGAGAGTGAATTGCGCAGGAAACGCAGTACTGCATCTTGGCATACAATTTTGGCAGAGTGTATTCTACATATCACAAACGAAAAACAATCATTTACATATTTATCTATTTGTAATTTGCAATTTTCACCACTGTATGCAATTTACATTTTCACTACGGAGATGAGAAAACAGAGAAATGAGGGAAAACTGGAACTTACGCTCATAGACACAAGCTTCCTGGACATCTCTAACCGCAGCTTGCTCAACAATGTTCCTCACCAAGAACCTCTTGATGGCCTTGTCCTATTTCACCATCAACACAAAATCAAAACCAATCAATCACATATTTATAAGATGCACATACGTATAGATACACAGACGTGTATTTATGTATGTAGTATACGCATACCTTAGGGCAGCACTTGCCGCAGTTAGAGCAGCGGATGAACTTGACGTGTCCACGGCCGTGCTTGTTGCGACCACCATTTCGGCGCTTGAAAGTCTGCAGAGAGAACAAAAAAACGATAATTAAGCAAAAAGAAAACAGAGAACAGAGAGATGGAGAAGTGGTTGAGGGTGAAGATCGGACCATGATTTTCCAGAAGAGGGAGACGAGATCTGGAGCTTCGGGGTCGTCGGCTCAGGCTAGCTAGGGTTTTCGCTGCTCACAAGCCAGAAAGTAAGTGGTTTCGGGAAAGCTTCTGTTTTATATGGGAGAGTGGCCTGGCGCCCTAGCCAAAAAAAGGCCCCTTCGTTTGTTGGAAATTTGTAATTACCTCCCCAAAGGTTTTGGTTTTCGCCTTTTAAGCCCAACAGTATCAATTTAGATATGAGAGCATAAAAAATAAGATTAATATAGGGTATTTTTTTTCCAACCAAAAAAAAAAAGAGGGTTTTTTTATAATTATTTCTAAACATAAAACAATTTGTTTTTATTTATAAAGTAGCTAACAAAAATCGTGGTTGTTAACATTTAAAGATCCATAATTGTTTTTTATGGTTGAAATTTTGAAATTCGGATCTCTTGATTTTTGGTTATTTTTTTCTAGCATTTTAAAGTAGTCTTAAACATATGTAAAATAGTTTTTCCTGACTTTTTCTTCAAAAGGAAATGCATTTTCTTCAAAACTAGTTAAGTTGTTTACAGTCATTGGTATCAATATGAAAAGATCATCTTTTATCGCTCACAATACACAGTTATTTATTTCTATAAGATTTCAACATGGTTGGATCGCGACGATTTGATTAGTGCCTCGAGTTTACTTACCCTCAACAAGCCCCTCAAAATCATAGCAAAAGTTGACGACAAAGCTTATTTCAGGCAGCAAAATAGAGAAAGCTCCAATTACATACATAACTTATTGCATCAAACGATCAAACAGTGGAACAAACAGTGATTAAATACGTACAAAATCTCTTACACTATCTCAATTTCATACAAGATATGTCGATGATTAAATAAGGGGGGTCCTCATTTATCACATGGATAATTTTATTTCATCAACTCAACCAGCTGCAAATGCCACCTTCATTTGCTCATAGCCTCAAGGGCTTTCTTTCTCGTACACTTCGCTGGCATACTTCCAGTTGATTACTTTCCATATGTTCTTCAGATACTCTGGCCTCACATTCTTATACTGCAACATCACAAACAGATGTCTTAATTCATCTCACATGATACATGAGGAGCAAAGCAGGAAAATAATCACACAGATCAAAAACCACTGCTAAAAGAGCAAATAGAACCGACAATAAATCTTATATGCTTTCATCATTGGGCTTGGTGGTAAGCGAAGCTGATTTTAAATTGAATAAACGATGAGTTCGTGTGGAGCCGTCAAAGTATTTATTTAAGATGCTAATTAAAAAATTTCCCCCATATGAAGGAGGCTGAATACAGAACATCATTGGGAAAGAAAAAAAAACTGAATAAAAGCCTAAACGCAAACTTCATCACACAGGATGACCTTTCCCACATAAATAATTCGACTCCAATGAGCAAAAAATGATTGTTGTTTCATAAAGACAGTTTTAACACCCCTCTTAGACTCACTAGTTAAGAGAATACATCAATATGGATTGACTCTTATATACTACAGTTATAAACTGATGCCCCAATTGAGAATAATTGAAAGATTTTAACAGCTGTATGCATAAAGCCCTATACTTTTGCATCATTTATCTTTGTAAGCATAAGGAAGACAGAACTATTAAGAAATCTAGGAGAGGCAAATTTCCACAAGTTAAACTTACCTGTAAGTAGTACGCATGCTCCCAAACATCAATACCAAGCAATGGAACTAAAGTTGGTCCTTTGGTAACCAATGGGTCCTGAAACAAAATTAATCAGATTTACAAATATTCTGATGAAATAGAAGCACCACATGTGTGTGCTGCACATCAGTTAACTGTTATGAGTCCTAAAAGAATAAATCAAAAGAAGGCTATACAGAGTGTTCCAGAACAGCAACCTTTGCAGATCCTAAAATCTTAATATTTGAACAATCCTTAAAAGATGGGATAACATAAAAAAAGCAACAAATCTTCAACACAACGTTAGATCTAAACTTCTTAGAGTAATTCCAACCATGATAAGTCAACAACAAACAGTTCCTAAGCCTACATGATTACTGGAAAGAAGAAGGACCATAAGGGGCTAATTGTACAATTCATCGGGAGTCTAAACTACATCATAGTGAGAGGGCATCAGTCAACATGCAGGATGGAGTTACGCAATTTGAATATGGCTAGAATTACTGTTAAGCAGACATAGAGTGAAATACTATACTAGTAGATGTAGATGGGTTTAAAGTAAATCTTGTGAGGTTTACCTGATTTGCAGTGGTTTCAACCACAAGTTTCTTCAACTCTTTGTCTAGAGCCAGCCACTGCCAAGAAAGATCAAAGAAGTAGGTGAACATACTGAATTTTGACTGAAGCATCTTGTCAAATGACATGAAACAAATGTTGGAAAAATCAACAACATGCAAAACTTACCACCCATCCAGAACCCTGCAAAGCAGCGCCTTCTGCATTGATTTTTTGCACTAATGCTTCCATAGAACCAAAATTTGTGTCAATAGCCCAGCCCAGGGAACCATGAGGGGGCTCACCACCTCCATGCTGCCGTGAACAAATCATTGCGGTATTAGGCAGATGAAGGCTTAAAAACAGGCTTGTAAGACAGATAGATGGAAATATGAACTTACACTAACAGGAGTCAGATTCTTCCAGAAAATCGAGTGGTTGACATGACCTGCAAGAATCAAAGTAATGGGATGACCAAATAATTCTATCTTAAAATAATGAATGAATTTGGGAATGGAAACAAGCAAAATAATGTAAAATGAGAAGTATTGCTTGCTTCTTGTTAAGATTAGATTGTCTTCGAGTTGACACCCACAAATATTTAAAAAATACAAATAAACCATAGATTCCATAGCAGCTATTATCACCAAGCTAACACAACAGTACCTAATTGAACTGTTACTTCCCATATCAATTTACTTCAACACTCATTTTTAATGCAGAAGCAAGTTATAAGTCGCAATTTCATCATATTCACAAGCAAAGAGAGTTCAATCATTTCCATTTTCCAGTGGGACTTTGAGAAAACTAAAATTGAATACATATTCCTAATCTTCAAAGAAAACGAATGCAGCAAAATAATTACTAAAATTAACACATAGATTATGATAGAGAGATGAGAGACCTCCGCCATTGAACTTGATGGCGCTCTGCAATTTAACAACAGCAGCAGCATCACCCTTGGCGATGGCGTCGTGGAGCTGCTCAAGGGCTTTGTTGTAGTTGGTGACGTAAGTCTGGTGGTGCTTCTGGTGATGGAGCTGCATGATCTCGCCACTAATTGCAGGCTCGAGAGCGCCATAGTCGTACGGAAGGTCGGGAAGCGAGAAGGTCTGAAAGCCACGAGAATGAGCTGCAGAACCTACGGCGAGGATTTTGGCTTCGCTCTGAAACCCTAATCCAAGGGATTTCCTGGCCACGAGAGCTCGAAGAGCCATCGAAGTGTGTTGCTGGAGGAGAGGTACAGAGAGGACGAGAAAGGAGAGGGTAGAGAGAGAGTGAGAGAAGACTTGAGTGAGGTGAGAGCGTGCGTTTATGATATATATCGTAGGTGCGAATCTGGGTGCGGTCCTGGGAAAAACGACCCGTGTGCCCAGATACTTTGGGCTATCATTTTTGCTGGGCTTAACCAATTATAATCTAACAACTGTAGCCCATGTGATTTTAGTGGGGTTATGTTATGGACACCAGAAAATTTTCAGTAGACACCCAGCCCCTGAATTTTAGCTCTCGTTTCATTGTCGTCTCTATCTTTTAACAAAAGCATCACGGTCTCTATCTATTAAACAGAGTTTCATGTTTGGTTGTTAAGAAAATGGAGAAGGAAGGAATGAGGAGGGTTTTTTGAAATTCGTTTCGTGATAATAACTCAGCTAATGTTTTGGTTTCGGTTTATTTCTTTCACGAAAACGATATAGCAAAGAGATTATTGAAGTTTAAAAACTCATTTGGAAACTCCAGTAACCTCATATTCAAATATTCTTTTCAATTTTTTGGATTAATTGGTGATTTTGTATCCATTTTCTTAACAAGAAATTATTGGGAAAGAAAAGCAATGAACACATTGAACCTTTAGCCATCTTGCTTTGTTATTTTTAGTTCTTTTTTCTATTCATATTTTTCATTGGGATGAGTAACAATCGTCTGCATTATGTTTTTGAATCTTTTCACGAAAGTATAACATTATATGGTTCGTCTGTGACATGTTTGATGTTGTGATTGGTTTTAGGGGAGAAAGAAGATTTGTGAAGAAAATAATGCAAGTATGGTACTGGAGGAAGAACTTCAACACTAGGCAAAAAAGCTAGAGAAGTTGCAAAAGAATTTATGAATTAAGGATTTGGAAGTTCGAAACACTAGTAATTGTGCCAACAAGTATATGCATAATGCATATCTACCATCGAAGTGAGAATAAAACGTTCATGGATCAACAATACATCCATATCAATGGATCAGGAATTACAAGCCGAAATAATACCACCAGAAAGTCCTGGAGGAGTACCTCAACAAAATGATTAACAATTATGCTAATGGGAGTTTTTTTTTATAAAAAAAATTCTTTTTTATTTCAAAGGTCTTGAATATATATCTAATCATGTGCAAATGGTGAGTTTTAGTATAATACAATTATGTTGATTTGGACATACTAAAATTCACTAAATGAGATAAGTTTTATTCATGAGTATTCCATCTTCTACCTTCAATTTGGTTAAAAAGGAAGTGACGATAGGGGGGGATTATGTGTGGGAAATCTACTTTTCAGTTGTGATTTCAATTTCTTGCTTGGTATTATTTGCATCTCTTATTGGAAATATGCATATTGGTGTTATGAATACGTTTATTTCATAGCTCTTAGTTCCCATGCTGCTAAATCTTCATCTAAATGCATTGTTGTTGGATAATACTCAGAAACTAGAGACTTCTTTGACAAGAATGTTTAAGTCCTTTGGGACATCACATGATGAACTGTGTTTTGTTGTGGAACATACATTTTTGCATTAAAAAACTGCAAGATTGGAGGAAATGAGATTGAAGGGGCAAGATATAGAATTGTGGATGGCTTTCCATTCCCTTCCTTGGAAGATTAAGAAGCGGATACGGCAATATGAGAAATACAAATGGCAAGAAACCAGAGGCATCAGATGCGGAGAATTTTCTGCACAATCTTCCCAGGAGGGATACAAAACACACTGTTTAAAAAGAATTTCATTCCTCAAATTCAAAACGGCATCGTTTCATTTTGGGATTATCCAAAAAAAAGAAAAAAAAAGCAAGCCTAGGGCACAGTAGTCATCTTCTTCACAAGAACTGCACCTCAGGAAACCTCAGTTGCAGATGCAAGAGATTTTCCGAGGAGAGGAGGTGTAGCTGCACCTCCTTGAGCCTTAATAGGTCAGCTAGTAACAACTTTGGTTTGCACCAATGGTAACTAAGGGCAGCTTGTGTTTCGCAAATAGCATGGCGCTGCCATAAAAGAGAGGAGCTTCAAAAGTCTCCCAGGTTGGCTAAAGAGCGTAGTCTTTCTGCCACTGATCACCATGCTATCTCAGAAACACAGCATAAGTAGGTATGGCTGATAAACTGTTAAAGCATTGATGTAATTCAAGCAATGTTGGAAAAATCGCCCAAGGCGAAGGACACTTCTGACCAAAGTTAATGTTTTAAAAGGTAAGGCGTAGAGACAAAGTGTTTTTATTTGCGCTCTGCGAGGCGTAAGTATTTTGAACATTAATTTATTTTAATTAAAAAAAATTGATAAATAATACAATACACAATTAAATTTTACTACTAATTATTATTGAACCCTAATAATGTATTAAGTATAATCAAATATAAGTACTAATGGTCTCATTCATGCATAATAATCAATCCCTAAATCTAAAAGACAACATCAAAACAAAACACAATTCAGTTCATATATTAGGGTGATACTATGCATAAATAAATAAATAAATCATATATATATCCATATTAATATATTAATTTATGAAGAAAAAAAAAGCATGTTGTTTGTTAAAAACAAAAAAATCATGATTTTAAAATAATAAAAAGGGCACGCTGAACGTCAGTTTCTTCAAGTAACCTGAGTGCTAGACGAGAGTTTCATTAACTATGAAACGAAGTCGTTTCATTACCAACGAACCCTAAAAAAAACACACGTGGTCATCTTCTTCCTCTCGCAGCCGCTTGCAGAACAGCGGCCCTTCGTCCGCCTCGCCACACGTTGCCATGGCCTCTCCACGCCTCGCGGTACTAAACGTGCAACCTGCTAAATAGATGAACGCTTCGGCGATTTCCTTCCGCCTGGCTCCGACGCGAGCTCCGACACGCGCTTGGTCACCTAACATGTTAAGCTAAGGCTTCAACATTGTTATCAAGGCATTTTGTTTCAGAGTGCCTGCTCATTTAACCAACCAGTGTTTGAAAAATCAGCCTAGGCTGCGCCTAGGCGCTGGCGGCCGCCCAGGAGCTAGGCGGCCGACCAGAGGGTTTTTATGGTAGCTCTTTTATTTCTCATGTTTTGATGGTTTTAGATTCACATGTTAAGCTATGGCTTCAACATTGTTATCAAGGAATTTTGTTTCAGACTACCTGCCCATTTAACTAGCCGGTGCTTGGAAAATCGGCCTAGGCGGCCTCCCAATGGGTTTTTATGGTGGCTCTTTTATTTCTCTTGTTTTGATGATTTTAGGTTCACATGTTAAGCTACGGCTTCAATATTGTTATCAATGCATTTTGTTTCAGACTGCCTGCTCATTTAACCAGTCAGTGTTCCAAAAATCGCTCTAGACTGCACCTAGGCGCTAGGCGCCGGCCTAGGCGGCCTGGGCTAGTCTGACTCAGAAAAATGAGATGATGATGATGCTATGAGTGTGAGAGAGAGAGATCAGGATTGAAGAAGGAGATAGGTCTCGGGTTATGTCTGAGCGAGAGAGAGGAGACAGCTCGGGTTAGACTTAGGGTTTGAGAAGGAAAATTGCATTCTTATGTAAAAGGAGAGATGGGCTTTCAACTAACACGTTATGTCACCGTCTTGAGCCAATGTTTTTTTCCCCCATGGGTATGGGTAATGAGTTCAAGAAAGGGCAAGGTGCAAAAAATGAGATCAAGAAACATGGGCTTCCTTTTGACATCTTGCGGCCAGCCTATACCTCGAAGAAGGAACACCTTCCAGTTGCAGCCAAAACGAAAGACAGACAAAAGAGCCCTCCTCCCTTATGCATGGCTGGTGGACGTTCCTGTTCCCGTTCCTGTTCCCGTTCCTGTTCCGGTAGTGAGTAAGCTTGCTTGGGATCATGCACCTCACTCGGAATAGCAATGAGTTTATAAGAGTAATCTGGGCAAGAGGAATCATCTCTTTTTTGCATCAACCATTATCTCATTTGCATCAACAGCTCCATAACTGCAGAATGTGATTGGCTAAATTGTTCATAAGTAAATAAATAAATCAAGCTACCTAATATTTTGAATGAAATTTGTTCTTTATTTCTTTCTTGGCAGGGAACGCGTCAGGGTGTAACATACTGCCGCTTGGTACGTGAGTATTGTGGTATTGAGGTGGATGTTGATAAGTTAGAGAATGCCTGTACTCTTTACTGGCACTATAGTACAGGTAAGGATTGAAGAAGGTGATGATAATGAGTGTGTGTATTATGTTATGCTAAGTTAATACTAGTTTCAGTTTTTTTCTTCTACATGATCTCAAAGGTCTAGATTTTCAGATTAATTTTTTCTTCAAGGCAATCTCAACTACCCAAATTTCCTATATATGTTTTTACATGACAACAAAAGAAAAGGCATGACGGCCTGTTCATTGGAGATTTAACTCATCTGATTAGTACTTTTGTACTTGTTTTGTGCTTTTCTTTTGCCTTATATGTTGTTTCCGCTATCCAAAAATAAGCAGTGTTGTTTTGCCTAATGGTGGTTGTTTAATTCAAGACGTGAAAAAATAGCTCATAAGACATTTTTCGCACTTCCATCACAAAACATGCTTGGCTGGGAAAATAGAGGTTCATCTGTATTGTTTACCTGTGCATGCATTGTAATATCTCCAATCTAATTGTCCTCTGTGTTCTTAAGTTCCTGATAAAATAGGGTTTTGGTCAATATGTCCTCCATTTGAGTAAACGGCCAAAGTGTTGATGTTAATCAAGATTCAAGACAGTAATGCATGTTCCATAGGGTGGGAGAACCTTGGTTGGTTCAATGTGTACGTCAGGATTGGATTGCTCCTCTGGGTATGAATATATCGAAATCACTTTCTTTTTTTTAAGTATTAGAAACTTTTTCTGATGATTGAAAAAAAAAAAAAGTATTTTTCAAAATTAGTATAATCTAGTAACAATTTCTTCAACTTGGGCTCGATTAATCGATGTTATGGACAGTGAGGGTATGCATTTAACTTATTCTGTATTCAGTCAGGTTCAAGATTATTTGGTTTTATTGGTGCTGGTGCCACACTTGGACAGCTTTTTGGGGGTCATTGTTCGCCATGTATGTTTGCTTATTCAGTCTTTTGGAATTTGATATTTGCTCTGTGTGTGTGTGTGTGTGTGTGGTGTTTGTTGTTCTTAGGATGAGCTTTTGTTATATAGTTGTTGTTTTGTCTAGTTTTTAAAGTAATTAACATGAGATATGCTGTGCAGAATGTTTGCTTAGGCTTACTGAAAGTGTATACTGCCTAGCTTGTTGCATGTTTGCAGCTGTTGTTAAGTTGATCACCTTTCAGCTTTCCTGCTGAAGGCAATTTATGGGTCCTATCAGTAAAGATAGAAAGCTAGTCTCATGCCAGGGATATGTTTCTATTTCTAGACATCTTAAGAAATATTAAAAATAACTTTTGGATTTTGGTAGTGTTTTTAGAATGAATGTTGCTCCGAAAGTGCTATCATGGGCATTTATCTATAATCACTTTTCCTGTGTTTTTTAATTTTATGGCACTTTCACAGTGGCGTTTTGTAACTTTTGTTGCATTCTTAACTTTGGTTGATATAGCTGTCGGGCCAACTTGGGCTGCTGTCGTAGTTTCTGAGACCCTCCGGAAAGTATGTATTCTCTAACTTCTGGGTTCCATTTTTGCCTTTTCACAGTTTCTGAGAAACATGATAATTGTATGTAATATGCATAGGTGAATCTTGTTTCCAAGCCTGGCAGAGAACTCTATTTACTGTTGTCTCACAGTACGAAAAATACAAAGCTAAATCACAAGCTTCTAAATTCTTTTTTACATAGAAAATCAAATGCATTTGGGTTTTTTTATTATAAAATAAGTTCATCTACGAAACTGTGTCACTTGATGCTTGCTTGCTGCTGTTGGTGTCTTAGTTTCCTCTATATGAGAAAGTGTTTTAATAACTTTGGTGCATGCATAATGCATTGGCGCGCTTGCTTTGCTACTATAGTACTATATAATTATAAAGTAAAACACCAAAAAAGATGTCTTCATGAGCTTTTGAACAAGTACCATTACAAGAATTGTTTTTTTTTTTTTTTTTTTATAAAAAAAATATTAAATATAAAAACCATATTAAAGTGTTAAAATATTATATAAAAATTAAAATAAAATAAACAAAATCTTTCATAAATAAAGGAACCCAGCATTTATTGAAATGCCCGCATTATCTGTTAAAATCCGATGAGTTTTTCTTTTTTGGAAACCATTAACTGATTCGGAGGATGGAATTTGTGTAGCAGTCAAGGAGGATCCCAAAGCTTCTGCAGTGCCATTATTGACAGAAGGTGATGATTTAACTGACGATGCAAACAGAACACCGGTTTTTGCCGACCGGCTATACTTGTAAAATATTCTATTTAGAGAGTATGGCCGCCCGGCTACACTGTTATAAAATTCTATTTGTAGGGTATAGCCGTGCGGCGATACTGTTAAAATAGCCGAACGGCGATACTTCTAAAATATTCTATTTCTAGAGTATAGCCGCCCGGCTGTGCGTTTAAAGTATTCTATTTAAACAGTATCGCCGCCCGGCTAGACTTTTAAAAATCTTCTTAGGGGGGTGTATTCAATTCTAACTTTTAATGACTTTTAATGAGTTTAAAAGTCTGAAGGTATTCAATTGTGACTTTTAAATAGTCTTTAAAAGTTTAGTTGTATTCAATTGTGAGTTTTAAAGAGTATTTAAAAGTTTTGAGGTATCCAAAATGTTAATGACTTTTAAAAACTTTGTTAAATAAATGACTTTTCAATACTTTTAAAGGTAATTCTTACTACCAAAAGTCTTGCTAATTTACACCAGACTTTATGAAAATATTGGGAAGCTGAGAAGATAGAACCAAAACTTCTCCAAACGTCTCCAATTCCTTCTTCCTTTGTTATATCAAGCATCATGCAGATGGATCTTTTTTCTTCATGGTTAGGGCTCCACTTTGGTATCCCATTGTCATCCACTTCCTTCAGGTTAGTAAAAAAATATTGAATGTTTTTCTTCTCTTCTCATCCACACGTTTCTGTTGATGAATATCTCTTCTCATCCACTTCCTTCAGCTATGTTTGCATATAAATATTTTATTATATTGATTGTCTCATATGCTATGTTTGCATACAATATTTTATTATATAATTTTTTGCCCCTAAACCCATTAATTCTTTAGGTGCTGTTTCTTTACCCATAATTCGTTAGGTGGATAATTTTTTCATATAATGTTCTCAATTTGATTACATCCCACATATTAGGTTAGGAGAATTGCTGGAATATAGACTCTTGTAATCTGACCATTTATGTTGATTTGTGAGTGTTTATGAAATATTATTGATGACTGAGTAATATTTATTATTTCTTTTGATAAGAATATGTTACTTGTCTATGTGATTAGATTTGATAAATAAAATTTTAAAGGTGCATTGGAATTTTCAAAAGGAATGCCATGCAAGATAATAATGGAACTCAACGGTATTGAGCATTGGAATTTTCAAAAGAAATTTGTATTATGGTTTATTCACCGTCATTGAAATGAATCATGGCTAAGCTTTTTTAAAAACTGAATCATGGCTAGTTGAATGCCAATTATTTCCTTATGGTACATTTTCAAATGTACTTTGTCATTTTTATCATTTTCTAATGTTAAGGAGAACTATTCTTTGCTTTTATGTAATTGTATCCAATTGTTTTTTTTCCCTAATTTTTTGTTCAATATATGCTGACTAGTTCATTCAACATAAAAGATAAATGCTATTTGTAAAATAAATATAAAAATAAGTATTTAAAAGTCTATAAAACTCTATGACAAAAAGTATATGAAAGTTTGTCACTTTAACTTTATAAAGTATGTAAAAGTCATTAAGAATTTGTCTACTTTAGAAAAGTCATTCACTTAAAAAAAGTATTTAAAAGTTAGAATTGGATACACCCCCCTTAAGGTATTCAATTAAAATTTTAAAAGAGTTAAATGGAGTTAATTTTCCTGAAAAAAGGCTTGAATCGGTGATCTTATAATTTTATTGAATGAATTGAAGGGTCTTGAGGTAGTTTGCATTGTGAGGGAATTTCAAGGACGGGAAGAGGTGGTTGCTGCTGCGGAGGGAGGAGGTCAGAGGTCAGGGAAGGGGAAGAAGGATAAACCCCACGACTAGTAAGGTATTAAAGCTAGCGGCGATCAAATCCTGTCCACGACTATCAAATTGTATGCATGGGTCGTAGACGTTCTGGTTTCCATTCACGTTCCGGAAGTGAGTAAACTCAGAATTTTGTTTTGTTTATTATGCTTATCTTTGTATTGTGCCTGCATTGTAATTTCTCCAATCTAATTATCTACAGCACTAGTAATTAGGCGGGGATCATTCTGTCTTTTTATTAATTTAAAATTCCCTCCTCATGCAATCCTTTTATTAATTTGGTGAAATTTCGTCGCATTCCCTTCTCCCCTGCTTATTTTTTACATTGCTTTTATCTTTATTGGCAGAATCCAGTTCCTCCGCCAGAAGTTCAAAAGGTAAGTAAAAGCATAGATGGCTCCTTTCTAATTTAGTTCACATTAGTTTGTTATCTTCTTTTAGTTTCTGTATACAACAGTCTCGTCTGGTCACATTTTTTTTTTTTTTTTTTTTTTTTTTTTTTATAGAGCTAGCTAGAGCCTGGAAGGAATTATAAAGAGTTTTTTTTTTTTTTTTTTTTTTTTTTTTTTTAATCCCCCCCTCTTCAGTTACTTAACTTGTTCACTAATTCTTTGTGAATAAATAAAATGTGGAGGATTTCTATCGCATTGGTTTCATGCAACTTCATTTTTTCTCTTCATTGGTGCATTCTTTGCAAGTCATGCTTAGAATCGGGGGATCACCTTTTTATGCATTGTAGGGTGACTTGCGCTTCTTTAGGGAGTTCGGTTGTTTCCAGGGATTACTCCTCTTGTCCATCCGAGAAACATTTCTTTCAAGGAATGTGAAGAAAGCCAAGGTTTTATAGTTTGGCTGTCATTTGGGTGGTATGGTTAGAAAGAAACAAAAAGATTTTTGAGAATCTGGCTCCTACGACCCTAATGAACTATGTGGAAAAGTTTGACGTTGCTCGTCACTGTGGGCTTCGACCTCAACGTAATTCAAAGATGTTGTCCTTTAGGAGCATCTGGTTGGACTGGATGGCAGCCATTTTCTAGTTTTGCTTTCAAAGTTTCCAAGGTGTTTTCTTTTGCTAGGCGCCTAGTCTTTGTTTGGTCTGTTTGTGTTTTCGTTTTTCACCTCCTCTTGTGGCCATCTTGGCACTTTGTATTTTATTGTAGTACTGCAATAAATCTTTATTTAATATCTATATCTATTCTCTTAGGTTATACTGCTCCTAAACAGGATGAGCTCGTGGAGAGATATCCCGGGGCTGTTAGGGTTGTTCGCCGCCCTCAACCTACTGATGGTGTTGCCTCTGAAAGGGAAGACATTGATGATGATCTCAAATTTCCGCATCCTCGTTGTGGGTGTTTTCTTAAGAATGCAATTGATGTACGCATCTTATAATTTTGAAAATAAAAAAGAAACATGAATTCATATGCTTGTTCAGAAGTAAAATAAATAAATCAAGCTACCTAATTAATATTTTGAATGAAATTTCTTTTGTTCTTTTGTTCTTTCTTGGCAGGCAACCCTTTTGAAGGGGAAAGATTCTTACTATAGTGAACACTACCGAAGCATGGTACTTGAGTATTGTGGTATTGAGGTGGATGTTGGCAAGTTAGATAATGGCTCTTTTGGCACTAGTCCAGGTAAGGATTGAAGAAGGTGATGATAATATATTATGCTATGTTAATACTAGTTTCAGTATTTTTCTTCAACACGATCACAAAAGAAAAGTCGCATGGTGGCCTTTTAATCGGAGGGGCTAACTCATCTGATTGCTACTTTTTGGGCTTGGTTCCATCGCAAAACATGCTTGGTTGGTTCATCTGTATTGAATCATCAGCCAGCTTAATAAGAAAGTCAAATTAATGAGGAAGTGAGTAAGCTTAGAATTTTGCTTTGTTTATTATGCTTACCTGTGCATGCATTGTAATTTCTCAAATCTAATTATCTCCAGTACTAATCAGGTGGGGATTATTATTCCTTTGTCTTCATATTTCTAGTAACCAATATTTTTGTTTTTTTTTTAAGGGGTTTGGTTTGCATAAATTATATGGATGAATCTGTGTGTACTGTGTTAGTTTGTTTAATTTCACCATCTTCTTCTCAACTCCATCTTCGTCCTGTCCCCTGTCTCCGTATATCTCTGTTCTTAAGTTCCTGAAAAAAACAATTTATACCCTTACTAATCCTAAGGCCTAAACCGTAAACCCTTGGCCTTATTTTCCTTATCTTTAACTAATTGTCTCCCAAAAGCCCTAACCCTGTATTCAATTTAAATTCCCTCCGCATTTGTCGCAACCCGTCCCATTCCTTCTCAGCTTATTTTTGACATTGACTCTCTTGCTTTTTTGTTTTAATTGGCAGAATCCAGTTCCTCCAGCAGAAGTTCAAAAGGCAAGTAAAAGCATAGATGGACTTTCTAATTTAATTCAAATTAGTTTGTTATCTTCTTTTAGTTTCTATATACAACAGTCTCGTCTGGTCACCAATTTTTTGGATACAGAGCTAGCTAGCCTGGAAGGAATTCTAAAGGGCGTACTTATTAACTTGTTTACTAATTCTTTGTGAAGAAATAAATTATGGAGGATTTCTATCGCATTGGTTTCATGCAACGTCATTTTTTCTCTTTAAAATTGTAGTGGTTTGGCTGATATAATATCTATTCTCTTAGGTTATACTGCCCAGGATGGGCTTGTGGAGAGATATGCCGGGGTTGCTAGGGTTGTTCGCCGCCCTCTACCTACTGATGATGTTGCCTCTGAAAGCGCAGACGTTGATGATGATCTCAAATTTCCGCATCCTCGTTGTGGGCGTTTTCTTAAGAATGCAATTGATGTACGCATCTTATAATTTTGAAAATAAAAAAGAAACATGAATTCATATGCTTGTTCGAAGTGAAAAAAATAAATCAAGCTACCTAATTAATATTTTGAATGAAATTTCTGTTGTTCTTTTGTTCTTTCTTGGCAGGCAACCCTTTTCCAGGGGAAAGATTCTTACCATAGTGAATACTACCGAAGCATGGTACTTGAGTATTGTGGTATTGAGGTGGATGTTGGCAAGTTAGATAATGGCTCTATTGGCACTAGTCCAGGTAAGGATTGAAGAACGTGATGATAATATATTATGCAAAGTTAATATTGGTTTCAGTATTTTTCTTCAACACAATCTCAACAGCCCAGGTTTTTTTTTCTTTTCGTATTAATCTTTTCAAGGCAATCTCAACTACCCATAGTTGCTATTTTTTTAAATGATAACAAAAGAAAAGGCGCATGGTGGCCTGTTAATCGGAGGGGTTAACTCATCTGATTGCTACTTTTTGGGCTTGGTTCCATCACAAAACATGCTTGAATCATCAGCCAGCTTAATAAGAAAGTCAAATTAATGAGGAAGTGAGTAAGCTTAGAATTTTGTTTTGTTTATTATGCTTACCTGTGCATGCATTGTAATTTCTTAAATCTAATTATCTCCAGTACTAATCAGGCGGGGATTATTATTCCTTTTTCTAATTATCTAATTTCTTCAATCTAATTATCTCCAGTAACCAATATTTTTGTTTTTTTGTTTTTTGTTTTTAAAGGGGTTTGGTTTGCATAAATTATATGGATGAATCTGTGTGTACTGTGTTAGTTTGTTTAATTTCACCATCTTCTTCTCAACTCCATCTTCATCCTGCCCCCTCTCTCTGTATATCTCTGTTCTTAAGTTCCTGATAAAAACAATTTATACCCTTACTAATCCTAAGCCCTAAACCGTAAACCCATGGCCTTATTTTCCTTATCTTTAACTAATTGAGTCCCAAAAGCCCTAACCCTGTATTCAATTTAAATTCCCTCCGCATTTGTCGCAACCCGTCCCATTCCTTCCTTCTCAGCTTATTTTTGACATTGACTCTGTTGCTTTTTTGTTTCAATTGGCAGAATCCAGTTCCTCCAGCAGAAGTTCAAAAGGCAAGTACAAGCATAGATGGACTTTCTAATTTAATTCAAATTAGTTTGTTATCTTCTTTTAGTTTCTATATACAACATTCTCGTCTGGTCACCAATTGTTTGGATACAGAGCTAGCTAGCCTGGAAGGAATTATAAAGGCCCTACTTATTAACTTGTTTACTAATTCTTTGTGAAGAAATAAATTATGGAGGATTTCTATCGCATTCATGCAACGTCATTTTTTCTCTGTAAAATTGTAGTGGTTTGGCTGATATAATATCTATTCTCTTAGGTTATACTGCCCAGGATGGGCTTGTGGAGAGATATCCCAGGGTTGCTAGGGTTGTTCGCCGCCCTCTACCTACTGATGATGTTGCCTCTGAAAGGGCAGACGTTGATGATGATCTCAAATTTCCGCATCCTCGTTGTGGGCGTTTTCTTAAGAATGCAATTGATGTACGCATCTTATAATTTTGAAAATAAAAAAGAAACATGAATTCATATGCTTGTTCAGAAGTAAAAAAAATAAATCAAGCTACCTAATTAATATTTTGAATGAAATTTCTTTTGTTCTTTTGTTCTTTCTTGGCAGGCAACCCTTTTGAAGGGGAAAGATTCTTACCATAGTGAACACTACCGAAGCATGGTACTTGAGTATTGTGGTATTGAGGTGGATGTTGGCAAGTTAGATAATGGCTCTATTGGCACTAGTCCAGGTAAGGATTGAAGAAGAAGATGATAATATATTATGCTAAGTTAATATTAGTTTCAGTATTTTTCTTCAACACAAACTCAGCAGCCCCGGTTTTTTTTTTCTTTTCATATTAATCTTTTCAAGGCAATCTCAACTACCCATAGTTGCTATTTTTTTAAATGACAACAAAAGAAAAGGCGCATGGTGGAAGGTGATGATAATATATTATGCTAAGTTAATATTAGTTTCAGTATTTTTCTTCAACACAATCTCAACGGCCCAGGTTTTTATTTTTTTTTTGTCTTTTCATATTAATCTTTTCAAGACAATCTCAACTACCCATAGTTGCTATTTTTTTAAATGACAACAAAAGAAAAGGCGCATGGTGGCCTGTTAATTGGAGGGGTTAACTCATCTGTTTGCTACTTTTTGGGCTTGGTTCCATCACAAAACATGCTTGAATCATCAGCCAGCTTAATAAGAAAGTCAAATTAATGAGGAAGTGAGTAAGGTTAGAATTTTGTTTTGTTTATTATGCTTACCTGTTCATGCATTGTAATTTCTTCAATCTAATTATCTCCAGTACTAATCAGGCGGGGATTATTATTCCTTTTTCTTAATCTTTCTAGTAACCAATATTTTTGTTTTTTTGTTTTTTGTTTTTAAAGGGGTTTGGTTTGCATAAATTATATGGATGAATCTGTGTGTACTGTGTTAGTTTGTTTAATTTCACCATCTTCTCAACTCCATCTTCGTCCTGTCCCCTCTCTCTGTATATCTCTGTTCTTAAGTTCCTGAAAAAAACAATTTATACCCTTACTAATCCTAAGGCCTAAACCGTAAACCCATGGCCTTATTTTCCTTATCTTTAACTAATTGTCTCCCAAAAGCCCTAACCCTGTATTCAATTTAAATTCCCTCCGCATTTGTCACAACCCGTCCCATTCCTTCCTTCTCAGCCTATTTTTGACATTGACTCTGTTGCTTTTTTGTTTTAATTGGCAGAATCCAGTTCCTCCAGCAGAAGTTCAAAAGGCAAGTAAAAGCATAGATGGACTTTCTAATTTAATTCAAATTAGTTTGTTATCTTCTTTTAGTTTCTATATACAACAGTCTCGTCTGGTCACCAATTTTTTGGATACAGAGCTAGCTAGCCTGGAAGGAATTATAAAGGCCCTACTTATTAACTTGTTTTCTAATTCTTTGTGAAGAAATAAATTATGGAGGATTTCTATCGCATTGGTTTCATGCAACGTCATTTTTTCTGTGTAAAATTGTAGTGGTTTGGCTGATATAATATCTATTCTCTTAGGTTATACTGCCCAGGATGGGCTTGTGGAGAGATATGCCGGGGTTGCTAGGGTTGTTCGCCGCCCTCTACCTGCTGATGATGTTGCCTCTGAAAGCGCAGACGTTGATGATGATCTCAAATTTCCGCATCCTCGTTGTGGGCGTTTTCTTAAGACTGCAATTGAGGTACACATCATACAATTTTCAAAATAAAAAAGAAACATGAATGCATGTGCTTGTCGCATTGCTATTTATGCTCAAATAGGATGCAAATATATTTTATGCACACTACCTTTTCACCATATCTAAAAGTAAAGGTTTCCTTGAACAATTTATATGTTTATTACGTAGACAAGAAATAGCATGCACTCAATTTAAGATTTCATCTTTTTGTCTCATCTCTATGTCAAACTGATCATGCACCTCGCTCGGAATAGCAAGGACTTCATCAGAGTAATCTGGGCTGGAGGAATCATCTCTTTTTACATCAACCGTTATCTCATTTACGTTAACTGCTCCATAACTGCAGTGGCTAAATTGTTCATAAGTCAAGCCACCTAATTAATATTTTGAATGAAATTTCTTTTGTTTCTTATGTTATTTCTTGGCAGACAACACTTTTGAGGGGGAAAGATTGTGGCTCCAGTGTACACTACCAAAGCATGGTACGTTATTATTGTGGTATTGAGGTGGATGTTGGCAAGTTAGAGAATGGCTCTATTGGCACTAGTCCGGGTAAAGATTGAAGAAGAAGATGATAATGAGTGTGTGATGTATTATGTTATATTAATTAAGTTAATAATACAAGTTCATTCCAATGACGAGATTCTTGGCTCATCATCGACTAATCTTGAGCTTGCTATTGGGCATGTTTAAAGCATACTATTATTATTATTATGGGAGTTTCACTCAAACACCCAAAATGGGGGCTTATTATTGAGCTCTCAAGCGCGGGAGGTGCTTGGTATGTTCTAAAACTATAAGGGCTTCCGTTACGAATTTATATGTTTATTATTACACAAGAATAAACGTGCACTGAATGTAATATCCTATATATCTTTTCCTCTCATATCTGTCGCAAGTTGATCATTAATTAAATTAACTATGTATCTATCTATGCATGATCTTGATTAGGAATTCAATTTTGCAGGCAACCCAAACCATGAAATCATCAACGGTAGGGGGTTAAATAAAATTTTAACACCTCACTCAGAATAGCAATGGTTAACATGTAGAGTCTCACTGTGGGAATGAAGAACTGATCGAGTGTCTCACTTATCCGATCTCCGGCTTTCTTAGTTGGAGAGAGGATGCGTTGTATTGAACTTTTTATTAGAGCTTTCTCGTCTCCCCTCATCAACTTCTGATCATGCGATCGTGAAAAATTACACCAATTTTGCGAGAAACAATTGTGTTCTTGTGTTGCTGAGATACCGAACTTACGCATATAAGATACTCCTAGTCGTAGTCGTTAAAATGTAAATCTAAATCGCATTAAGTTCTTTTCTGCTTATACATACTTTCATTGTAATTGAGTGAAAGTTGCATAAAAGATTTCCAGTCTATGATATTACAAGACATGGGCTGAAATGCCTAATCATTAAGTAGTTGTTCACCAGACAGCAAACAGAACAAGAAGGAAAATACAAATATCCTGGAAAAGCATTATATCCACAGACAATACTCCCTTTAAGTCAAGTCAGGTAACATTGATAGAGAGGCTGATTTATACAAACTTCGAATGAAGAGAGGATGATGACAATACATATATATAGCCAAAATCCATCTAAGATGGCCCAAATATACAAAAACCCAAATCACAAACTTAATATAGTAATGCAATTCAGCAAAGGGATTGGAGAATATAGGAGAAACAGGGCAACAGCTGAGATAGGCTTACAATTTACAAAGAAGAAGCAAGATGAGGAGTGGAGCAAAGCTGACATATCGTGCGGGTGCCTGCCCCCTCCTATAGCTGACTACATATGATCCTCATCATCAGTCTCTTAATTATAAATAAACTCTTGCAACTAATAGGACACAATATTTCTAATCACTCACAAGATAATAAGATTTACAAAACATCGATAAGATAGATCCATCATCACCATCAAAATTTAAAATCGCAATACCAAGGCTCTGATAGCAAATCGATCAGTTATTATAATCCTCATAATATGGTTTAAAAGCTTACTGAAATTTTCAAACTCAGAATCACAAGGGTATTGAACGACTACAAGCTGACTAATCGGTACTGATTACTTGATTAGAAAACAAAACATGGGGATCGAGTGAGAGACGACGTCGATTGATGGTGGATAGTGGCAAAACTAGTTGGATCTCTGTCTCATGCGCTTCTTCTTCCACTGCCCACGCCACAAAACAAGAAGAAACAAATCAATAAACGAACAGATAACAAAGAATAAAAGAAAGCGTAAGGCATTCATCCACAACTCAACTTTAAAATACAAACTATGGCCTATATGATCCTATAGAATGACTCTTGTAATTTTCATAAAGCTTGCGTGGTAGTATTGTAACAATGGCTTATTGTACCTTCAACGTCTCATGCTTTCCATGTAATCATACTTCAAATTTTGTACTATGACATTGAACCTTTAGCCATCTTGCTTTGTTATTTTTAGTTTTTTCTATTCATATTTTTCAGTGGGATGAGTAACAATTGTCTGCATTATGTTTTTGAATTCTTTTCACGAAAGTATAACGTTATATGGTTCGTTTGTGACTTGTTTGATGTTGTGATTGGTTTTCAGTCGAGAAAGAAGATTCGTGAAGAAAAGAATGCAAGTATGGTACTGGAGGAAGAACTTCAACACTTGGCAGAAAAGCTAGAGAAGTTGCAAAGGAATTTAGGAATTGGAAGTTCGAAACACTAGTAATTTTGATAAAGAAACGTATCTTCTTGTGCCAACAAGTATATGCATAATGCATATCTACCACAAAAGTGAGACTAAAACGTTCATGGATCAACAATACATCCATATCAATGGAGCAGGAATTACAAGCCGAAATAATATCACCAGAAAGTCCTGGAGAGTACCTCAACAAAATGATTAACAATTATGCTGATGGGAGTGTTTTTTTTTAATTTTTTTATATTTATTTTATAAAATCTTTTTTATTTCAAAGGTATTGAATATAATACAATTATAAACGGTGAGTTTTAGTATAATACAATTATGTTGAGTATTCCATCTTCTACCTTCAATTTGGTTAAAAAGGAAATGACGATAGAGGTGAATGACTTTCCATGTTGGGGGGATTATGTGTGGGAAATCTACCTTTCAGTTGTGATTTCAATTTCTTGCTTGGTATTATTTGCATCTCTTATTGGAAATATGCAGGTTGGTGTTATGAATACGTTTATTTCAGAGCTCTCAGTTCCCCTGCTGCTAAATCTTATATCCATTCATCTAAATGCATTGTTGTTGGATAATACTCAGAAACTAGAGACTTCTTTGACAAGAATGTTTTAAGTCCTTTGGGACATCACATGATGAACTGTGTTTTGTTGTGGAACAGACATATTTGCAGTAAAAAACTGCAAGATTGGAGGAAATGAGATTGAAGGGGCAAGATATAGAATCGTGGATGGCTTTCCATTCCCTTCCTCGGAAGATTAAGAAGCGGATACAGCAATATGAGAAATACAAATGGCAAGAAACCAGAGGCGTCAGATGCAGAGAATTTTTTGCACAATCTTCCCAGGAGGGATACAAAACAAACCGTTTAAAATGAAACGGCATCGTTTGGTTTCAAGCCACAAAACACACCGTTTCATTAAAAGGATTTCATTCCCCAAATTCAAAACAGCGTCGTTTCATTTTGGAATTATAAAATAAAAAATAAAAAAACTAGGGCACAGTAGTCATCTTCTTCACTAGAACTGCGCCTCAGTTGCAGCTGCGAGAAATTTTCCGGCAAGGGAGGTGCACTGCACCTCCTTGAGCCTTAATAGTTCCGCCAGTAACAGCTTTGGTTTGCAGCAATGGGAACTAAGGGTAGCTTGTGTTTTGCAAACAGCATGGCGCCGCTATAAAAGAGAGAAGCTTCAAAAGTCTCCCAGGTTGGCTAAAGATGGTAATCTTTCTGCCACTGATCACCATGTTGTCTTAGAAACACAGCAGAAGTAGGTATGGCTAATAAACTGTTAAAGCATTGATGTAATTCAGGCAGTGTTCGAAAAATCGGCCTAGGCGGCACCTAGGCGCTATGCGGCCGCCTAGGCAGAGGGTTTTTATGGTGGCTCTTTTAATTCTCATGTTTTGATGATTTTAGATTCACATGTTAAGCTATGGCTTCAACATTTCTATCAAGGCATTTTGTTTCACAGTGTCTGCTCATTTAACCAGCCAGTGTTTGAAAAATCGGTCTAGGCGGCCGCCTAGAGGGTTTTTATGGTGGCTCTTTTATTTCTCCTGTTGTGATGATTTTAGATTCACGTGTTAAGCTACGGCTTCAACATTGTTATCAAGGCATTTTGTTTCAGACTGCCTGCCCATTTAACCAATAAGTGTTCCAAAAATCGGCCTAGACGGCGCCTAAGCGCTGGGAGCCCGCCCAGGCCGCCTGGGCATGTCTGGGCGGGTCTGACTCAGAAAAATGAGATGATGATAATGCTATGAGCGAGAAAGAGAGAGAGAGATGAGGACTGATGAAGAAGATAGGTCACGAGTTATGTCTGAGCGAGAGAGAGGAGGCAGCTCGTGCTAGACTTAGGGTTTGAGAAGGAAAATTGCATTTTTATGTAAAAGGAGAGATGGGCTTTCAATTAGGCCTTCTTTTCTAAATAAATAAATAAAATCTATCTTCTACCTTCAACTTATACGTCATGTCACCGTCTTGAGCCAATGTTTTTTTTCCGTCATGGGTATGGGTAATGGGTTCAAGAAAGGGCAAGGCGCATAAAATGAGATCAAGAAACATGGGCTTCCTTTGGACATCTTGCGGCCAGCCTATACCTCGAAGAAGGAACCCCTTCCAGTTGCAGCCAAAACGAAAGACAGACAAAAGAGCCCTCCTCCCGTATGCATGGCTAGTGAATGTTCTCGTTCCCGTTCCCATTCCGGAAGTGAGTAAGCTTGCTTGGGATCATGCACCTCACTCGGAATAGCATTAAGTTAATAAGAGTAATCTGGGCAAGAGGAATCATCTCTTTTTGCATCAACCATTATCTCATTTGCATCAACTGCTCCATAACTGCAGAACGTGATTGGCTAAATTGTTCATAAGTAAATCAATCAATCAAGCTACCTAATATTTTGAATGAAATTTGTTCTTTATTTCTTTCTTGGCAGAGATCGTGTCAGGGGTAAAGATTCTGACACCAGTGTAACATACCGCCACTTGGTACGTGAGTATTGTTGTATTGAGGTGGATGTTGATAAGTTAAAGAATGCCTTTACTCTTTACTGGCACTAGTCCAGGTAAGGATTGAAGAAGGTGATGATAATGAGTGTGTGTATTATGTTATGCTAAGTTAATACTAGTTTCAGTTTTTTTCTTCAACATGATCTCAAAGGTCTCGATTTTTTTTTGTTCTTTTCAGATTAATTTTTTCAAGGCAATCTCAACTACCCAAATTTCCTATGTTTTTTACTGGAGGGTTTACTCATCTGATTAGTACTTTTTGGGCTTGTTTTGTGCTTTTATTTTGCCTTTTATGTTGTTTTCGCTATCCAAAAATAAGCAATGTTGTTTTGCCTGATAGTGGTTGTTTAATTCAAGACGTGAAAAAATAGCTCATAAGACATTTTTCGCACTTCCATCACAAAACATGCTTGGCTGCGAAAATAGAGGTTCATCTGTATTGTTCACCTATGCATGCATTGTAATTTCTCCAATCTAATTGTCCTCTGTATATCTCTGTTCTTAAGTTCCTGATAAAATAGGGTTTTGGTCAATACGTCCTCCACTTGAGTAAATGGCCGAAGTGTTGATGTTAATCAAGATTCGAGACAGTAGTGCATATTCCATAGGGTGGGAGAACCTTGGTTGGTTCAATGTCTATGTCAGGATTGGATTGCTCCTCTGGGTATGAATATATTGAAATCACTTTCTTTTTTTTTAAGTATTAGAAACTTTTTCTGATTATTGAAAAAAACAATGTATTTATCAAAATTTGTATAATCTAACAACAATTTCTTCAACTTGGGCTCGAGTAATCGATGTTATGGACAATGAGGTATGCATTTAACTTGTTCTGTATTCAGTCAGGTTCAAGATTATTTGGTTTTATTGGTGCTGTTGCTACACTTGGACAGCTTTTTGGGGTCATTGTTTGCCATGTATGTTTGCTTATTCAGTCTTTTGGAATTTGATATTTGCTGTGTGTGTGTGTGTGGTGTTTGTTGTTCTTAGGATGAGCTTTTGCTATATTATATAGTTGTTGTTTTCTCTAGTTTTTCAAGTAATTAACATGAGATATGCTATGCAGAATGTTTGCTTATGCTTACTGAAAGGGTATACTGCCTAGCTTGTTGCATGTTTGCAGCTGTTTTTAAGTTGATCACCTTTCAGCTTTCCTGCATGCTGAAGGCAATTTATGGGTCCTATCAGTAAAGAAAGAAAGCTAGTCTCAAGCCAGGGATATGTTTCTATTTCTAGACATCCTAAGAAATATTATATATAATTGAAGCAAATCAGGGAGCATTTTTAGAATGCTGAGTTGTTGGATTTTGCTAGTGTTTTTAGAATGAATGTTGCTCCGAAAGTGCTATCATGGGCATTTATCTATAATCACTTTTCCTGTGTTTTTTAATTTTATGGCACTTTCACAGTGGCATTTTCTAACTTTTGTTGCATTCTTAAATTTGGTTGATATAGCTGTCGGGCCAACTTGGGCGTCCCTCGCAGTTTCTGAGACCCTCCGGAAAGTTTGTATTCTCTCACAGTTATCTTGTAACTCAATTTAATCAAAGATGTCTGCGTGCTAGAAACATGATAATTTTATGTAATATGCATAGGTGCATCTTGTTTCCAGGCCTGGCAGAGAACTCCTATTTACTGTTGTCTCACGGGACAACAGTAAATAGGAGAATACATAAGTTCATCTACGAAACTGTGTCACTTGCTGCTTGCTGCTGTTGGTGTCTTAGTTTCCTCTATATGAGAAAGTGCTTTAATAACTTTGGTGCATGCATAATGCATTGATCCGCTTGCTTTGCTACTATAGTACTATATTATTGTAAAGTAAAACACCAAAAAAGATGTCTTCGCTGTAGCCCTTCCACTCAAGACAGGATCTCTTATTTGGTGTCTTATATTGCATTAATTGTGTCATGTTCAACTTTAAGCGGATCACCAAACTATTTGAAACGCTGTTCGCTAATTACATGATACTGCAGGTTTGCATTGATGTATTTGTTCAAAGACTTGGAGATGTGCTTGAGCAGCAGCAATGTACAAGCTAGCTTTCAGCACTACTAGTACTGTTAATGGGAGAGCTTTAACTCTGTCTCTTTACAGCCTGCCTGTATGTATGAAATCTCATCCCACTCCCACTCCAGTTTTCTTTCAGTTTTGCGTATAAAAACACAAATTTGGTTCCTACGAAGCTGTTGTTTTTGGCTTTACGAATTGTTGTCTCCCAAGTTTTGTTTGGCACTTGGATTTGTAAAGCATTTGCATATTTTTTTTTCTGACTATTTCTCTCCACCATCAAAGAATAATGAAGGTTTTTCTTTGATCTTTTCCGGGCCTGTTTGTTGTGGATAGTGATTGTGTTTCATTTAGGCCTGCCTGTATGTATGAAGCTCTAGACTGGACTCATTCCGCTTCCTAAATGTTTCCTCATCACATGTTTAGCTGTTTATATACTGTAAAGATGAATCATTCATGAGCTTTTGAACAAGTACCATTACAAGAAGTTGTGTTAGCTCTTTTGTTAGACATTACAGCAAGGGCAGATTGCCAATCAGTCTTTCGTATACGATGTCATACGAAACGCAAGTGCTTTTTAGCAAACGCATGAGTAAATTAACAAGCCACAGTCCTATTTTTGTTTTATTTATGCACTAAGCTAAATATTCTACGGTGGATGGAAAAAAGGATGAGCAAGAGCAAGCATGCTTGAAAGGCATCCAGCCTGCACCACCCATGGATCCCCTGTAACAACTCTATGTAGCACCGTGTTGATCTGGCTTGACATGGTTGATGGACAACGTTAGCCTCTCCGGCACACAACTTTCATCTTCTTTTTTTGTTTTTTTTTGTTTTTTGTTTATACACCCACCGTCGCGCAATTTTCTTTGTGGAGGTTTGGGCCTCAGTGACAGTAGAGAAAACTGATTACTGGGCTAGGCCTGCTTCGAAAATTTATCAACACCCTTTTCACAAACAGACACAAAAAGTAATTACCACGAATAAATAATTAATATTGGATAAGCAAAACAAACGGAAAGCAATGAATTTGCTTCTTTTAAAATTTTTCTCTCTCCTTTTGCTTTTTCCAAAATGTCCCATCTATAAATGAGGTAAACTAACAAGAAAACATATCGTACAAGAAAAGGAATAAAAATAACAAAAGTCATATAAAGAGGAATACACTGAATCATACAATAATAAAGAGAAATCTTAGTTAGATATGGGATTGCAACAATATGGGGGAGCTCTCTCTCGATCTCACCCTCTCTTGTCCTCACCAAATCGACAAAGACGGCTTAGGTGGCGGCGGTGTTGTCGTCGTCTTCGCTCTCTCTCTCTCGACCTCACCCTTCTCTCATGGCCTCACCTTTATCTCTCTGTCACCTCTCTACCCCCGTCTGATTCAATTGATTTCATGGTAAACATACTAGTTTTTAGGGTTTTATGAAATTTGTTGTATATCTTTATGCATTTTTTAGTTAGATTTGCTTAGTATATTGTAACATCCCGACCCAAAAATAAAATGAATTGTGAATTTAATTAATTTCAGGAATTTTTGAATTTACAATTTTGCCATCGGCGTAGGGGTATTTTGGTCAATTTTTTAATACGGAAGATTTTGGGCAGGGACTGGTATTTTTGCGTAAAAATTGTACCGAGATGAGTCTGTAGACAAAAAATGGGCTCGATTTGGAGTTGTAATGAATAAGTTACAATCAAAACAAGTTCAATGGCATAACCGTAATTTTTTCGAAGTTGTTTTTTATTAAATTTGAAAGGCTTAATTATGTACATGCCCCCTGTGCTTTCCAACTTATCTCAGATTACCACCTGTGGTGGAAAACGTCTCAAAGTACCCCCCAACGTGCAAAAAACTGTCTCACGTTACCCTTTCCGTCAGTTTTTTTGAAGTTCCGTTACGAATGTTACTGTTCATCTCCCCCAAAATTCCAGAACAGTAGCCCCTCCCCTTTGTTACTGTTCATCGCTTATTTACCCTCCAAAACTCAGAAATTTCTCCTAACCAACACAACTAGCAGCAAGAACAACTCGAGAGGTTGAAAAATCATACCTGGATCGAAGAAAATGGTGCTCGGAATCGCCCGAACGAGCAATGGAGATTTTGGGTAAAAACCGGCCAATTTCTTGCTTTTTTCGGTGATCCAGACGACGGTTGGCAGCGGCTGAGATGTGAGGGTGGTAGAGGACAACGTGCTGGTTCTTTTGATATCCATGTCGTCACTTGGGGTGGCCGGAGGAGGCGATGGCAGCCCAAAAACTGGTGCGATGAACAGTAACAAATGGGAGGAGCTGCTGTTCTGGAATTTTGGGGGAGATGAACAGTAACGTTCGTAACGGAACTTCAAAAAAACTGACGGAAAGGGTAACGTGAGACAGTTTTTTGCACGTTGGGGGGTACTTTGAGACGTTTTCCACCACATGTGGTAATCTGAGATAAGTTGGAAAGCACAGGGGGCATGTACATAATAAACCCTCTCATTTCTCTCTATCCCGTGAAACAGCCCCCCCCAGCCTTTGGTTGCGACGGCAGCAACTTCTCCAAGCCACCGTCGCCACCACACGCCGCCACTTGGGGCAACACAGGTCCCGTTAGAACTGCCTCACTTACCTCTTCGATTACCGACCGGTCCCAGCCTCGATCCGCAGTCTTCTTCGCCGGAAACCGCCCCGAAACAGACCGGATTTTTGACAGTTTTGACAGATTTTCTCAAGCTCGTTTCGGGTGATTCCGGCCACCATTTCCGACGATCTAGGTATGATTTTTCAACCTCTTGACGTGTTATAGCTGCTGGTTGTGTTAGTTTTGGGAAATTTCTGCCTTTAGCAAATCAAATAAGCGATGGAAGTTTGGCCGGTTTTTGGCCTCCGATTCCGGCCACTTCCGTCGACTTTTTGATGTAGGTCCAAGAATAAAAGTTGCCCCAGTCATCGTGCTCTTCGTATAGGTATAGGTCTTGACCGGCGATTTGGAGTTTTTCCGATCGCCGGAAATTGTTACGGACACACACGCGCTGCCAGCGCGTGGGGTGGCGCGTGGGCCACGTGGTGGCCTATCTTAGAGTCCTAAAATAACCCTCTTGTCGCCCCCGAGCACAACAGTATGCTCGGATTTAAATTTGGTTATCGTGTGATCGTCGATCGGATATCGCATATTAGGCGTTATTCGGGTTCGACTTGTTCGGACCGTTGGATTGACTCCAATTTAATATATGTTGATCTAAGCATTACTAGTATCGTGTAGGAATTCGCTGATCGTGAATCGGAGCCCTAGATGTTCCGATTCAACAACTTAAAGTTTGCGTTTCACGATAACCGTCCGATCGTACGATTGCGAGCGATCTGACCATTCGATTCAGACCAAACTTGCAGGACGTATATTCTAAACCTTGTAGAATTTATAGGAACTTCCGGATCGTAAATCGAAGATCGTGGGTCTCGCAGGCCCGATTGACAAAGTTTGGGTAGTTCAGCCCCTCGGTTGACCGTGAGTCTTCCGAGGTAGTTTCACCCTTCGAGGAGTACTAGAATGATCTTATTAACGAGTCTCGGCCATTATTTGAGTTATGTTGACTATGTTGGGATTTTGAGAGTTAGCCCCCTGGTTGGAAGGCTTGTACGAGTCTTTAGGATTCGGTTGTACGTGCTGGCTGAGAGTTAGTCTCCCAGTTGGACGGCTCGTTCCCTAGCCACATGGTTGTTGAGGATTCCTCCATGTGGTCTAGTCAAACGATCCCTGGATTGGATTGTTTTTCCCTGGTACATGATGATGGTGGGAGGTGGGTGTAATTATATTTATATACATTAAATACATACATATATATAGGGTTTGTTTTCGGGTCGAGATTCTTGAATTTGTGCTTTGTGATTACCCTGCACAAGTATGAATGTCGAAGTCCTGGATTGTGAAGTATTGTTCGACAACATACGCCTTGGATAGGGTATGGTTGCGCGGAAATAATTGATAAAAGAAAGGAACTCATAAAGTGTTCAGGGGTTGCCTTGTCGAATTTGATATGGTAAGGACTCTGAAGTTTTTCGTTGGTTTTATTTAGAAGAAAAAAATTGTATATTATCGGAGTTGTGACTGTTGATTTTAGAACTACGTGTGGCTTGATCCCTCGCAAAGGGGTACGTAGGTGGCTTGGGGTCTTACTTGGGTGCAGTCACGAAATAAACTATATTTAAAAGGTTTAACTGATTCTGTGTGTGAATGGATTTTGATGTGGTTATTGGATTTGAATCCTAATTATTACTATTGCTAGGTTTGATTTTGATTACTTTGGTGTATGAACATTGTTTTAATTGAATATACAATCTGTAGAATCTGTTTGGTAAGTATTTGGTTTCTGTAATTCATATTTTGAATGAAATTTCTTTCGTTCTTTCTTAGCAGGCAACGCTTTTGAGGGGGAAAGATTGTGGCTTTAGTGTACTACTAAAGCATACACCATGATTTTCCTTCATGCCGTTCCCGTTGGCATCTTCGTCCGACCCGGACCGGTCAGAGTCTTCTGACTTTCCAGGTGGGTTAGTTCTCTTTTTATCTCCCATCACGAGCTTATCTAACGTCACCTGCGTTTCGTCAATACGCTATTCAGCTTGTCAACGTGTTTCTCTTTGAAGTTGCAGCACTCGTGAAACTTCATCTTGTTGATAGTCGTCTCCATGATCTACCAAAGATTTGATGAAACCCTCCATGTTGATTAGTAGCTCACCGTTTGCTAAAACCACACCCACAGTTGTGGCTCCCTTCAGTAAGTTCGTCATTTTTGCATTTCCCGAGAGAGAGCCCACTGAATCTTCTTCATCAAGAAGGATTTTGACACGTTTGTGGTCATCAGGGCTTACCTTGATGACTACCTCCCCAAGAGCTAGTTTCTCACACACAAGGATGGTGTGCTTGAACAAAGTGGGTAGTTCGTTTAGAAAGTGTCGTGCGAATGCAGTAACGTGACTATACTTCATTTGTGAGAGAGTAAAGATAAGAGAGGAGGATAGAGTATAAAGAGGTGGAGGGAGTATTAAAGAGGGTGAGGGAAGGAGGAGGAGAAACGAGCTCACCCTCTTTAATATTCCCTCAACCTCTTTATACTCCATCCTCTTCTCTTATCTCCACTCTCTCACAAATGAAGCCTAGTCACGTTACTGCATTTGCACCACACTTTCTAAACGGACTACCCACGTCGTTCAAGCACACCATCCTTGTGTGTGAGAAACTAGCTCATAGGGAGGTAGTCATCAAGGTAAGCCCTGATGACCACAAACGTGTCAAAACCCTTCTTGATGAAGAAGATCTGGCGGGCTCTCTCTTGCGAAATGCAAAAATGATGACTTACTGAAGGGAGTCACAGCTGTGGGCGTGGTTTCAGCAAACGGTGAGCTACTAATCAACATGGAGGGTTTCATCAAATCTCTGGTAGACCATGGAGACGGCTATCAACAAAATGAAGTTTGACGAGTGCTGCAACTTCAAAGAGAAACACATTGACAAGCTGAAAGGTGCATTAATGAATGCAGGTGACGTTAGATAAGTTCGTGATGGGAGATAAAAAGGGAACTAACCCACCTGAAAAGTTTGAAAACTCTGACGGGTCTGGTCGGACGAAGACGCCAACGGGAACGGCATTGAAGGATGGATCCAGTTCGGCAAGGCAATGGCGGATTCTCGGGTCACAGTGTAAATGTGAGGCATTTTTTTCAAGGATACATATCCTATCCAATTATTTAAATAATAAGAATAACCTAAAAAAACACACACTAATACTATACCAACCCCAACCTACCCTAGAAATCCTATGTCTAGAAGAAGGGTTTATAGACACTTTTATTTTTTGAGAACCACTTATAGATAAGTTCATCACTAAAATTATAAGTTTTGTTAATGTTCACTGCCTAGGACATGTTCAGATTTTCGCTTCCAACCGATTTTGTTTTGTTTGATTTCAATAGAATTCAAGCCAAAACAGCAGATAAAACCCAACTGGTAGAGAAAGTGGATGTTTAGGTTAAACAGTATTGAGCAAATGATCATAGGGTTCAAATTTGAGACCACTAACTTTTTCAACTGGGCTAGACTGTTGACCTCTAGTACTTGTTTTGATGAGAAATATCTCACAGCTTCATAGAGAGAAATATCTTGCATCTAGTCACCAGGGCCGCCCTTCACCCAAAATCACCAAATCATTGTTTCCTCACCCAACATACCATTTCTAGCTTGGTGGATATGATACTCTCTATATTTGCTAGGTTGTGGTTTTAAATTGGATACTCACTCACGCCATGCTTCAGTGCTTAATTTGTTGTAGAGAGAGGCAGAGCCCACCCTCTCCCCTAAATGCAACACCCATGTTTTCAGACTCCCACTTGTTTATGCACTTTCCAAATAGTGTCTCCAACCGGGCCATGTATGTTTTTGGTGCACATTTTAATTGCTGCGTTTCAAACGAAGGGCTATACTTTTTGGTGTCTGTATGCATCTTAGATGAATTAAGTAAAGCAATCCCAAGAAGGGTTGGCTCCCACCATTCGAAGGTTGCAGCATCTCAAGTAGGCATTGAAAATCTCATCATGGATTAGATTCATTAACACTTGACACTAATTGATCCAATAGTAGCTACAGGTACAATGTTCGTTGGTTTTTTTTATTTTCTGGTAAAGTCGATTGACCAATGATTCCTTGTATTATTTTGGGTTGTATTCGAAGGTCAGTTGAATTCAATTACTTGAACCAAAATGTAGTTCATTTTTTTGATTTTGTGGTCTCTGGGGAAGAATACCATCATCGTCTTATGAAGAAAATTCAGCATTAATGACTCAAATGCAACTTCTCAAAATAATATATCTTAGTCCAGTATTTATAAAATCTTCTATCCTCTATGAATCTACTTGTGCAATTGATGCATATTAGAATTTCAATTCCTCAAAGTTGCTTGGTAGAGCAGGGTCAATTGGTCCCTCATTCTAAAACATTTCCACTAAGAATTAAAGCTCTTGCTGATTATATACATGGAAAAGGACTCAAGCTTGGAATTTATTAACATGCTGGCTAGGTTGAAATTTTTATGTATATCACTATTCCACAATGCTTGTGGCTTATAGTACTGTCATTTTAAGTTTTGAAATTGCCGACTCATTAATGGTTGGAAGTATTTTGTAGTGTTTGATAAATTAAATAGAAAGTGTTTTTAAATTTTTGATTCAAAAAAAACATTTAGTAGTGCCTAAAAATGTTGTTACTCAATTTGTACAAAATAAATAAGATTTTCACATAAATAAATCTACCAGTCTATTTTCCTTGCATGCCAACTATTTGAGATCTGACCTCAGTTCATTAATTGTGCAGCTTTTACTAATGTTTATTATTTATTATTATTATTATTTTAAAAATGCTCACAATTTATTTAACTATTATATAAATATGCACAACTCTCCATCAATCACACACTCTCTCTCTCTCTCTCCTCCCTCTCTCTCTCTCTCTCTCTCTCTCTCCTCTCTCTCTCTCTCTCTCTCATTTTTTATTATAAAAAATGAAAATTATGAAGACATTTGACAATTTCAGAAATTTTCCATTAAAAATTTGCTTTGTTAGGGTCTTGAGCAAGATTGTCTTCAAATAATTTTGATGTATGTTTGTTAAGGGTGGCAATTGCCGATATGACCCAAATGACGACTCAAAATCTGTATAGAAAATTGGGGGGGTCAGCCCGCATGACTAAAATTACAAGTCAAATTTGAGTCTACACACCATGACATGTTTAATAAATGGTGAATTTAGGCATAATGACCTACTTGCCAATTTTGGCACATGCTTGTGTCTTTTTTATTTAACAGGTGATGATTAAGTAGCTAGGTAGAGATCTTTCATGTGCATCAAGAGGATTAAATATGTTGGGTACATATATTTTATCAAAAAAAAAAAAAAAAAAAAAAAAAAAAAAAAAAAAATAAATTAATAATAATTGGGAATAATGTAATGTACAAGTTCCACATATTCTTTGCCTGATTTGTACAGAGAGGGGCTATATATATATATATATGTATATATATTTACTTGACAATTCTTGAAGTTGAACTAGTGTTTGATCGGGGTGTGTATGTGTATGAATATATGCATGTGTGTGTTCATAAGCTATGGACATCCACCAATTCGTTTTCGTAGTTCTTTGGCAAGCCTTCTAACTCTCTGTTTTCCCACTTTGATTGGATAGCGAGAATCTAAAAAAGAAAAAGAAGAAGAGAAAATTTTAACCATGACATATCTAGAAACTAAGGTAAATTACTCAAATTTGTATATGATTTACATTTTGGTCCATAAACTAAATTATTCGTTCAAATGGTCCACCAACTCTTTATTAATCGGCGCTTTGGTCCTCCATTAAATTTTTCTGTTAAATTTAGTCATATGAGCAGTACATGCTACATTTGTGGAGGTAAATAAGACTTTTGACCTACGTATAACCCATTTATCACCACTTTATCACATATTTGGGGAACATATAACAGTTATGGATAGTTTTACCCTTACATTTGACGGCAACATTAAAATAATGTAACAGTAGGATCAATAGAGTGATTAATATATAATTGATGGAACATTTGAACGAATAATTTAATTGAGGGACCAAAATGTAAATCGGGTATAAGTTTGAGGACCATTTGAGTAATTTACCCCTAAAAATAATAAACAACACCATGCTATCATGGGGAGCCTAGCCTTCACGCTTTCTTCAATTCCAATTCCTATTCCCAACTTATCAAGAGAGAAGCTATTTTGTCAATTATTTGAAAGAATATCGTATTTGATTAATTCAGTTGTTGAAATTAATACAATTGAGTTTTTCTTAAATTATATACCCTAGCTAGGCAGTCTTATAACTTTAGTAAAGAAAAGGCCAGACCCAGCCAGCCAGACCTGTTCAAATTAAATTGGAGACAGAAGAAGGGTGAAGAATTAATAATACACACCAACAAATATTGTCATTGCTCTAACAACTCTATTTATGCTGCTAATATTACTATTAATGTGTAAATCAACAAGGCTGAAAAAGCTTAGCCACCCATCACCCCTCACGCATGCAAATCTTTGTTTGACTTCCATACAGGGGCCTTTTGAGCAACATCATCAGTATCCACCCCCCCACTTCCATTTTCCACACCCATTAGAGGATCCGATTCGCCTTCCACAGCCTGAAACCAATTCGAAGGAAAAGAGAGGATTTCACATGTTAGTTTGTCATACAATGTTATTAAAAAAAAATGATTCGAATTTCTATAATGCAACTAGAGAAATTTAAAAAACTGGCTCAAACCTGCAATGGCTGCGTTGATTCTTCAGAAACCTTCTTTTGACTCTCGCGAGTGCAAAAATAAGAATATAAAACCATCCCAAAAAGTGCAACCAATATTCCTAGGATGTTCCTCCAGTCAAATGGATCATGAAGCAGAATGTAACCAAACGCCAGCACAAGGCATGTCTTCAGATGTCCAAGAACCTGATAGGTGACGGGAGATGTCTTTCCAATCACAAGAAATGTGCTAAAATTTACTGAGACGGAGATCAGGCAGGATATAATGATGAAAGCCTGCAACTCAGAAAGTGAATACATAATCAGTAATGCTTTCAAAGAAAAGCGGAAGAAGATATAATTGTTCAAAAATTATTTCAACTCTCACCAGAACTTGAGTAGTGTACTTGAAAGCAAATACATTTTGATTGGTCAAAAACCAATCCAGAAATGGGCCAGAGATTAATAAAGTTCCTGATTGATACGGACATGATTGATACAAAAGTTGTGTTGAAGAAACCTTATGCTTCTTCTGGATGGTATTCGTCATCTGAAATAAACTAGTTAAGATATCAAACAAAATTGGATTGGCTGAGACACCTATCATCAGACTATAATTTAATAACCATCCATGCACAGAAAAAAGAAAAAGCCCTTGACAAGGGCGTGTGTGTCAGCTCTTTGTAATGACAAGTATCCAGCACTATGAACTGCCAGACCAGAACACCAGAACAGCTTCTGACTCGTACATGCACTTATGCTTTACAGGACGGAAACAACTAATATAGGAACTTCCTTGTCAGTTATTTACCTAGCCTTTCCCACCAAACAGAAGGGTGCATTTCCATATAGAAAAGGAACATTTGTGCAACTTCTTTGCCTAATGCAGTCAACTATAGAAGTGTGTTCTCCATAAAAGACTATTAGAGTAAGGTTCAGAGAATATGTATCCATGACACTAGACAATATTATTTAAGAATTTTTAGGTTCAGGTATTTCCCTGATTTAATTATATAGTGGTGCATGTGTCAATGGTTTATATTATAAGGTGAAGTGCACATATATATTTGTCAAAAAAAGACAAAATTGTTGAGGATACAATTTGAGCAACGCATGTTGTAATAACTGCAAGTAGAGACAAGACACTTCCTAGAGCATTAAGTTGAACATCAGTAACTGTTGCAATCCCAACACCGAGGAGGAGGACAAGGAGGGCAATCTGAATGCTCCTACTGCCATAACAAGTAAAGTAAAGGCAATATTAGCACCGTCATAGGTAAAGAAATCAGAAATCAGAATGTAACACTATTGGTTAACAAATCAAACTTCACCTAAAAGGTTCAGACTAGAAGAGGTAACATGAATGTAGAGAGTGCCAAAGGCAACTTCAATTTAGAAAATAATTGGACCAATGCATGTTGCAGGAATTCAGTCCAGATGTTCAGAAAGAAGAGAACTACCAAGAGGAGGGTGGAAAGTCCAACTGTGATGTGAGAAGAGTGAAGGGATTGATCGATGTTAATCAGTAGGTTTAGCAAAGATTGATGTACATATAACAGTTATAAGGGCAAAAGAAGGCTAAGCAGGAAGCGAATTGAGTTGGTCAGAATAAGTGATGACTTATGACAATTTGGCACTACAAGGTGCTAAAGATAAAGAGCTAACCTTGGTAAAAAATGGTTAAGAAAAAGAAACAGCTTTCCTCAAATACACCACCTTACCTTCACACATTTCCCCCCTCTTCCTCTTCCTCTTCCTCCACATTTTTGTTTTGTTTTTATTTATTTATTTAAGAAATAGCAGCATTCTACTTATTAAAATAAATTAAAAACAGAGCACAGTGAATAATTGAGATTTTAGGGACAATCACATATCATAGTTCAACGCATGAATGACCAATATCATAAGTCTATATTTCACAAACAAACAATTGGATTAGCACTGGATCCAAATTACATACACAGCAATATATAAATATGTATATAATACTAAAACTGTGCATATATACAAAGAATTGGCTTTGTTACTGGTTTAAACTTTTGGATATGTTTGAGCATATAAGTAAATCAGCATCTTAGTCAAACGAAGGTAAAAGGGTGTTTCAAGAGAAACCTGAATCTCTTTGCAAGGAAAAGGGTCTCCAATAGTACAGTACAAGGGATGATTGCCAGCTTAGTCATCTAGAATGCAAAAACAATAGAGTATCTCAGATATTCTAATATTTAGGAAAATGCTGAAACATCAAAGTTTTAGCTAAAAACCAAGAAGTCAAAATAAATTGAAGGAGAAAATGTACCTGATAAAAGCCAACAGAATTGAACCCCAGGCTCAGATTTAACAGTCCAATTGAGATCCCATTCAGAATGCCAAACCCCGTAACCGTCTTCTGATCAAGAGGCTTGTGTTCAAAGAATTTCATCTTTAAAGCCACATGAAGGGAACAAAAGGTGACTAAAAGATGCCAGCTTGTCAAAGTTGTGGCTGCACAACAAATATGTATAACAATCTAATCTCAGCAACTTCCAATGAAACAAGATGAACAGGATTGCTATAATCTATCACACATAAATAATAAAGGCGGGGATGGATTCTGAAATACTCCTCCGATCGGTTCCGACAGTCTTTTCTTCACTTTCTCTTCTCGGCATGATCCAGGCGTTCAAGCTAGCAGAACAAATCATGGGTTCTCATCCCGGAGAGGCAAGTTAGTCGGTTGGTTGAAATGCGGTTATGCCGGGTGGACTAAAGTAAAGTGGGAGGTGGCATCGTCTAACGTATAATAAAAGCACGCTTGTTTTTATTGTTTCGCTCTGCGCTTATTGGTGAGGTGCTCACTGGGTCTTTCAGATTGGTAGCTTCTTTCCCTTCAGTCTAAGTAAGGAGTTGTTCAACTCTATTCCTTCAATGGATAAAAGCTGTAGGTGCAAAAGCAAGTTCTACTCCCTTTTTTTATTTATTAGGTTGTGGAAAAACGGGGCCAATGAGGTTGAAAATCTGGAATATGTGCCATTGGTATGGTTTTTTATACGCTCTACTTCCCTATGGTCTGTTATCAACTGAAGTCCCTTTTATTTATTTATTTTTATTCGTATATCGTGCATTCTCCTCATTTCTCCTCAAAACAGAACAACATTTAGTACTGGGCTTTACCAATGGAACATGTTTAACCGAATTGCTAAAGGATCCATGTTCCATCTTCTTGCTGCATATTAAACTGGTCAAATTATATTTCAATGCTCATTGAAGTCGAACTACAAATCGAAAGCTATAACATGTTGGAACGCCAAGAATAACCCCATCATACCTTAAAAGAAAAAAGAACATGTAGTTACAACAATTGTTTCAAAAGCTCCAATTTTGTTACCTAAGTTCGTTATTCAATCGCAACAACTTAATCAGTCTCCTTTGTTTGCACACAGAACCTTTAAAGCTCGTCAATCTTCACACGCCTCTAAAACACCCCACAAAAACGCATTGAAGTTTCCAAAACTAGACATTTAGAAAATGAGGAATCCAAATAAATTCAGCATTGAATGAAACAACACACATGGTCCATATATAGAAAAACAACAAAAATGAGGCAACAATATTATAAATGAGAATAACATTCAAACCAAAGAAAAATAAGGAAACAGTCATTAAAAACTTACCAAAAGTGAAACCCAAAGAGCTAATGAGCGCCTTGTTGCAAATTACAATGGAGACCGATGAAACCACAGAGAGAGTCAACGCCCCCACTGTCCCCAGCTGAAACCTCTCGCCCTCCCCCCATCTTTTGCCTCTGACCCAAGTTCAAGCTAAAGCATAAACAACCCAAAAATCTTACAAGGTCAATATTTTTTTCCACAAAATGAGAAGAAAAAAAAACGCAGAAGAAGAAGTAAAACTCACCGAGAGTGGCAAAAACTGAGAACAGGGCAATCAAAGAATTGAAGGTGGCGTTGTCTTGAGGTGATCAAAGTCTCAGATCTGATGGTTAAGATCAATGGGTAAGTGGTAGTGTTATGAAAATGAGTCAATGGCTAATTGGGTAGGCTGTCCATACGCTTTGCAGTGGTTATGGAATTGGACGCTTGGCTTCGATGCTTCGATGCTTAGAGTTAGAGATGCACCTAAAAATTGCGTCAAACATCAAAATTCCTATTTCTAAGAGAGATGGAGAGGTCACAGCTCATAGCTCACTGAGTCAGTAGGTTTCGTGTCTCTATCCTTCTTTCCTCAACAATGAGCCGAGGGGGTCGGTTAAAAAAGCTTCGGTCTTTGGGAGTTATGTAGGAGATTTTTCTACCGAAGCTGGACCTGGAGGTTAATTCTAGCGCCACGACGTCGTTCCATTGTTTGATCTATGATACTTGTGGCTAATGACTATGCACCCCATTAGAATTACATTGAGTTTAAGTTTAGCTGAGGAAATATCATCATTCAGCAAAATATTTCTCCAATCCCATTTCATAAATTTCATTTTGAATAGTGAAATTTGAACAAAAAAAAAGTTAGTGGGTAGTGCTCCATGGTCTCGAAGTTTCCATATTTAATGTCTAATTGTCAACTATGACCCGAAATTTGCAAACTTTATGGCATGTTTAAGCTTGTAGATCTAAAAACATGCCGCGCATGATGTCACACCCTAAAAAATTAAATAAAAAAGAGTTGGTTTGGGAAAAGGAAAAAAAGAAAGTTACTGTTACTCTGTTTTTGTCATTGGTTTATTGGACGAGTGTCTTGGCTTAGAAACCCGTGCAGACCAAAGTCTTCAAACATCGGATGATGATTCAGAACCCAACTGGGGACTCTCTTGTTGTTTTTGTTTTGTTTCAATTCTAGGAGAAACAACTGCGAATTTATCACTGTTTACTCTTTAGCGATAGATATTGAAGTTTAAATTGGAGGGTTGAAGTTGATGATGGAGAATTCACAAGATTTATGCAACACAGAGGGAGATGGGGATGGAAGGAAGGCCGTGGCTTCTACTTCTTATACCCCAACAGCAGGTAGCTCTGGGTATCGGTTGTTTGGTCGTCAAGGGTCAGTGCACAACTCCTTGGGTGGAGGTCAAGGTGAGGAAAGAATTAAACTTTTGTCTGACATTATTGAACTTCTATGACATTTCTGGGATTTTGGGTATGTGGAATCTCTATTTAATTTCCTTTTCCTCTTTTCAAGTTTGGGTTTTGTCACTTGTCTCCGTTATCTGTTGAAAATGCTATGTTTTTAGCTTCTTGATTATCTGAAATGATGCTGATCACGGTTGTTTATATTTGGATGGAGCAAAATTGAGTGGCATTTACTTTGTAGAATTGATTGGTCAGCTTGAATGTAGTTCTGATTTTTCACAAACTAGGGCTATCCTGTGCATAAGGTTTTTTGTTCTCTATTGATTGAAATTAGAGTTGACTTTGGATAACGAAACCAATAGATGAATGAAGTCATAATGTAGAGGTTGTGGTAAAGAGGGCAGTTCACAATTATGTTCATAGTTGAAAAGAATGTGTGGTTACTTAAAACTGCTTAGGAAAGGAGATGCCTGAAATTATAGAGGAGGAAAAAGATGGTTTCTTTGGGAATTTGTTTTCATCTCCTCGCAAGTGATTAAACAAAAGAAAAAGAAACAACGAAAAAAATATTTGGAGTGGCATCACTTGCATTTTCTAGAGTAGGAGATGGCTGTGTCGAAAGGCTTGCTTCGTGAGGCAAGTAACTGCCTTTTATGTTGGACCTAGGGAAACTGAATTGCAAGCTGACTTTGTTGGTTTCTTTGAGTTACTTTGCCGCAGAATGGCTCTACCAGCCCCTTCTCTTCCCAAGAGTTGAAGTATCGTGACAGTGAGTAGCAAATGCCATTGTTTCATGTGCAAGACTTCCTTTTTTAGTTTGACATATGTAAGAGTACAGATTTTTTATACTTTGTTGATGCATGCAGAAGAACTTGAATTAGGTTGATATAGTCTAGGCTTCCAGTAGTGTTCATCCAGTATGCCCCTTTGTCTAGTGGTTCAGGAAAATCTCATGTACAAGGAGGCAAATTATTGTTGAATGCTTCTTTTTAAAATTTAAAATCCATTGCTTGTCAGAACACGGATAAAATTGCCTCATTCTTTCTGGAATTTCACATATGTTTTTCCAGAAGAGTCTTTTAAAATAGCTAGGCTAGTTGTTCCCTCATATGCATAACAACTCAAATGCATGATTTGAATTCCAATATCTGAATTTGATGACGACTTTAATCTGAGCTGAGAATGGTTTTCACTTCCAAATAAAGAAGTGAGAAGTTAGTTAAAGTGATCAAACCTGCCAACATCAATGTCTTAACATTGTTTACGGTTGACCTGCTACAGCCTATATTTGTATAAATACCTGTGTTCTTTTCTCAGTATTTTCTTAATTTGTTTTCTTACTGTCTGTCCTTTTCTTTTTAGCTGCTGATGTTTTGTTGTGGAAGCGGGGGCGTGTTTCCTTTGGTGCTATCGTTGTTGCTACAATTTCTTGGCTCCTCTTTGAGCGGTCTGGATTATCATTCTTATCAATTTGTTCAGATGTCTTGCTGATTTTGGTTGTACTGTTATTTCTTCGAGCCAACTATGCTGTTTTCAGAAATAAGTACGAATATTCTTACCCTCTTCACTTGTATTATTGTCAACCTAGCAGTGAAACTGTTTTCAATGAGGTTAACTATCATATTCTTTGAGTAGACAATTACAAACATTACCGGAGCTAGTACTATCAGAGGAAATGGTTAATAATGCTGCAGCATCATTTCGTGTCAAAATCAACAATGTGCTGCTTATGGCTCATGACATCACGCTTGGCAAAGACTTTAGACTGTTCTTCAAGGTCAGTGTTCTGTGGCATGTTACACTAATACCATAGGAACTACCTGGGCTTTGTAGCTGTCTAGTGAGTTTAGTCAGGCCTTTAAAGTCTCGCTACTATGCTTCATTTTATCTGATGAAAATAGAGTACCCAGATGGAGTATGAATTTGCCATGGCTTGTAGGGTAAGTAGTCGGAACAATTGTAATCGGGGTAGAATATATATTTGCGATTCGTTGTCTATCTGGCTGAAACCAGATTAGTTGTCTTTTAACTTTGCATTTGCAAATATTACTGATTCAAATGAAGAAAGTATCTTACCAAGCTACTGTGCATTTGACAGGTGGTGGTTTGTCTGTGGCTATTGTCTGTCATAGGCAGCTTTTTCTCATTCTTTACACTTGCTTATATTGGTATGTGCACCATCCTCCTGGGTCTGTTAAATGAATGATCTGTGATGTCCCATATGAAGCTTTATTGTTATTTTTTGGCATTTCATATTCCTTATGCAATGTTAAGCAGAGGCTATTGTTATAGTTCTTCCAAACTTTGCTTTATTATTTGTCAAGTTCTTGACCCATTATGCCGAATTATGTTCTTGCAAAAACAAGGTGGGGGTTGATACATGTAAGTTTATTGTAAAGTTTTATACTTATATTCTGCTTTAATGGTGCAGGTTCAATCATATCAATAACACTTCCTGCCTTGTACAGCAAATATGAAGAGACTGTGGACGGGTGTTACGGAAAGATCCACCGACAATTTTCAAAGCATTATAAAATCGTGGATGAGGGTGTTTTCAACAGACTTCCGAGAACTGTACCCAAGGACAAAGATTCCTAATGCGGAAAACTTGGATGCAGACGCATAAAGTCATTGATGGCATACCATTGAGTTCGGAATTTTGTTTTGTTATAAAGTTGTCGATATGTTGCTTTGCTACTGCTTCCTCATACAAGACCTGGCAGAGTTTTCCATTGTTTTTGTTCTGGTTCAGTCATCTGTATGTTGCTTTCTAATTGTTTGATGAGGACGTGAAATGTGCGGTTACTTAAATGGGCAGAGTTTTCAGCATAGAACCATTTTCCTGGTTTCCCATCTTTAAAACTGGAGATGAATAAAGTTGGACAGGCTGAAATTGGTTTCTTATGCGATGAATTATGGATACAAATTTAATGAATCTGGAATATAGCAAAGCCATGTTTCCTTCTTTCCCCGCTCCGCAATTCAAGGAGGTTAATGAATCTGGAATATAGCTGATTGTATATTATTTGGGTCATTTAAACAGAGTCACTTGTAATCATATTCAATGCCTGACTTTTGGCCGTCCAGGGTGAACCCGCAAAACACTATGCAGCTTCTGCAAATGCATACATATAATAATAATTCCAAGAAATTTCCATCATAATAATAACTCGAGTATCCTGGCAACATAAGAACGTATTCACCATTTGTTCTACACATTACAAGTCAACACTGTACATGAAAAGTTTTGCATCCACATATGATGACAGAAAGGTAAGTCATATATCTGCTAACTGCTTGCTCCTGGTACATATTAAGCTTTAAGCAATTCATTGGCCTTGTCCAACCAAACAGTGTAAATATCATCTGCAAACAGAACAAAGTGCACCTGCAACCAATATAAAATGAAATTGCCAATGAGTTTTCTAGAATGCTCAACTGGTCAAGGGATTGATTACATTAGTCAATTTTTACGTAACTTCTCAACAAGCTTGTTAGATAGCTCTCTCGATAGCTTTCAAACTGGGAAAAATGTTGTTTTCCACAAGAACAAATCATGGCCCTTCTAATTAAAGACATTGAAAATGTAGAACCAAATGATAAAGCCTGCATTACCACCATGTCATGAAGAAAAAATATGCACACATACCTCCTTTAGGTCATTCACAGACTCTCTAATTGTAGATAAAGCTACTGTGGCTGCTTCATCATAAGGATATCTGGAAGAATATGGCAATGAAGAGGAGATTATTCTGTTTGTCATTTGTTTACAACTTCAAATCAACAAGTCCATACAAATTTCTTTCAGTAACAGATGGAGGAAAATAGAATAAATAATCTAATACTATCAAGCATGAGGTTATATGACTTGAGACCATAAATACACAATTTGCCCCACAACGAGAAACAGGACTATCTTTCAACTCCATGTGATGGAAAGCGAGAAAGATTATAGATCAATTCAATACACCTCATGCAACATGATCAGATGTTACTATGATTCTTATCCTCCAATGTAAAGCTTATGTACTAGAGCACCAAGGAAGTTCTTTTGTCAACTTACCCATACACGCCACAAGAAATGGCAGGAAATGCAACATATTGAATGTTGTTTGATTTGGCTATGCTCAAGCTGTTCCTGTAATCAAGTTTCATGAAAGGAATTTCAATCAGGAGTAACAAATTAAACTACCAAAAAAGCAGCAGCAAGAAACAGATAACAACCTGTATGCAGCACTCAGATAAACTTCTGGGTTACTGACAGAACGGTAGATTGGTCCAACAGTGTGAATTACATGAGAAGCAGGCAACTTAAAACCTCTGCATCAAGCACAATGTATTTTGATCACTGCTTATGTGGCGTACGAATCAAAAACCAAGTGATGCCATAAGAACAAAGAGTAGTTAAATCATGAGAACTTACGGGGTAATCCTTGCTTCTCCAGTGGGGCAACGGACACCTGGCCTGACTTCTGGGACACTATAGCATGCTTGTAGAAGATCTGGGCCAGCAGCCCTATGTATAGCTAAAAGATCATTGAAAATCAATAAAGTTACCGTGGGTTCATTTCAAAAGATCAACATAGTAATAGAAAACCATATCGGAAAACAAAACTACCTCCATCTGCACCACCACCTCCAAGCATTCGCTCATTTGCTGGATTAACCTACAAAAATATGTCTATCAATATGCAATAAACCATGCTCAAATTGATGACAACCGATGTGTGATCATTGAAAGAAATTACACGAAACTGGAGTATCTTTTCGGAAACATGGCACTAGTATTCAGTGAGAGCAATTTGGCACATTCATGGAGCTGATAATAACAGTGCATAATAACATTGAGAAAATCTAACAAATAATCTAATTTTACACAAAATTGAACATCCTGATTTGAGGTTTTGTTGTCCCAGTAAGAGAAAAACAAACATATTGACCATGTTAAGAGTCAAGACCCAAAAGGCTCAAAAGTTCCCTGCTTTCTTTTTCCTGTTATTTCTCGGGAACCACACAGAAGAAAACAAGACGAAAACAGTATTACAAAGTCCAGAGAAAGAGAGAAGGACTGACGATGGCGTCTGTGGAGCCGTCGATGAACCACTTGGTGATATCTCCCTTTTGGATGACAAGAGTGCTTGAAGCAGATAAAGGGAAGCGAACCGCTCCTTCTCCATTAGACATGGTTGAAAGCTTAACGGAGCAGCAAAATTTTGCAGGGTTTGGTGCGAGTCTGAGTGTGAAAGCTGAGCTGAGAAATTTAGATGCTTTACTCAGGTGGCTGGGCATGGCACATTTGGTACAGCCAGAGAGAGAGAGAGAGAGGGAGAGAGCAAATGGGCACAATCTAATTTGTTGGTTTTGCTGTGCATATGACGAGCTTTGGGCCAGCCCAGAACCCAGGCCCAGTCACATTTTGACTTTCACACATGACCTTCTTCAACCTCGAACCAAGCTGTTTCATTTCATTTCCTTTTCTTCTTCTTGTTGTCAGAACCTGAACATTAATCAACCATATCATCAAATCCTCCATTTACAGGGGAGAGATGAGTAGGTCTCGAATAGATGCAATTCTCTCCACATTCGTTGCGGTGCATCCTCACGAGACCTCAGCTTTGCTGCACTCCTCATCTTGCTTCTTCTTTGTAAGCCTGTCTCAGCTGTTACTCTGTTTCTCCTATATTTTTCAATCCCTTTGCTTAATTGCATTACTTTCTTAAGTTTATGAATTGGTTTTTTGTGTTTTTAGCTTAATTTTGATTATCAATGCAGATTTTGTGTGCCTACTTCGTGGTGCTTCCATTGCGCGATGAGGGTGCAATCTCTTTAGGCCTATCGAGCCTCCCGGGTCTGTTTGTGGGGTCTTTGGTCCTCACTTCGATTGCTGCGCCGGTTGCAACTCTCATTTTCTCTTCGCCTAATGTTTCTAAAGGCAAGGTATGTGTGTATCCGCCATTTGCTATATACCCAGTTTGGATATGGAGTTTGAAATTTTTTTTTTTACTTAAAAAACAAACGGAGGTAGCTAGTTCTTACCAGATTTTAATTTCTGTTTCTTTACATGTCGCTCTGTAATAGTTGCTTCTTGAAATTCCAGGCTTTGGTTTTAATGCACAGGTTTTTTAGTGTATCACTTGTTGTATTCTTCTTTCTCTGGCATTTCTCATCGGCTGCAGCACAACAAGAGGTGAAGGTGAGGTGAAATCTCATGAGCTTACAATTACTTCTGATTTGGTTGCTTTTATACTGTAGAAATATGATTCTGGGTTTATTCATTCATATTGATAGCTCCCTTCTTTGTACATAGGGTTTGGTCACTATGTCCTCCACTTCAGTAAATGGCCAAAATGTTGATGTTGATCAAGCCACTACTGCATATTCCATAGGGTGGGAGAACCTTGGTTGGTTCTATGTCTCTGTCAGAATTGGATTGTTCCTCTGGGTATGAATATGTCGAAATCACTTTTTTCAAAAACTATTAGAAACTTTTTGTGTGTATCGAAAATAATGTATTTATCAAGTTTTGTATGGTGATACAAGTTTCTTCTTTTTTGAAGATTGCCCTACTTAATCTAATAACAATTTCTTCCACTTGGGCTCGAGTAATCGATGTTATGGACAGTGAGGTATATATCCTGCCACACGAATTTGATGGCAACTAAAAAAATTTGTCACGCATTTACCTTGTTCTGTATTCAGTCAGGTTCAAGATTATTTGGTTTTATTGGTGCTGGCGCCACACTTGGACAGCTTTTTGGGTCATTGTTTGCCACGGGAATGGCTAGGTTGGGGCCGTGTATGTTTGCTCATCCAGACTTTTGAAATTTGATATTTTCTCTGTGTGTGATGTGTGATGGGTTTTATACCATGCATTGTTTTGTTGCAGTTCTACTGCTATTTTCTGCATTGTTAATGGAGTTTGCTGCACAGTCATCAAAAGGGATAACCCTGGATGTATCCCGTGTCCATGTCCCTGAGGAATTATCACCCATCAGGTCAACTATATTAACAAATTTCTCTTTGATTTCTTTAACATGGTACTCAAACTGACAAGATCTCTTTGCTGGAAGGTGGAATTTGGATCAGAAAAGTGAGCCTATGAATTATCTTATCGGTTACAATTTTGTAAAAATCTCTCTAGTTCTTGACTTGGTTTCTTCTTTGGTATTAGAGAAGCTGACACTGATCGGAAAAATGAGCCTGATGGGCAAACCATTCGCAACAGAGGAAATTCCCCTAAGTCACCTACTCTGGTGGTGAAACCTCAGATTTGGGCCATCTTAGATGGATTTTGGCTTATATTGGCATCATCTTACTTGTTGTATGTATCTTTGTTCCTGTGGCTGAGTGCAGTTATCTCTTCATTCTTTTATTTTCAGGTAAGACCATCCACTGTCATGAGTTCGAACTTAGTATAAATCAGCCTCTCTATCTGTGTTACTTGTCTTGATTGTCTGTAGATATGATGCCTCTCCCAGTATATTTTAATTTTCCTTTCCTCCTGTTTGCTGTCTGTGGAGGAACTACTTAATGATTTGGCATCTTCTTATGAGAGTTTTAAGGAACTGGCTTTCTGCTTTTTCCAAGAATCAGATAAATTAATGTACTCTTAATTTCATTTATCTGATCAATGCAGTATGATTCTTCTTATGTATTGTGCTCCATTAGATATTTTTAACTCTGTATAGCATGCAGTGTAATTAACTTAAGCGCTGATGTGAATTTTATTAACCAACTCTTTCCTTTCATTCTTTCTGACTTTCTGCTGATTCTTATCTCTGTTTTTCTGTAACTGCAGAAAGTGAGTGTCATTGCCATGACTGTTACTAGCTCTATTGGAAGAAGAAAATTGTTGGCTCAGATAAACAGCTTTATTGCTGTATTTATCCTTGCTGGACAACTTACCATAACGGTATGCAGTTCTTAGGATGAGCTTTTGTTATGTAGTTATTGTTTTCTCTAGTTTTTAAAGTAATTAACATGAGATATGCTGTGTAGAATGTTTCCTTACTGAAAGTGTATACTGATTAGCTAGTTCATGTTTGCAGCTGTTTTTAAATTTATCGCCTTTCAGCTTTCCTGTTGAAGGCTATTTAGGTGCCCTATCCTTTTAGATTTCTGATGTAACTAGAATGAAGAAAGAAAGCTAGTCTCATGCCTGGATATGTTTCTATTTCTAGACATTTTAAGAAAAATTAAATATTCTTGAAGCAAATCGGGGAGCGTTTTTAGAATGCCGACTTTTTGGATTTTGATAGTGTTTTTAGAATGAATGTTGCTCCGAAAGTGCTATGCTATGTAACTGATCTATTACATGGTTAAACTGTGTATTTACTGATGTATTTACCGTCTTAGAATTCCAACAAATGTTTCCTCTTGTGCATATATTTTATATCATCTATCATCATGGGCATTAATGTATAATCACTTTCCTATGTTTTTATGGCACTTTCACAGGGGCGTTTTCTAACTGTTGTGGGGGTTACTACAGCTATTTGCGCTACTCCATTTGTTGCGTTCTTAAATTTGGTTGCTATAGCTGTCTGGCCAACTTGGGTGGCTGTCGCAGTTTCTGAGACCCTCCGGAAGGTTTGTATTCTCCAACTTCTGGGTTCCGTTTTTACCCTTTCAAAGTTTATCTTATAACTCAATTTAACCAAGATGTCTGCAGGTAAATTGCTTGAAACATGTTAATTGTATGTAATATGCATAGGTGAATCTTTTTGCATTCTGGGAGAAAGATGATCTTACAGTTTTCTTTCCTTTTTTTTTTCTTGTGTGCAGTTTGTCACTTATGTTGTGACCAGGCCTGGCAGAGAACTCCTATTTACTGTTGTCTCACAGGATGAAAAATACAAAGCCAAGGCACGAGCTTCCAAATTCTTTTTACATAGAAAATTGGTTTTTTTTATAAAATATGTTCATCTACGAAACTCTGTGACTTGGTGCTTGCTGTTGGTGTCTTAGTTTCCTCTATATGAGAAAGTGCTTTAATAACTTTGATGCATGCATTGGCTCTTATATAAAGTAAAAGACCAAAAAGATGTCTTCGCTATAGCCATTCCACTCAATACAGGATCTCTTATTTGGTGTCTTATTTTGCATTAATTGTGTCATGTGCAACTTTAAGCAAATCACCGAACTATTTGAGACATTATTTCACTAATTACATGATACTGCAGGTTTGCATTGATGTATTTGTTCAAAGACTTGGAGATGCTACAGCAGCAGGAATGTACAAACTACTTTTCAGTACTGTTGATGGGAGAGCATCAACTGTGTCTCTTTACGGCCTGCCTGTATGTGTGAAATCTCATCCCTCTCCCGTTTTCTTTTTCGGTTCGGGTATAAAAACACAAATTTGGTTCCCTGGACCTTAATGGTTCCTTCTCCCCCAAGTCCAATGGTGGAGGGTGTATCCTGTTCTATAGTTGTTTCTTAAAATCCTGTGTTTAGCTTTATGAATTGTTGTCTCCTGAGTTTTGTTTGGCACTTGGAATTTGTAAAGCATTTGCATCTTTTTTCCTGACGATTTCTCTTCATCCATCAAAGAATAACGAAGTATATCTCTTTGATCTTTTCCAGGTCTGTTTGCTGTGGATAGTGATCGCGTTTCATTTAGGCCGCCGTCAAGCAGAACTTGCAAAGCTCCGGACTCATTCGACTTCCTAATGTTTCCTCGTCACATTTTTAGCTGTTTATATACATAAAGATGAATCATTTATGAACTTTTAAAGTACTACAATTATAAGAAGTTTTGTTAGCTCTTTTGTTATAGACATTACACAAGGGCAGCTTGCCAGTCAGTTTTTTGGTATATGATGTCATGCGTAACGTAACGCGTGTGCCTTTTAGCAAACGCATTAGTAAATTAACAAGCCAATATTAACCTTTGTATCTACTGTTTTTATCCATGTAAGCATTGATGATTAATTAGAAAAGAATTGCACTTTACGGATGCATTAATAATATCTGATTTGCAAGTACACAATACTGTGATTGCCATCTCAATGCCACATCTATCGTGGTAACATTTTTGTTTTATTTATACACTAAGCTAAATACTCTAAGGTGGATGGAAAAATGGATGAGCATGCTTGAAAGTCATCCATCCAGCCTGCACAACCCATCTATCCCCTGTACCGTGTTGATGGACAATGTTTTCAACTTGTTAACGCCATGGAAACCTGTCAAGCATCAACATGCCTTCACAATATTAGCAATCATGGTAGGAAAATTGTATGGCAGCACATTACAAGATTCTTAAGATATGAATCAGTTTACTCAAATGTGTGGAAAAAGATTACAACAAAAAGGTGCAAAAGCAATTTTTTCAGTGTCCGCATTTTAACAAGGAAACTATTTTGTGAGAAATCCTAAACGCTATATGAGAAAGCCAGAAATCATACAACACCAAGTGTGTTCTAAAGAAATTTTGGGCAGAATCGTATTGCCAGCCATGCTTTGGATATGAGAATGGCATCCGATTTAGAACAGACTAGAAGGTTTGCAGGAGAATCTGTATTTTTCATTTTACTTTTTCTGGAGAGGTGTTGGAGGTACACCAGAAGTTTGACAAATCACCAACAGCCCAAGACGGCTGAGCAAGGCAACCAATCAATTTTTACAAAGCTGTAACTTCACTTTCTTTACCCATGATGCAAAATATGACACGCTAGCAGATCAACTACAAGAATTGCTGCCCAGTCAAGGACAGGTTTCTTGGAAAGCTCAGCAACAGACACAGCCCTTAAGGTTACATAGCAGGCTGTCCTGTGATTATGGATTAAGTTTAAAACAAGAACTGCTTACCTAAGTGCTCAAGTTCCACGGAGAGAATAGACGCGGTCTCGAATCAAGTTCCTTTCCCAATCTGCTATATCCTCAAATGCATATTCAGGAAGATTCTCAAAGGGCTCCTTCCATGGATCATTCTTGGTCAGATCATAGGTAGCTGCACGTATTGCCCTCTTATTTGGGCCACAAGGTCTCTTGGAAGTTAGTGCATCGTATGCTGCATTCAGCTGCACATAGTCACAATAGCTGTCAAATTTTTGAACAATTCCTTAACTGAAGCAATGAAAAAAAAAATCACTTTCTTGAATAATATGGTCATCCTTCAGGTTTCATAGCCTTTCAGACTTCATAAAGGTCTAAAAACATTGCTGGAATGCTAAAGTGTTGCATGTTAAAAGGCTGTCAGCAAAAGGATTTTGGCATTGTGCATTTCTCAATGAAAGATAGAGAAATAGATAGATAAACAAGGACTCACATTCATTCCAAGGAACCAGTACATGTAAGCAATTGCAACAGCTGGGGCTCTTCCCAGTCCAGCAGTGCAATGCACATACACCTTTCCTTTTCCCTCAGATATGGCCCATTCTAGCGATGAAACTGCTTTAGGTAGACCATTTCGCAAGGAATCTGGATCGAAATCCTTTGCCTACAATGCATTGAAAAAAAAAGAGTAAGGAAAATGCACAAACATAAGTTTCCATATCCCCTAAATGTGATTTCTATTAATGTAAGATCCAGAAAACTTATTATATTGTTGGTCTCTGAAAGGTTTCTAACATCCAGAAAAATTGTTTATTGTTGGTCTGGAATGTTTTCCAGAACAGAGTATGAGGCTTCTGCAATCCAAAATCTTGTGTCTAGAAACCAGCCATCAGTAAGATGTGGGCTAAGACAAAAAATTATGCTACGTTTAGAAAGTTTGGGACCTTGTCCAGGTCATTTTAGTATGAAACCCTATGAATATACTTTATCTGTTAAATAAACGTTGCAAAGGATTTTTGCTTACCGGCCTCCTCATGTGACGGATTCCAAGTTCTTTACACCTTTTTATTATTGACTGCAAGTCAATTCCCCAATACTCAACATCCGTGTCCTGCTGCAAGTTTAAAATGTATGCCACATTCTCTTCTTCCTTCAGGTGATCTATATCTTCAGGTTTCTGAGGCTGGGAGCCCACAATCAAGTCATCAGTTATCAATGTGTAGTTCATGCCTGAACATTGGACAGGAACAATCACATTAGTTGAAGTAACCAGAATGAATTACATGGTACTACTCTTTCTACTGGTAAATGGAATGGGATTTGTTTGTTTCTTTATCATGTCGAAAGCGAAGCTCGTTCGCTTAAACTTGACCTATTATCATTGTCCTAGTTATTCTGAATTCAGAACAAGAAAATGCAACATAAGGTTCTGGTTCCTTATTGATTGATAAAAACGGAAATCCGAATCCTCAACAACCTCAGCAAAATGGCATTCCTTGCTGCTTAATATCGTAGTAACACGCATACACATATGAGCATGATGTGATCATAAGTAGCTAAAATATTCAAGGTCCTAGCAAAGTGATGAACTTATCCCCCAAAGAAAAACAGTTTTTTATGCCAATAAAGAGGGAAAGAAAAGGAAAAACAGTTTCTGCAGCGGCAATGCAAACTTTTCTGTGGCACCCACTTCCATAAGGGAATTTTAAATTAGGCAAGAATTTCTTAAAGAGAAAGGTGCAATGAAAAGTTAATCAGTAACTATCTCAAAGCACTAGTGCTCCATTTAAGTAAGTAAAGATCAAAAGTGTGCAACTGGGTCATCCAGATCATACACGCCCACTCTAGAAATATGTGAAAGGAAGCACTACAAACAACTTTTCGTTCTGGTCATTATAGCACATAAAGGAACAAAAATTAAAATACAGTAACATAGATTTCAAATGGGTTGTTAATAAATTGCATTTAGCAAACTAAAGAACTAACCTTTTCAACAACAAAAAAATCAACTAATCAGAAAAAAATAGAAAGACCCACAACACTGTCCACTTAAAGCAAGACTCTTTGAATTCATATGACAAATCCATCACAAGAAATGATAATAAAATGAAAACAAACTGACCAGAACGGACTGATTCTTATAAAAGCACAATGAAATTACAAAAAAAATGGCCTACAAAATGTGAATGCTTGACATATAAGATGGGGAAGAGACTGACCCAGATCATGGTGATACTCATATGGGTTCCTCATCATCCTCTTCATAGCTGTGTTGTACTCCTCGATCGTGTTCTTGGAATTGGAAGGTCTGCTGCTTGTGGGGTTCTTTTCAATTCCACAAGAAACTTTGTTCAATTTGAAGGAATCATTGGAAACCATGAAACAATTGCATGGAGATTTCTTAATCTTCTTCAAAAAGACATCATTTTCAAAAGGAGCTATGAAGACTGAACCAAAACAACTGTTGCCAACACTCGCCATTTCTCTCCAGCTTCTTTCCCCGTCTTCTCCCTGTTAGTTTGGAAACCAGAAATTTATACCATACAAGTAATCTGTCCAAAATGCCCTTGGCCTGCACCCAAATTCCCAATGTGAGGCCAGTGAATCTTCCAAGTTCCCAAGATGATATTTTTCTTATGCAACAGATCGATTTAGGATCGTAAAATCAGGTTGCCCATGGACCATATTATTGGTTCACTAAAATCCAACCTTTTTAGTAAACTATTTTGGCATGTGGTTTTCACTTTTCAAGAAGTAGAAGTTTAGACCACTTTTCAAAGACTTCACCTTTTGTCTACAGCCAGCCATGAATGGTTTCATTTTCTAATTTTCTGAACTTTGTTTGCAGTTGATAAAGTCTACCTTCTCTCCTTCTAGTGGCAAATATGAAGGCTTATTAGAACAGTAGATTTTTCCCCTGTTTTGGGTCAACAACAAGAACACATACTATTTGTCGATCTGCATCCGACTATCAAATAGTGGAGGCATCAAACAGGCCGTGTCGGGTTGTTGTAATTTGATAATAAATACACAAGAAACATATTAAATATGATTAAATAATTAATCATGGTTTAGACTTAGAGACCATCAAATTGTTGCCAGACAAACTCAAAAAACATATCTAACAAAACTGAACTGGTGTCATTTCACATGAGAACCAGCATACGTGTACACTGCTGCGGCTACAAACATCAAATCATATTCTTATTTGTCTCTTGGGTTTATTTGATTGTGTTTTAATAAAAACTCCAAAACATGGCTTTTCAGGATTAGAAGACACTTGCACCATGGTTGATGTTTCATGTCAGATCAACACTCAGGCAAGAATATGTTCTCAACCCAACTTTGCTTCTCTCTAGCTTTTCTGCTTTTTCTAGTTTTCACTGCAGAATTATGTTTATCATGTGGATTAGTAGCAAAAAGAATATTGATCATCTGTCAAATTTTCAGCTAAACCGGCCAATCATCTGTCAAATTCCTGCCCATGTACGATCGTACGCGTAATCCAAGTCTCAATAATTTGTACACAGAAAGAAAAAAAAACCAAAACAAAAAGTGGGGGATTAATGCTCTTGTTGTGAGTTTGGTTTGGTGCATACTTTAGGATCAATCAGTTAAATCCCCACTCAAACAACACAAGGACAGGTGTCTGGTCTTTGGTGTTTGGTCTTTGGCCTTTGGTTGGTAATAAAATCCCCCACTAAACTCTGCCTGCTTGATTTAGATGGTCCCCTTGAAGGAACATTGTGAGTTGAGTTGTGGCTTTCATTATCATAGATAGAGGCCAATTAGCCAAACCAGAAAATACTAAACCAGAATTTTGAAGTCCTTAAAGCCCATCCCACCACACTCATTTAAATTTAAACTCAACCTGGAGATGAGAATATCACTAGTTATACCGAATCTGAAGTTGATTTTCACCTGTCCTGGTTGAATGGCAAGTGCCATTATTTGCTTCATTTTAGTATACTTTATGTCATTAATCTTATCTTGTGGCATGAAAAAAAGAGAGCATACTTTATGGCTTATGCGCAACCTCTTTTTCTATTTGTTTAACAGATTTATTAGCAGAACCAATTACAAAGAAGAACATATCAAAGGGTATGGATTGCAGAAAGGCAAAATACATGTGTGGTCACACAACTATATATACATTATTATATTATCTTTCACAAAAAAATGTAACTATGGAATACTACTACTTGGCCATCTTACTGTAGTATTCTATAATTTCTCGTAACGATGAAGAAAAAAGACAAATAGATAAAGTCTTATTACTGTGTTGGTTAAGATAAAAAAGTTCCAATTGTTCATACATAATACAAACAAATAGATATTTATCCCCCCTCCCCCCCCAAAAAAATCCCCAAAAAAGAAAGACAATATGTAAGTATGTACATTTTCTATGAACCCATATCCCCAATTTTCCTATATTGAAAATTGAAAAATTAAACCTCAATTTCAAGCACTTTTGCAGTTGGGTTTTCTCCTCTAATTTGGTCATGTGCCCCATTGACCCCAACACCTCCTTCTTCTCCCTTTACAATCCCAAGTTTCACAAAAAGTTCATGGCCCCAATCCCATATGTGCAGCACAATGAAAGTCCCAATTCCACCAATGAGCCCGTAGGCTATTGAGTAAGTCAACGGCATCAGTATCAACGTCACAAAGGCTGGGATTGCCTGTCGCATGTCGTCCCACTCAATCTCCACCACTGACTTCATCATCAGCACCCCAACCAAGATCAACGGCGGGCCCACGGCCCAAGCTGGAATTGAAGCCAATAACGGCGTGAAGAAAAACGCTAAAAAGAAATACCCTGCCACCGTTAGAGCCGTTAGCCCCGTACGTCCGCCCTCCCGTATACCCGTAGATGACTCGATGAATGTCGTTACGGGTGATGTGCCGAGCAAGGCCCCCACCACAATTGATGTAGCATCTGACATGAAAGCAAAGTATTGACCTTCGAAATTACCGTCTTCATCCGCAAAACCGGCGAATCGAGCCATGGAATAAAGAGTTCCGGTAGTATCGAGTATATCTACGTATAAAAATGTAATTAATGCTTCCCAAAAATACCCTTTTCCTATACTTTTGAAGCTCAAGGCCCCGGCCGTACTCTCGATCGTATGTACATCCACGACCTTCTTGAAATACTCATAGGCCGAGTCACCTGCCTCCGTATTTGGAAACGCCGTTACCTCAGTGTTACGGAACCACGAAACGGCCGTTACAAAAACAATGCCGTAAATCATAGCTCCTTTAACATTTTTCACCAAACAATACGCAATGATTATGAAGCCAACGACGCCGAGCCAAAACGTCGGGCTTTCCATACGGTCACGGAGACAAAAAATATCGCCAGACACCGTTCCGCCCTCAATCAAACTAACGGTACCGTTAGCGGCCGCTATGACGGGAGCCAACGACGCCCGAGACGAAGCGGGGCAGGCTCCGAGTGTCACTAGCGTCGACGAACTGTACCCAATTAACCCGATTCCCTGGTTGCTTTGCAACCCGATAAACGCCAAGAAGAGCCCGATACCCGCGGAGGAGCTGATCCGAACCGGCTTCGGAACCAGTTTAGCGAGTTTGGCGCGTAACCCGACTGCGGAGATGAAGAGGAAAATCAAGCCTTCGATGAAGACGGCGGCTAAGGCGCTCTGGTACGAGACATTACCCGACCCGTGAAACCCGACGACGGTGTAAGCGAAATAGGCGTTGGCGCCCATTCCCGGGGCTAAAGCTAGAGGGAGATTAGCGAAAACGCCCATTATGAGACAGCCGATCAGAGAAGAAGCGACGGTGGCGACGATGAGGTCTTTGCGGACCCGGTCTAAGCAGGCGGAGTAGCCCGGGTTGACCGGGTCGAACTTGCAGGAGGGGCCGGGTTGGATGACCCGGAGGTTGGGCCCGGTGCAGTTCTGGAGGGATTGGGTCGGGTCGGAGCAGAGCTGGACGCAATCGGATACGCTGCAGGTGCCGCCGGAGTCGGAGAGGATGGAGGCGTTGACGGCGAGGATGTACGCCATGGTGAGAAACGTGGCGGTGCCGGCCCGGAGCTCGGTGGTGAAAGTGGAGTTGCGCTCGGCGAGTTTGAAGTGCTTGCCGACTCGGGTTTCGGCAACGTACTTGTTGAGGCGAGTTAAAGGTTTCAAGGGGCGTGGTGGCGGTGGCTCGTGAGGCTCCATGACCATTGAAGAAGTTTGAAGTTTGTGTTGTGCTGTTGGGTTTAAAGAGCTTGAGAGCTTAGGAACTTGGAAGTTTGCTGGTGTTTGCTTAACTCGGTCTATACATGGAGATGGTGACGATGATGCGGGCGTGGGCTCTGTTGTATGTAATGTATGTGTTTTTATATAATAATATGAATATATATATACATATATGTAGATAGAGGGAGAGAAGTGGAAGATTAGTAATGCCGAAATGTTATTTGCGTGTGAAGGGAAAGATTCCAAGGGAGAGGGATCTTTTATGCAGTGAAAGGTATCTCCAAAGTTGGAAATTGTATTTCTATTGGATCTTTGTAGTGTTTGGTTTTGTGTCTAGAGTTGTGCTAACAATCTCAAGTAACACATGATTGGTTGTTCACTGTGGATGTATCAAATGCTATCATCACTTACATCAACAATTGACGATCACTCACCTACGTTTACATAAAAACTATGTAATTTTATTACTGTGCTAATAATATCTTGTTTTGTCAACAATAATCCCAACTAAATCGCCAATAATGACTTGAACTTCTCTAATGACATCACTTACACAAAATAAGTCAGGATGGGTATTTGAATTATGGGTATCATATTGATGATTTCGTCTACATTTACTAGCACATGAGTATCACAATTATTCTTATTCCTAATTACTTAAAAAATCATTAATTACTTTGGTTAGAGAGTAGTCGATCTAATTCCAACTCATTATTTCCATATTCATAATTTCCCGATATATGACCTGTCTCATTCCAAATAAACATATAAATTTTCCAAATAGACTAAGATTCTTATATTTTTTCTTTGAAAATAAAGTCAGAGAAATCGTTCTGGACAGATGAAAACATAAAAATGTTGATTTCATCTTTTGTCTTTCTTATTAATCATGATGCGAAAGTTGAAGAAAAACTATGCATTGAATTTACCCTTAATTGGTTACCTAATCATGCTCTTTCTTTGAAAGAAAATTTCCTAAACATAATCGCTCGTGTGAAAATCTTGACGGCAACAATCATGGAATTTTTTTTTTTGAAATAAACGTTTTTGCCAAAGCATTCATATGTGGTCAAATAGGACGATCATTATCATATATTTATTTAAAATGAAATTATGAAGGATAGAGACACTCTTGTCTTGTGAGCTCATATTAAAATTTAAAAAAATAAAAAAAATAATTATGGGAGAGGAGAAGAGTGGCAAACTTTGATAAGTAATGCATATGTCACGTCAAAGAAGAACACAATAAATTGTGATCTGTGGTGCTAT